TGACGAGCCAACGCTTTAACCACTAGGCTACCTGACTGCCCCTAATCTATAACAGATGAACTAAACTACAGTAATATGAGTGAGTGAGTGAGTTGGGTTTTACGCCGCTTTTAACAGTATTCCAGTTATATCACGGCGTGTCAGCTTAATGTGGGAGGAAAGCCCGAAGTGATGCAGGCCTCAGACGTTTACCACTTCGGTGAAACCCACGAGCACGGGTATGGTGCTGACAAACCTAGAAACATAATCGGGGCGAACCGGGATTCGAACCCACAATCATAGGTTTCTGGCGTGCCCAAGGGATGCAACTCTGCACAGCGAATCGCGGCGCCTTAGACAACTGGGCCACCCGTGCCCCCTACAGTAATATGAAAGAATCGGGTGTTCTGTAACTTATTAAATATATTACAGCGATTTCCTTCATCTGCAGGCACTTGGGGACAATCTCCTGACTTGCAGCAGCCCTCAAGCATGGTGTTTGGTAGTGAACGGTGGGAGGGATGACATCTAATAATAAATGTTTAGTGGCCTTATGATCATGATTGTACTACAATAACCCTCACATTATTGTTTACTGGCCATTGGGAAGGCGAGTCAGCTACTCTTGTTTGTGATAAGTACTGAATAATACTGTTTGTGATTCACAAATAAGCACATTTCATTACCGAATTGACACATATTTTCCTTTGGGACTAAACTAGCTAGGAGGGCTAGTGACCTCTACCTTGCACTATCCTGGTGAGACACCATATGCCAGATACAACTAGTCCACAGTTCAAAATTGGACTAGTCATTTATAGAACATGACTTTCATTAGTTTCAGAACTAGCGGCTGTATCTAATAAGGCGACTCATCTAAAAGGAACTAGTCATGTTTTTGTAGACGAGCTGAATTTCTCTCTGTCCTGCCCAGAATAAACACCCTGACTGTTCATCCGAATGTCAACTCTAATTATTGCCTACATTTGAGATTGAATATCTACATGTCACACACTACAATAGAGAGATGAGTGGTCTCTGTTACAGAAACCATTTCACTCTAGCAGACCAACAGGATTGACTCTAATGACAATAATATGGCTGCAATGATACTTGTAGACATAGGAGATAATGAGATGGCAAGGACTGGTCATATATGATAGGGGGTCGGGAAGGCCATTGAGACTCGTCTTAGGTTAGGTCCTCCCACCATGTTATGTAAGACTTTTTCATGCAACCCCCCCCTAAAAACCAGTCCCTAAATAATGTTCAAAAGCTATAACATTATATATTTGAGGTGAGGTGAGGTGAGGTGAGGTGAGGTGAGGTGAGGTGAGGTGAGGTGAAAAATGGGGTTTAACGTTGTGTCCAAGGTCCAAGATTATAGAGCGACGTGCATGCATGTGTATGTGGGTGCTTGTACTAGTCCGGACTAAAGCCAAGTTTATAGTGCTAGCCCAGTGAGAAACCATGCTGCAGTTTAACATGAATACCCCACTCGGTATACTGACTCCAACCTAGGACTGGGACGAGTCCGAATCTACTACCTGGGTACCCACACCCCTATCACCCGACCCTACCCGGGTACCCGCTGTTGGTGTCAAGAGATAGGTACAAAATGTCCGATTGGTAATAGTTTGACAGTAGCCCCGTAAAATGTTTTTAGATATACATATACAATGATGTAGTCTTGCATACACTGAAGTAGACTAAAGTTCCAGCTTTGTTCAAACATACATAATTCAGAAGGAACGTCTTCATAGTCATGAAGAAATGCGAACATTAGAGACTTAAAATTGTCATGTAACCATGAAGTTATATAGTGAATTTTTGTCATGAAACCAAGATATCACGTGACTAACCACAGGTCCTGGTAGTCCTGTGGGTACCCGGGTCCTACTCAGTACCCACCCGACTCGAGTACCCGAGTTACCCATCCCAGCCCTACTCCAAGCTGACCAGTCCTTGTTTTAGCCCCTTAACGCCGACGCTCTACCACTAGACTATGGAGGCAGTCGTATATATTTGAAGAAAAAGAACTGTGACCCTCCTCTACAGTAAATGACCAGTCCCTAAGATTGCCATCAATATATGAACACTTGACACTTGTTATTAAGTAGCTACATTCAATAATTAAGGGGACTGACTTGTAACACATTTAGGCATCACTTTTGGGATCATTTGGTTTATGATTCTGTATTACCAAACCGTAAGCTATGTTTTTTATGTTTTCATGTTTTTAGGGGATTTTTAAAGATAATTGCTGGGGGGGAATATACTACTCAAAACAAGTTAAGGAACACCCACAATTGGAAGGCTGTGTGTTGCAAGACCAACCAGCCATGACAGATTAACTATAGTCATATAAAAAAATTGGGTGTTCTTTAACTTCTTTTGAGTAGTATACATTAAAAAACAAATAAATTGTTTTTAAAATGACAAATCAAACAGTTACTGGTACAATGCTTCCAAAATTGACTTCTCTGGACATTTCATTTCTTTTCATAAATTATTTCACACACCCAGCACAAATTAAGCAACTTCTACACTTATCCCACATTCGAGAAAGTTTGGCTCGTAAACACAATGTGTCCTGATGAAGCAGAGCTTTGATGAGACATTACAACCCAAACAATACTAATGGCACTCTGTGTGCCTGTGTTTAACATCTCTCAAGTAATTTACTATTCAAGGCTTAAGTAGTCTTCCTAATCACACAACGTGTCACAGCTCCATCCAGTATCAGCGTCCATCACAGCCTCAGCTTCATACTGCACATGCCAGGAGATATGTACATCAATGATCGGCTTTCAGAAACCTCCATATCACAATTGACCGTGTGCCATTTTCGAAGTACAAGATCATTTCTAATGACAACTCCAATATCTTAACATACCGTAATCATCGTATTAAGCCCCCTGCCCAAATAAGTGACCATGACCATCTGCTAGAACAGTCTGTAATCTATAAACAACCCTTATTTAAAATGAAAATTACATGATATATTTTCTTGTGTATATTAAAGTTGTTTTAATATACAGAAAACAGCAGTGTAGAAGGGGTATAGAATAGCTTGGCAACTATTATCGGAAAAGGTTCAGTTTCATCGACGTTTCAAATAAGTTTGTTCGCTGCTGCTCAATCTCTGACAACAAATTGATTTTAATAAGCAGACCCATTTGTAAGTGCCTGGGGCACTTATTACAGTGAATACAGTACTTACAATAGACTATTGTAAGTATACACTGCTGTTTTCTGTATATTAAAACAATTCTAATATACACAAGGAAATATGTCATGTAATTTTCATTTTAAATAAGGGTTGTTTATAGATTACTTACAGATCTTGTCAATCTTCTAAGTGCCTGGGGCACTTATTACAGTGAATACGGTACGTAGCACAAAGATGGCTTTATATGGAATGAAGCTCCAGCTTGTTGCTCCTAACCTCACCAATACACATTCTACATACATGACACAATTCTGGTTTTAAAAAAAGTTATGAAAGGATATAAAAAGGTTTACAATTTTTGGAATTTTTTGTGAAAATATGTGTGACTTTTTGTAGTTAGAAAATTGTGTTACATGTTAGTCACATGTCTTCATAACATCATCCAGATGTAGGCCCATCAGGCTGCTGATGATGGTTAAATCTGGTGGAGTCTCATCATCACATTATATGCAAATCAGATACAGACATGTCATCTTGAGCAAAGTGTAGCACATTATAACAAACAATAGCAACATCATAGGGAACACCACCAACAAAAACAGGCTACATTCTACCACAGTAGGATTCAAACCCAGTCCTCATTGACTGTGGCAAATGCATGGACCACAGGCCTACTACTTAGTATTTAGAGAAAATACTCCCTTTTAAATACAGCAAAGGTCGAATAAAACTGGAAACAGAAATTTAACATCACTTACATCAGGTAAGTTGATACTAACATCTGTCGATGGGGACATTACAATTAATTTTCATTCTGGAACAAAATTCATGCTGAAGAAATCAAAATTGTTTCAAACTTTTAACGGTTGCGATCTATTGTGGCATCAAATCAGAATAATAAATTCTTTCTCAAGTAAAAAATGGGTAGCTAATATATTAATTTTTCTGAAAAAAATGCCCCATTTCTGGTGTCCCTGCCGTGATATTGCTGGAATATTGCTAAAACGGTGTAAAATCATACTCACTCACTCTGAAAAAATGTACCTAGGTGTGAGGATTTAATTTCTTTCTCAAACAGAAAAACAATGCTGTAAACTAATTTCTACCTTGGAACCTTGAGCATTAAATTATTGTACCAGCTGAAGCCCAACACTAAAGAGAAGGTGTGTCACGTTCTACTGATGCATCCATACATCGCACATTTACACGGATGACAACATACACGAATTCTGTATTGACCTTCAAAAGGCAATATTTAAGTTTGGCAATAACCCGGCTTGATAACTAATTGGGCTACCGCTATCTTAACCCTTCATGAAACAAAATGCTAAATTTGACTGCATTATTCTATAGCAACAAGCCTACATTTACCATTCATGAAAGTTCATCATAAACAAATTGATAACAACAACCTCTTGTTAGTTGGGCCACATGGAATATGAATTTCACCCCAAACAACAGAAAAATGTTACTGTAATCGACATAATAAGCGCCCCACTCTCATATTTGCTAATATATTGGCTAGTGAACAATTCCAATTAGCACCCCTTCCGATTGGTCAATTTACAAGAGACTTATTTATTCGCATATAATACACACTTGTGTGTTATATGCACCCATAATTATGGGCATTTAAATTCTGGAAAAATATATGTGTCATATATAAACATTTCAGGCAGTCACGAAACCACGAAATTTATCTTTCAACTCTGGTATTTTTCACCAAAATAATATTCTAATAAGAGACCCTTATTTCTAATTTTGAGAGCGCCCTGGGCGCTTATTACGTCGAATAGTATATCAAGTCATTCTGGATTATTGTGACACCCTGTAAAAGAGCAAAAGAATCTCACGTAAAGTCGGCTTTATTTACACAAATGTACGAGTTCACTCAGTTCTTTCATTCCATGAAACGTATGTACAGATGACAATACATCCACTCCCAGATTTACTCGTCCATCGTCTGTATTCATCCCTTGTCACTCTGTCCATCTTCTTTCCCTACTTGATCGAACTCCTGTGTTGATGACCGAGATATGAAGGACACGCAGGCATTCTTACATCTGGAGAACAAGCTCCCTTCGCTCTGACTGCGTGACATCACTCCGTCCAACAGCTCTAAAAGTAGGAAAACAAGATGACATATTTTCTGTTTACAGCAAAGAAAAACAACAAATATCATAATTAATAGAATAATATATTTGCAGTAGATATTATGAATTATCCTTCAAAAATTATACAACATTGTTCTCTAACAGCATGTTTCCTTTATTGCAATGATAACTGTCCTTTTTCTAAAAAATGTAATCCCTAAAAAATAAACTTCCAAAAATCATGATATACAAGCAGGTTAAGGGTTAACAGTTCAGGAAGTTTTCCATCCGACAAAATCAACTTTTGTGGGGTTTAAAGCTTGCGGAAATAAATAACAGCTCTTAATCATAATATGTTTATTCTGAAAATTAACAGCATCCCCATTGTAGGAAAAACAGGACAAGATATGAGAACATAAGTGCCAGTTTAATACCCTCCTTTGTGTGTTGCCCAAGAACGCCTGTTGTGTTAAATCTTGACAACATTTATGCATTGGTCTATGATCGCTGTGTTTTTCTTCCTGAAAATCTCTTTGATGATGTCAACATTTTCACTATTTAGTTCCAGGGGTATATGCGGGTATGTTTCCAACATCAAATCTGTGAGCTGCCAATCTCATTAAAATCAGATCTTAGTTCTCGCTTTCCATTTACGGGTCACGTCAGAACGACCTTTCATCCAACCAATCAGAGCGCCGCTTACCAATCATGAAAGTGACAGTCGGAATGTGTTTTCTAATCATGCAACCACGAAATATTTAAATCGGGGTATTCCGAACGACAGTTACAGGTTTTATGATTATATCCATACAATCTATAAGCCATTCCAGAATGTTCTTCTTATCAGATTTAAATTTTTAAACGAGAATACGTCAAAATATGTTTTGAAGTGTAGTCGCCAGTTTGAAACTAGTGTTGTAAAGCTCGAGAAAGCCGCCTTCTGATTGGCTATTGTCGATTTCTTGTCAGTCATTTCATTGGTCAGTCAAAATTCGCGAAAGGTAGTTCTGACGTGACCCTAATGGATGTCCTCAGATCTTTGTTTAGCGGAAGCGAAAACTAAGATCTGATTTTAATGAGATTGGTGAGCTGCTCACTTAATTCACCCACATAGGGATTCCTGGTCGGAATATGTCGTCAATGGTGATGTCGGTGTCATGACAAGAGTGTGAGTTTGTGTTAAGCCGCTTGGAACAGTATTTCAGTTATATCACGGCCTGTCAGTTTGATGTGGGAGGAAAGCCCAAAGTGATGCAGATCTAAGACGTTTACAACTTCCATAAAGCACACGAGCGCGGTGCTAACAAACCCAGAAAAATAATCAGTGGATCCAGTATTCACACTCACAATCATAGGTTTAAGGCATGCCAAACTGCACAATAAATTGTTTGTTTGTTTGTTTGTTGTTTAACGCCGCACTCTGCAATATTCCAGCTATATGACGGTGGTCTGTAAATAATCAAGTCTGGATCAGACACAATCCAGTGATTAACATCATGAGCATCGATCCATTCAACTAGGATAGATGACATGCATCAACCAAGTCAGCGAGCCTGACCACCTGATCCCCTTAGTGGCCTCTTACGACAAGCATAGTCGCCTGTTACGGCAAGTATGGGTTGCTGAAGACCTATTCTACCCGGGATCTTCACGGGGCATCTCAGATGATATTAATATTATTTACCATTAACCCTGTACAACTGAACAATCATGTTATAACTCTAATGGAAAAACTTCCATCCTGAGAAAAACTTTATTTTAATAACAGGGAGAGGAGGAAATCTGCTGACACCCTTAACCACCATGCACCCATATCCAAAATGTACAGTACACTCAAATCACCCATGGGAATAGAACCTGTCAGCAAGCAGGACAAGCAAACATTGTCCACTGCACCTACCCATCACCAAAACTTAGAGAAGAAAAGTCCTTTAGATATGTGCAAGCAGATACATGTAAGCAGATAACATGTCAAAGATCACCTTATGTGCCGGCTCTACCCTACAACTGTGCTGAGTTGGGCTGAAGAGGGGAATCTGTGGCCAACATAAAAGAAAGGTTACCATGCATCAAAACCTTTGTCTCCTAATTACTTTGTTCATGGATCCTCAGACACAAAATTTCTCTAATATGGAATAAAACTACAATGGGTAGTCTTTTTCTCTTTTCCATCAAGTTTGTTAAGAATTTTCAGTCATGAAAATTAATTCAAATTGGTCAATATCATAAGTGAATTTACCTGTCTATACAAAATACAAACAAATCGTTTATTTTCCCTTTTTTCATTTACCCACCTGAAGTCTTGGAATTATTTTTCAAAGAAGGCTAATTGCTTGAAACTTTCAATGTACAAACCTTCTGTTCCTGTAATTTTTCGACACATGACAATTTACCGTTTCCACTTACAACAAAATTCCACCCATTGTTTTTAGGTTTCAGCTAAATCACTGTGATGACCGATATGGTGTGCCGTTTCAAGGTATGGGACACAGAATTCAAACTTTTGTTCAAACTGATGTCATAAAAAAAAAACATTCAGCTTCCAAATGGCTACCTCTTTCTTATACAAAGAACACAACTTCTTTGTACTCCAAACAAAACTGAACTGAACTAAAACAAGAAACAAAAGATTTCCTCCATCTAATACATACCTACTCCTTAACTCAAACACAACTTACCATGAATGTACAATCTATAATTTCCCACAACATTCACATCCCTACCCAGGGATTATCAATAAAAGTACTACAATAACACAATGTATGAACAAGGTTGAACATGAATAGTGTATTCATCATACATTCAATCTGATAAGAATGTGACAGATAAGTTGAGGATGAGCGATGGTACTTAATCATCCCTGTTCTCACAGCGGATCTGATCCCCCTGATAATGTACTGTCACATGTCCTCCATCTGTCTTAGAGCAGAGCTTGGAGTCATACGAATAGTACACCCCCGTGCATGAGCAGTTCACGCAAATGGCACTTTCCACCTGTCACTCAAGACCATAAATGTACAGAAGATGCCGCCGCTGTACCTGCACTGCCTTGTTTAAAGCAAATGCAAGTGATACGAGAGGTGGAATCTGATTGGTCCAAAGAAGAGACAAAGAAGGGACATAACTCATAATAGCCACAGGCAGCGCTTCGATCGAGCCCAGGAATTCCAGCCTTGTTCGACAAGGGTGGAAACAGGACTTTTAAAGTCAGTGAACTCTCTGGCCTCGGGAAGATGGTTTTAGACGTGACCCAAATAACACACTCACATTGGACCGTTAGCTGTGGCAGTTGGGTTGTCATGGAAACTAATGGCATCATCCTCTATTCTAACAACTGGGTTCTTGAGTTGTCATGGAAACATGACATGCTTATGTATTCTTACTACTTGGTCGCTGGGTTGTCATGGAAACATGAAATGCTCATCTATTCTAACAACTGGGTCGTTGGGTTGTCATGGAAACATATGGCATCATCATCTATTCTAACAACTGGGTTGTTGAATTGTCATGGAAACATGACATGCTTATCTTTTCTAACAACTGGGTCGTTGGGTTGTCATGGAAACATGATATGCTCATCTATTCTAACAACTGGGTCGCTGGGTTGTCATGGAAACATGACATGCTCATCTATCCAAACAATTGGGTAGTTGGGTTGTAATGGAAACATGGCATCATCATCATCTATTCTAACAAATGGGTCATTTGGTTGTCATGGAAACATGGCATCATCACATATTCTCTAAAGCTTCTCCTGCATTTCAAAGCAACGTAATTTCTCCATGTTCAGAATACATACTGGATAGAATACTACTGGAACTTACTGATAACGTTTTGTAATTTCATATCAATAGGCATAAATTTCATATTGACAGTCAATCTCATTAAAATCAGATCTTAGTTCTTGCTACCGCTAAACAAAGATCTGAGGACATCCCATTACGGGTCATGTCAGACCGACCTTTCATCCGACCAATGTGAGCGTCGCTTACCAGATCATTAAAGTGACAGTCGCCGCGAACTGTGACCAACAAATGGAATGACCAGTCAGAAGGCAGCTTTTTCATGCTTTACGGCACTAATTTCAAATTGGCGACTACGCTTCGAAACACATTTTGACGAATTCTCGATTACAAATTTGAAACCTGAACAAAAGAACATTCTGGAATGGCTAATAGATGGTCTAGATTGTATGGATTCAGTTGTTAAACCCGTAACTATCGTTCGGAATACCCCGTGTTAAAGTTTTCGAGGTTGTATGATTAGAAATCACATTCCGACTGTCACTTTCATGATCTGGTAAGAGACGCTCTCACTGGTCGGATGAAAGATCGTTCTGACGTGACCCCTAATGGGATGTCCTCAGATCTTTGTTTAGCAGTAGCGAGAACTGAGGTCTGATATTAATGAGATTGTGTTAACAGTGGTCATTGAATTTGATGACCGCAAATGTGATCATTGGAAACCTGTTCCGTACATGATATTCATTGTTGTCTTCATGCGTACCTGTTTCAGTGAGCACGGGCGACCCTGCCTCTTCACCTGAAATGAGTTTCTTTTGTCGCAGATTTAGGATGGAGTCAGCAATGATTCGGGCAGTGCCCCTCGTATATCCCCCACTTGTCAACATGAAGATGGGGATATTCAGTTTTCTGGCTATTGCAAACACCATCTCATCTCTGTCGATGATGCCCTGAACAAAGAACAGGTATACAGTCACATTTTCTCGGGTTCAAACATTGTAAAAGTTTCACCATCCTACACAGGGACAGAAATGAACCTACAAAGTTTACAAGTCACAATAGTAATAATGAAAGCAAGGAATATATCCTACCTAAATATTGACCCGGGGGAAATTTTACTCCAGAGTATAGTATAGGATAGGATTAAACACACTGATAGGGGTTCAAATTCACTACGGAGAATCATCCTGACACTAGAGAATTTCATCCCCAGGATAAAACATAGGGTAGGATAATATTCACTCTTACAATAACCCACAGGGACATCCCCAAGAACATTTCCTGAAATACTTGTGTGGAGAAAGTTCAAGAGCCCAAAACAGCTCAGTAAACTTTGCTACTCTTCGGAAAATTCCAGAAGTTAGCAACTATTAAATTATTAATTACCGGATTATATTGTGTAATTTGTAATTGTGTAGCTGGCTTGACGACAGTTCGATGGGCAATGTTTTGCATGTAGCAGACCTCAATCTGCACTCCAAGATGAAAGAATCAGCAGCAGAAGGCAAGTTAACAAACTGCATGACTTACCTGGGCGGTGACAGAGAGGTTTCCGAGTGGGTCCCCGTCCAATATGTCCGTCCCGGCATTGTACACAATAATATCTGGCGTGAAGTCCTCAAGAGAAGCATTCAAATTGCTGTGAAGTAAATATTTCAAAGACTAAACAAACATTCAAGTCTTTAAGACCTCTGGAAAGTGTTCTGTGTTTTTGTTTAATGCTGAACTTGGTAATATTCAGCTTTAGGATGGCAGCCTGTAAATAATATGACAATCAAGTGATTGATATTACGAGTGATGTCTGACGCCATCGGGGTACAATGACATCAATGAATTGAGTCACATGACTACTCAATCCATGTTTTCGCCTCTTACAACAAGGGTAGGTTGCTAGGAACCTTTTCTAACCTGGAATCCCCACGAGGCTAAACCATGGCCGACTTGCATGTAACATGGTTCATACAAAACGTGATCCTTGATTAAAGACATTTTTAAGGCCTTCTAAAGTCAAAGATCACACTCTCCAAGTCTTAAAATAAGATCGAAGTGTGTTTTGAAACCCACTTATAAGGACATTCTTACTTTCATATTGCCAGAATCAGAATGGTTCAATTGGCACATCCAAATACATGGACGTCCATCGACCAGTGTGTCAAAGTTATCTAGTGATAAAGTTATGGACAAATCTAGGTATAATGTGAGGTGAGGTGAAATTGGGTTTAACGTCCAAGATTATTGCGCTTATATAGCGACGCGCATGCACGTGTATGTGTGTTTGGCTGCTTGTACTAGTCCGGACTGATGCGGATTTATAGTGCTAGCTCACTGAGATACCATGCTGCAGTTTAACAATGATACCCAACTTAGACACAGTATACTGACGCCGAGCCGACCAGTCCTTGTTCTAGCCCTTTAATGCCCAGCACCAGACAGGGTAACAACAAGTACCATCTTTTAACGTCTTTTGGTATGACGCGGCCGGGGATCGAACCCCGGACCTTCCGCTCTACCACTAGACCACGGAGGCGGTCCTAAGTATAATGACACCATCACACATTATGAGAGAACAAATAACGTTATATACTGGTACATTGTACATATACTACTCAAACTAAGTTAAGGAACACCCCATTCTTTCATATTACTTATTTACTATAGTAATATGAAAGAATGGGGTGGTCCTTAATTTATTTTGAGTAGTATATATGTAACAGAAGAGTTCACCATAGTAGCCAAGTTCAATACCTAAAGGCATTTCATCATATTTTAAGGCCTTTCCAAGGCAATTCAATTTAAAGGCCTTTCCGAGGCCAGACTTCCAAATTTAAGACATTAAGAAGTCCTTGTGAACCTTGTGTAAGCGATTGAATCTGGGTGCCGTTGTACAAAACAACCTTAGCGCTATGATAATCGTAAGTCTATGTTAAGGTATGGGAGTTACAATCACCACAGTGCTAAGATCCCTTTGTACCACGTTGGGCAAACCAGTGGTTGATTAACCATAGCACTGAGGTTTGACATCCCAATCTTGTTGCTGTGACAATTGTACTCCCATACTTTAGCCATCTTCCCGAGGCAAGAGAGTTAAATGACTATAAAAGTCCAGTTTCCACCCTTGCCGCACTTGGCTGGAATTACTAGGCTCGATTGTAGCACCACCAGTGGATATTACGAGTTATGTCCTTTCTATGCCTCTCCTATTGACCAATCAGATTTCACCTGTCGTATCACTTGCGTTTGCTTCACACAAAATGGTGGCGCCCAGTCAAGACGATGTGATCGATTATCAAGATCTATATTGTGTTAAAATGGGTTTTACATCGCGAAATGCATCAAATCACGCAAGCACCTTGATAAAAAACATGAAAAGATTTGGAAAATATCTGCAGACAATGAGTTGGCGGTGCACATGCTTTGCAAATCCTGCAATCGACCGAAATCTGCACGAAAGTTTACGATCCGGATATCGATTTTGGTGTGCGATTTTGATTGGACTATGCATAGACTTGTTAGTCCAGCCAAAATGTAACTCCATAATACCAGCCTGGTTCGGCAAGGGTGGAAACTGGACTTTTATAGTCAGTTAACTCCCTTGCCTTGGGAAGATGTACTTAAGCATTCACTCGTGACATCATTGCGCTATAATAGCAATGAGGAATGGGTCTCAGATGAACAAAATGTTGCTGGAGAAATAAAAATACAAGCTGTCATGTGCTGACCCTAGTGGCTTGTCAGGGACTTTGGAGTTGACCATTGAGTGAGTGAGTGAGTTGGGTTTAACGCCGCTTTTAACAGTATTCCAGTTATATCACGGCGCGTCAGCTTAATGTGGGAGGAAAGCCCGAAGTGATGCAGGTCTCAAGACGTTTACCACTTCGGTGAAACCCACAAGCACAGGTATTGTGCTGACAAACTTAGAAACATAATCGGGGCGCCAACCGGGATTTGAACCCACAATCATAGGTTTCTGGCATGCCCAAGGGACGCAACTCTGCAACAGCGAATAGAGGCGCCTTAGACGACTGGGCCACCAATGCCCCCTGTTGACTATTGAATACACTCTACCCAAACATTTGAACCACTGCCTATAATGTAGCCTGACAGCAGGATGGAACCCTCTAGATGTTCCCACTTACGATTTAACAGCATGTAGGTAGTCAACATCATCAGTCAGGTGATTCAGCTCCACTTTCCGCTTGATTGCCCCTGAAAATACCAGTTTCCATATACAACCTGAGCATAAGCCTTGTTAGCTGCTTGAAACAGAGCTCCAGATAAGCTGCGTATCTGCGTAAAATACGCATCAGAAATGCAGAAATACACAGTAAAATAAAATCCAAGCGTATCAAATACGCAACGAACATTACAGATACGCTACAAAAATAAAACTTGTGCGTATCATGAAAATATTGTGAAGTAACCCTGCGTATTCGATTAGAAAATCAGCAACTTATTTTGAAATTATAAACGGGCATTCCGTCAACCTTGCCAAACTCCATGATGACAGTTACATCATGATCATTTGCCATCACACTTTCTTGTGGAAGTATCGTGGTATTTTTTAGTCCTATAAAGCTCTCGAACCCACACGAAACCAGTTTGCAGGGACTAGATGAATAGTGTTTTTAAATATTTAACTTAAATACCCACATGTGTAAAAACTAGTGGGTAACAGAAATTTGAATACCCAGATAGAATTACTGATACCCAATGATTTTAAAATGCATGGGTCAAATACCCACAACACCAAAAGCTTATCTGGAGCTCTGTTGACAGCATATTTCTTTCAGAACAATCTATATTTTCCCCAGCTATATACAACAAACTATTTATTGACTGAGCACATCCAAAAATCTATTCATTTTCACAACTTAACATAAAATTGTCGACGTTTGGGTATTTTCCACAAAACAAACTATTAACGTTTTTCATCGCTGCCCACAAACTATTCGTTTTGGGCATATTTCTGAACAAACTATTTATTTAACCAATATAGTGTTTTTTATGTTGCAAATGTAATGCCAACATTTCAGCAATCGGAGCAGGGAATATGAGAAATGTACCTTACATGTTTAATAGTTAGGTACATTGATAAATAATAGATTGGGCGTCAGCCCCCAAAAATCTGATAAGATTTAGGTATCCCACAAACAACAGATACGTATGTTAAATGTCAATACTCTGACTACATACTCTTGGCAAATCCGTCATGTGGGTATATTCCTCTGTTATACACGTCCATTATGTACACCCGATCGTCGTCCATGAAGTCTCGCTCGTGACCATTGCCCTGCAATTAGAACAGGAACTGTGGAGGAGCAACAAGCCGTACTTCCTCTAAGATGTTCTCTATTATTCCATTGTTGACGGAAAGCAATTTCAAAATTTCATTGAATATAGCCACCCCCAAAATGTCACAAAATTACCCAAACAAAACATTTTAATATCGATTAAACTATTTCCTGAAATGAATTTTCACAAACCTGATGAGCATCAAGGTCAACAATCATGACCTTTGACACAGCCTCCACCTTCTCAAACAGGAATTTAATGGACAAGGTGATGTCGGCATACGCACAGAAGCCGCCCCCACGCTCTGCAGAACAATGGTGGAATCCTCCGCCAATATTGATGGCCCAGCCACGATCCATGGCCAGCTTGCCTGCCTGAAATACAAGCAATGTTGGCAACACCGAGGTGGTAAATGTGGCTTCCCTACCACATTAAGCTGACACAAATACTGTTCAAAATGGAGTTGAATCACACTCACTCACTCAGCAGAGGTCCAGTGCCATGTTCCACTAAGCGATCCTGGTGCTACTGCTGTTGTAAGTCTATGTTAAAGTATGGGAGTTACGATTACCTAAGCACTATTATCGCTTTGTGGAATGGATCCCTGGATTACAAAGATAATAACTTTGTCACACTAAAGTGGACAAAATCCATATCAAATCCTTGTCTATCTGACCAAAATGCACATCTTACCGATATGTCTATCTTACAATATGGATATCTTACCAAAATGGATATCTTACCAACATGTCTATCTCACTGAAATATGGAGATATTTAATGGTGATTGACAACCGATGGTAACTATTCTGTCTACATGATTTTATATCTCAAACTAAGTGCTCAAACCGAAACCCATTTGGGACGAAAGGATTCCTTCTGGGTTCACATACGAAAGTTCCAACTAAGAGACGAATGGAAAATAGAAGCAAAAATTTGTTTCAAAAATTCATCCTGACTTTTTTGTTTTTGTTTGTTTGTTGTTTAACGCCTCACTCAGCAATATTCCAGCTACATGACGGCGGCCTGTAAATAATCAAGTCTGGACCAGAAAATCACAAGCATCGCTCCACGCAGTTGGGATATGATGACATGCATCAACCAAGTCAGCGAGCCTGACCACCTGATCCCGTTAGTCGCCTCTTACGACAAGCATAGTCGCCTTTTACGGCAAGCATGGATTGCTGAAGACCTATTCTACCCCAGATCTTCACGGGTCTAATACAGACTAAAGACAAAACATATTCCTAATGTTAACATGGTTAAAGAACACACAACCAGGCAAGGGAACTGATATTTATCAGGTGCCAAGAGTCTAGGTCTATTATCAAGGGGTTTCTTCAAGCCACAATGTGTCAGTGTCGCGTCAGCGATGTTGACCTTGAGCCATGACAGGTGGCCTTGAACTTTGATATCACTTTTTGGCCACTCAGTAGGGAAAGGGGATTTATTTCATGGACAGAGTTTGACTATGCTGTGTGATAGTAGAACTTGAAATTAACACAAGAGATGTTATTTGGATAAAATCATCATGTGGAGGTACAAGTAGTCTGCGGAATCTGAGTTAAACCCCAAAGCATCAATCGTTGTCCTGCAACAACCGTTGCCAAGCAGCCACTGTTTCTAACCAGTGCAGCGACAGCTACCCTCCCACTACAACTGCCAAGCAACCCATGTTGCTATGCAGCTTGCACTGCCCGGCAAATACAATTGCCAAATATTGAGGGAGGGCAACAATAGTTGCCAAGCTGACCATCCACTGTAAAGAAGACACTAATCCACCCTATCCTGTATAATTTACAATTTGGGTAGTCTGTCTTACAGAACCTGATACAAATATATAACAAATACAGCCCATGCAAGTCTATAATGTTTGGCAAGCCTAGATCACTGCAGTATCTGAAAATGAAGAGAGTCACTGGGCTCCTTTTTATTATATTTTTATTAAGATAACTGAACAACTGTTTTTTTATTTACGATATGTTCATTTCAGAGACTAGATGTTAGGCTACAATTTGGGATGTATCCTAAAATGGAATATAATTTGTAATATAGTCCACCAGTAACCCATCACAAGCACCAAAGGAGTGACAATATCACTATTTTTCCACTTGGCAGAGATAGGGCACTTATTTCTTTGACAGATTTGACTATCTCCCTGCCAATAATATGAGTATCTTACCAATATGGATCCCCCAGTCTGATGTCGAAATGGACGGAGCACCTTCCTCTGGACGATGAAATTAGGCAACAAGGCTACAGGAGGCACTTCAGTAATTCCAGCCACATTCATGCTCCACTGAAACATGTACACTCCAAGTCAGCACATAGAACATGGTACCATCATCCTGGAGGAGACCACTCATTCAATCTGGTGACAATAACTCACGTTACTTGTCAAAGTTAGTTGATAAATCAACAATGGTCAGTCAAATTTAATGATGAAAACAGAACAGATGATTAACAGAAATTTGAGGAAAATAGACAATCCAAGGTACAGCAGCTTACCTCCACCTTTTTGAATGAGTGAGTGAGTGTGTTTGGTGTTATGCCACTTTTAGCAATATTCCAGCAATATCAGGGCGGGGGACACCAGAAATGGGCTTCACACATTGTACCCATGTCAGGATTTGAACCAGGCATTTGGCGTGACGATCGAATGCTTTAACCACTAGGCTACCCGACCGCCCCTCACCTTATTGAAGATACACTCAACCCAAACCTTGATGTCATCTGCTGTTGACTTACTTTATACATTCTCATGACTTTCTTCAATATTTTCATGTCTGTTTTCTACATTTGAACTATTGTTGTATGTTCTACCCTAATAGTGCATTCTATCCTGAGATACATTCTACCCTTACAGTGCATTCTATCCTAGGATACATTCTACCCTAATAGTGCATTCTATCCTAAGATACATTCTACCCTTACAGTGCATTCTATCCTAAGATACATTCTACCCTTACAGTGCATTCTATCCTGAGATACATTCTACCCTTACAGTACATTCTATCCTAAGATACATTCTACCCTTACAGTGCACTCTATCCTAAGATACATTCTACCCTTACAGTGCATTCTATCCTAAGATACATTCTACCCTTACAGTGCATTCTATCCTAACCTACAAGCAGCTGCACTTGCACTTGACATACCATGAAACTGAAATAGCATTCAAAGTGACATTACGCCAAACCCACTCACTCACTCTACAGATTATGAATGTTAGTTATGGGAATGGCTTTGAATGAATAATTGGTAACTCTGTGAATAATTGTTACCTTGCAGAGATAATCATTAATATATATCATGCATATGTGATGAGTAACCATGGTAACATGAAAATATTACTGCAATATGCGTTCTGAGGATAACAGTAACCATGGTAACAAGTATTCCTTAACTTATGCCTGAAATAAGAGGATTACAAACCAAAGTTAGTGATTTTGCAGCCTTGGGTGTCATCATTAGTACTCATAATAAGCTTGTATTTCATCATTGATTTTGAATGGCAACTTGTCTACCTTAATTATAACTGGTTACCAATGCTTATTACATTCGCAAGAAATTACATGAGAAAGAACACATTTTAAACATTATTTGAGCATTTTGTGCCTTAATTGAAAATGCCTAGGTTAATGATGAGTTTTTTTATGAGCAGTTGAACGTTTAAAAGACATATTTAATATCTAATAACAATTTTCCTGACAAACGATTATGAATAATTCCAATCAGCTATTACATACTTTGCAACCAGGGGTCCGGAAACCGTCATATGCGCCGGACATGTCCGATTGGGAATCTCAAATGTCCGTTTTAAAATATTGCTTACCGGACATTTTAAAAAGTATTGTCCGGACATTCTTAAATTTTGACCGGACATGATCAACAGTTAGGACTGAGCAGTTTCTGTCTGCAGTTGGAACACAATGAAGATTAACTACACTGACAAGCTTTGTTTGTTTTGATTGCTGTAAATACATCGTACCTACATGATAGTCCAATCGGTCAATCACTGTAATAGGCAATAAACTGAGTTGACACTGATTAATCGAGGATTAATTACTGAGAACATCTTGTTAATTTGAGTGAAAGGTGTTTACAACTGTACATTAATACCTTGCATCATCGATGTACCTCATTATCCTCACAATGCTACGATACGAAACCTCAGACAAGAAGCGAAAGCGTGACGACAGCCAGTCGACCGGATCTGCCAAACCCTCAAAGTCTGGACGATCATTTTGTAAGTCGTGGCTAACGACTTTCACTTGGTTGACATGCAATGAGGACTTGCAGATTTTATTGTTTTCAGTAGCTAGTCGTATATTGAATCTTGATTGACCGCCATTTTGCTTTCTCGGACGATCGATATCCAATTTTTTTATGGTCAATAATTAAGTACAGATGAAAAAAGTATTCAAATAACTATTGCTATCAACGATATTTTAGTATTTGTGATTAAATTATCTGTCTTGTTTTTAGAAAAATCTTTAGTTTAAAAAAAACCTTTTCCCATGAGGTCACGTGATAACCAAATATGGGATAATAGTCTCGATCCAAATGTTACAACGCGTACACTTGAGCAGACTCATGAATATAACTCATGAATATTAATTAGACCGTTCACTACGTTAACAGATCGTTATTATAACAGAAACAAACGGATGTTTTCCATGTAAATCTAAAATAATATTATTTGTTATTAATTGTCCGGTGAATTAAACAATTTAAATTGAAACAATTCATAATTCATCATATTATGAATACGTAAACTTGTAATGTGTGTGAAAAGTTGTACTAAAATACGCTATTTGAAGGGGGCGTGGCCTAAATGTAAATGTCCGATTGGGATTTTAAATTTTCCGGACCCCTGTTTGCAACCCATCAATCAATGATTATAATTGATGAATTGAAAACCTGTACTTCTCATACAACTCCTTGGTGACTTTTATTGTTTCAAGTTACTTTTCCTTTGTGGAATATTTCCCAAATTTACATATATAAATAGTGCCATTTTACTGTAGCTAACCTAGATAAGTAGTCAACAGTTTTGAAACTGTCAGCATTGAAATTCAAGTATTTATTGCATGAATACTGAGTAGACCAAATGATTTGAACAAAATATAAAATCATGAAGGAGAAATATACATGACAAAGTTCTGCTTCCCATCTGGTAATTCCAGAGAAGACGTTTACAGAACCAAAAAAGCATTTTGAGAGATTTTAAACACATGGTCAAAGCAATGTCAAAATCTAAAAATGTAAAAAAAAGTTTACATATATGTGTGGCCCCACTACCAAATACACAACATAACAAATTTCATTACATTTAGAAAGAAATTGCTGAGTTAAAGATATGAATAGGTGTTTCAATATTGCTCTGTGGCCGACAGATAAGTTGTTATGAGGTAAACTCACATAGCTTTTCAGCATGTTCAGACCAGGTGAGCTAATAATTTAACTGACTATGCAATTAAGTTTTCTCTGTTGAAGAAAGTAACATGTAACTGTCAAACCTGCCCAAGCTTCTAGTGAGTAAAAAATTTAACGTCGCACCAGCATTATTTAAGCCCAAGCTTCTATGGTTGATCACACTAACAGATGTAATACTTTCATCAACTCGTAAACTAGACATGTACAATTTACAACAATGAAAGTTACGAATTCCAACATATCTGAAAAAAATGTGCCAAGGGATATTGACATGCTCAAATGTCAAGCCAAGTTTATTCACAAAGAACAAATACATAATGATGGACAGTATGATGACCACTTCATTTACATTTCATATGAGCCAAGCCCTTTTGAATCACCACATCATGTGTCAGAGATAGAAATTCATTTTTTTTCAACTGTGCCACGGCACTTCTAAAGATGGTTAGATGTGCCATTTGTAATTAAAGTGTGCCAACAAGTAGAATTTTTTTTATCCCCAATCAAAATCTGTGAATGCCTTTTCACCAAGGCTAGTTTATAATCAGTGGTAATTTGGAGTGAGTGAGTGAGTGAGTATGGTTTTACGCCGCTTTTAGCAATATTCCAGCAATATTACGGCGGGGGACACCAGAAATGGGCCTCACACATTGTGCCCATGTCGGGAATCAAACCCGGGTCTTCGGCGTGATGAACTAACGCTTTAACCACTAGGCTACCCGACTGCCCCATGTGGTAATTTGGAAAGTTTGTCCTCTTCTTTTTCACTGAGATTGATAACACCCTTTTTAATTTCTGATACCCATTTTTGGGGGTGAGTCACACTGTGTTTTGAACATGTTTGCATTTTCACCCCTATCCTTAAAAGGTCTTACCAGTGTGTCTACATGACAAAAAAGAGTTTGAGGAAGATCAAAAATCATTTGCGTCCATCACATACTTATTCACTATGAAAATAATCATGGCCGGTTCTGGTGCAGGGAATACACACAATTCAACAGGTTTGGGAAGAGCTGGGACTACACTGTCGTACACCAACGGCATGCACTGTCTATCAACATCATAAACAGTCTCTTCAAAATATTTCCATACTTCAATTCAGAGTAGTCATACAGCTATTTCAGAGTTGTTTACTAACTGGAATCCAAGACTTGGAACCCATACGACAGGTTTCAAACTGCCATACTGAAAATGTTCCTAATTGTTAACAATATAACAATGTTTTTACAGAAATTATAAAAGATGTCATTATTTAACAGTATACTGCATTTGTTGTAAATTTGAAAATCATCAGTGCTAAAGTGATTTATTTAACACTTGGTAAATAAACTTCATTAAGACTTTTACATCGTTAAAATCTAATAATGACCAACATTTAAATATGGAAATATCCTGTAAATACACAAACAGTATAAGGCAATTCTGTACTTGCTCTGGGCTTTAAATTTTAAATTAATTTTATAAATAAATAAATTGTATTGCAATATTGCATTTTGACATGGAATAATAATGATAATAATAATAATAATATCCAAGTTAAGGACATGTAGGGTTAACAAAATGTTACAGTAAAACAAAAGCTGAACACATGCATCTATATCATGCTATATCTGACATATTCTATATTTAAGATATTTATGTAAAGTCATGCCAGCATAAACATTGATATACCGAATCATTCTAAATATTGGAACAATTAAAGCTGTAGTGTCAAACAGAAACATACTTCAAGCAGAAAAGATAAGTCACATAAACAGGTGTCAATGAAGTAAAAGATTTTAAATTAAATATGATCTACTAAAAGTCATAATAATTGTACTACTGACAAAAATAAGGGAACTAATGATTTGAATGTAGCTATTATTTACAATACCGTGGCATTGAATCTGGACGCAACATCTAATTACCGTATTTGACGTAATAAGCGCCCCGCTCTAATAAGTGCCCACGGCGATATTTGTTAATATATTGGCTAGTGAACAATCCCAATTAGCACCCCTTCCGACTGATCAGTGTACACAAGACTTATTTATTCGTGTATAATACACACTTGTGTGTTATATGTACCCTTAATTATGGGCAATTAAATTCTGGAAAATATAGCTGTCGTGTATAATACGCACAGACTTTTCATTTGTATCATTTCAGGCTGTCAGCATAAACCACGTAATTTACAATCTTTCAACTCTGTTTTTTTTCTCATGAAAATTATATTCTAATAAGAAGCCCCTATTTCTAATTTTGAGAGCGCCCAGGGTGCTTATTACGTCGAATACTGTACATTGAAATTTCATATCAAGCATGATTAGCATGTGATGTATTGTCACCAATAATCCAAAGTGAGAGCGCCTACAGGGAAACTCACAATCACTAATGTAATTGAGCTAAGCACACGCTTTAAAATGCCTCCTAGGCAGTATCTCAATGAACAGACATGAATGGTGAATTGTGGGTGTGATAGCTGTGCGACAATGGCGTTACACCAGTTTACAGACAAATCAAGGTTTAGCCTTTGCCTCCAATGCACAGATGTCAGAAAATTTTGTTGACGATGCAGCAGCGAGTGGTTTTCTAGGGCAACAGTTTGTTTTGTTTGTTTGTTTGTTGTTTAAGGCCGCACTCAGCAATATTCCAGCTATATGACGGCGGTCTGTAAAATAATCAAGTCTGGACCAGACAATCCAGTGATCGACATCATGAGCATCGATCCACGCAATTGGGATCGATGACATGTATCAACCAAGTCAGTGACCCTGACCACCCAATCCTGTTAGTCGCCTTTTACGACAAGCATGGGTTGCTGAAGACCTATTCTATCCCGGAATCTTCACAGGTCTCTAGGGCAACAAAACTTGACCACAATCGGTATGGGGCGTAGGTAGTGTCATGGTGTGGGGCGGCATCACACATGACAGGCAAACTGGCTAGCAATATGTGAACAATATTTTGCATCCTGTCGCCGTTCTATTCACTAGAATTATTGGCAGATATTTTAAACGGCAAGACAATGCCAGACCACATCGTGCCAAGGTCTTTACAAATTATCTCTGATGAGAAGGCACATGGACATTGGACTGGCCCACTAAGTCCCCTGACTAGTCGCCAGAAGACTCTCGGGCGGAGAGTGTATGCCAGAGTCTCAGCACCCGTCAACGTAGCCCACCTTGGGGTAGTTCTTCAGGCGGAATGGCACGCAATACCAAGGGCAGCCATACGCAAGCTAATAAACTGCATGCCACTTTCCACACGACAAACTTCAGGGGAAACTTCATTCCTTGATCCATGGGGCCTTTTTGACAATAGGTGGTGACCATTGATACAGTTATACATGTGTATATCTCTCTGGCCCGTGAAGGTCCGGGGTAGAATAGGTCTTCAGCAACCCATGCTTGTCGTAAAAGGCGACTATGTTTGTCGTAAGAGGCGACTCACGGGATCGGGTGGTCAAGCTTGCTGACTTGGTTGATGCATGTCATTGATCTCAATTGCGATGCTGATGATGTCAATCACTGGATTGTCTGGTCCAGACTTGATTATTTTACAGATCACCGTCATATAGCTGGAATATTGCTGAATGCGGCGTTAAACAACAAACAAACAAAGCATGCATCGCCCAACATGGACACACCAGATATTAATCTACATGCCAAAATTAATTTTACAGACTTTAATTGTTATCACACGTAAACCATAATTTCATCAGTTCCCATATTTTTTGTTGGTAGCATATATCGGTTGACACAGTGAGTTCCAAAACTATGAAAAATATCAAAACGAAAATAAACTAAACATGAACAATAACTCTGAGTACATTTCTGTACATGACAAACTAATATTTCACGCTACGATAACAACACAAAAAGCTGGAACAATACGAAGCATATCAGGAACGTCTACACTACTGAAACATAACAAACTTCTCTGAAATTGACATGAACGATAAGATGTAGCCCTTGTATTAGAACAAGTACATGAATGCCTGTCAAGTGCATATTGACAAGATATTGTTATCGACAAGATTGAATGAGTGATATCTGGTATATATACCTCGTTGATTCCTTCCACAATGTCTGTCAACTGGAGCCAGAAGAATTATGCAAGCCATGTATAAAGGACAGATCCCGTAACCAACCAATCAATTCACAGAGCAAGAAGCACCAGTTAGATAGCAAGATTCAGTGGAATAACAAAAGTAAAAACGGAATGGTCCTGTATATAATGAATATTCATACCATGTCATTCTTAATCATGATAAAAATATGAAGGAGAAAAGCAAATTTCAAATGTTACATTTGATCAAAATTAGAAATGTGAGTTAAAATAAAAACTAAACAAAACATACTGTTTTATTTATAATAAGGAAAACTATAATTAAATGTACCGTATTCGAAGTAATAAGCACCCCGTCCTTATAAGCGCCTACGGCGATATTTGCATATATATTGGCTAGTGAGCAATCCCAATCAACATCCCTTCCAATTGATCATTGTACACAAGACTTATTTATTCATGTATAATACACACTCATGTGTTATATGTACCCTTAATTATGGGCAATTAAATTCTTGAAAATATAATCTGTCGTATATAATACGCACAGACTTTTCTTCTGTATCATTCCAGGCTGTCAGCATAAACCACGAAATTTACGATCTGTCAACTCTCTTTTTTTCTCACCAAACTTATACTCTAATAAGAGCCCCCTATTTCTAATTTTGGGAGCGCCCTGGGCGCTTATTACGTCGAATACGATATCACATTAGTAGTCTACAATGCTTGGATCAAAGCTTAATATTATCATCATGATCATATTGTTCAATTATCCTTGCAAATCTTTCAGTTCAAGGCAGACCCAGACAAATCTCTTTCACCATAACACAAAACTGTCACCTACATGCAAATATATAATTTATACTAATTACTGATGAATTTTCCATCTGCAAAATTACCACAAGTGTGGAATAATATGGATGAAGGTTATCAAAAAGGCCGAGAACTATCAATACAAAATATATGTTCTATTTCTAAATCTCACCTTCAATGAATTTATGTAATTTCTGGAGTGTACAAGGAGTAAGTCATCTTCGGTTGCCTCTAGTGGTTTTACAATTGTCTCTTCTCTTACCATCTTTGATTCTGAAATACAAATACATTTAATCATTATCACCAGGCAGTCTCACTCAGACCTCTGAAACGATACAGAGTTGCCTCCCTTCGGCATACCAAGAAACCAATGAACTGATGAGTGTGGACAGAGCTACAGATAAGCAGCGTTTATGCGTAAAATACCCCCCTAAAACATTCAAAACCCAATTAATTTCAATTAACTTGTGTACATAAATGCATGCATTAAATGAAAAACTCAAATGTATAAAAACAGCATGCGTAAATACCCAATGAAGCTTTTTCAGTACGCGTACAAAGGAGCTAATTGCCAAAACACAATTACGAGCTAATTTACTTTCCGAGTCAAGCCTATATATTAAGAATAGTTTTATACATGTAAAACATTATTTCATTTTTTTTTTATATCTTAAAATGTTCACTCATTTTGGGTAAAATCCAATAGAGTGATGAATAGATGAAAAAATATTGGTTACCCAATGAAAAATGTAATAACCCAATTAAAATAGAAACCCTAGGGTAAAAACTCAATTGCTCGAAATGTTATCTGGAGCTCTGGTGGGTTCAAATCCTGGTTCCCCCCGATTATGTCTCTAGGTTTGTAAAAAGTACAGCTACCAGCTTCAGTGGCAGAGATATCAGTGATGTCATTTGATTGTGATGTCATCGTAACTAATGATCATGGTCAAGAAAGGATTGTGTAATTTCATTTCTCACCTAAGCGATATCTCCTGTGGAAGTCAGATTTGAATGATAAATGTTAGTGTATTTAGTGTTTCATTAGACCTGGGCACCAAATAAAGCTATGGTGGGAAACGATTCCAAAGTATTTACTACTGTAAATGTCCGCAGATAAGCCGAATTTTGACGACTTTTTAAATATAATTACATCGTTTTTCATCTTATATTATTGAATATCTGCGAGTACCAGCACATGTCTTGCAGTCCGACTTCACAGTGTTTTTTGCCTTTCACTTCCTGGTTCGGCTTATCTCTGGGTCATATCATTTTCTTTCGTATTTCAATGGTCAAGTTAATACCTTGGCTTATCTACAGGGTCGGCTTATCTGCGGTCATATACGGTAATAAACATAAGAGAATGGTGTTATAATACACAAGAGGATAGCTTGGATCAAGAGACTTTTCCTGGACACCTGTCATTGTCAGATTTGTCTGTCGAAACCACCAATGCTCACTGAGCTATCCAATTCTGACTGGCATTACCATGGTTACCAGTTATTGCACAAAATCAATTGATGATCATAGACAGAGGGGTTTAACCTCAACCTACAAAACTAGGGGTCCAGACGACCCCCAAGAACTAATTTCAAGGGTCCTTACTGGGAATATGAGGGTCCTGTAAAGAAATGAAATGGTGTAGTGTACTGTATTGTAAGATTTGATACCTTAATTACAGGAACTCTATTACTCTTGCCAAGATTTTGGTACAATGAGTTTTATTGTGCGTCCCTTGGGAGGCAATATATATCTTTTCTGTGTGTATTCTATACATTTGTGCATATTGGAAGCACATTTCCAAGTCAGGTAAAACCCTTAGACACTAACTGACACTGATGCAACAAATAATTTCACATGTTCATGAATTACTGTATTAGACGTAATGAGCGCCCAGGGCGCTCTCAAAATTAGAAATAGGGGGCTCTTATTAGAATATAATTTTGGTGAGAAAAAAAAAACAGAGTTGAAAGATTGTAAATTTTGTGGTTTATGCTGACAGCCTGAAATGATATAAAAGTAGAATCTTTGTGTATTATACACGACAGCTATATTTTCCAGAACTTAATTGCCCATAATTAAGGGTGCATATAACACACGAGTGCGTATTATACACGAATAAATAAGTCTTGTGTACATTGATCAATTGGAAAGGGTGCTAATTGGGATTGTTCACTAGCCAATATATTAGCAAATATCGCCATGGGCGCTTATTAGAGCGGGGCGCTTAGCCGCTTATTACGACGAATATGGTAACAAACATGGAATGTGCAAAGACTATAACATCTGTTGCAGGTCAGACAAATGAGAGTCCTACTTACTTACTTACTTACTTACTTACTTACTTACTTACTTACTTACTTACTTACTTACTTACTTACTTACTTACTTACTTACTTACTTACTTAAATTGGGAATTTAACACGCGCTTTCCGACATATGCGTATTTCGTGCACGGGCCCGCCAGGCCATTTAGTGTTTGGTAGAAAAGTGTATGTCCGAGAAGGTGAGGCAAGCTAGGTGGGGCTTTTAGGGCTGCTTACTTAATTTGGAGAACAAATTTGGAATTTTGAAATATGCCATGCAAAAGAGGGTCTTTTTGACTGGCTCATAATGGACCTCATCACTCAGGTTCATCGATATTCTATTAAAGAGAACCAGGTTTGTTTCAGGCACATGTAACAATAGCGGTCGCACTTTGGGTTGATCCACACTACTTCAAAAGCTCTGCTAAAATACTTGATGCATTTCAACTCATAACACCCACCCACATACCCAATCTCGGTCACATCTCACTCCAAATACTGAAATTACAAAGGGTGTCACGATAAATCAAAATATCGATATATTGCTATTGGTAAGCACTTCAACATGTTCAAGTCAATAAATCGATTGTTAAATCAGTTTCCGATCAATAGTATGGATTTCAGTTAGGAATATCAATAGTTTCGATTGTATTTACCATATCAATAAAATACATGCAATGCTGTTCAAATTTGTTTTTCTTTTGATCATGGTAAAATGTGGAAGTTTCTTTTTATTAAATTATTAGGGTAAAGAAATAACAAATTAGTCATATCTCAAACTTTACTTTTTATTTGTTGTTATGGTTATCACATTCAAAGGAAACACTGAAACCTATCGATATTTCTTGCAATAGTTACTTGCAATATCAATAGTTATCGCAATAGTTTCTTTCAATATCAATAGTTATCGCAATAGTTTCTTTCAATATCAATAGTTATCGCAATAGTGATTTCCAGACCAAAAGTCACCCCTACAAATCCCACCCTAAATAATATGCACACCCTGAAACTGTGGTAAGATAACGATATCAATAAATGGCAGATGGCAACTGGGCTTGCTTGGGTCATTATTTGGGTTGCATCACACATACGCCTACAAGTATGGCCAACATGGGATACAATAGCTGCTAATGGAATTGACAGTTTGAACAGGTGTTACACATCCTACACTGAGTCAAACAATAGAGTCGTTGGGCAAAATGGGGCATGTTTTATGGAGCTTTATTTGGATATAATGGTATGCTGATATTATTGTCATATTTTATTTGTATTTTTCTTCTTGTTCCATAAAAGTGAAAAATGAAATGAAATATCAGGATTTGTATATGATTTTGAGTCACAAAAACAGTGCAAAAGAACAAAGGTTAAGCTATATCAAGATAACATAGCTTTATTTATATATCTGGGGAATAATTTGTTTGTTTTAATAAGAAAAATACAATTTTACAACCATTTTCAAAGATGCTTATTTTTTCATTCAATTTTTTCATTATTTTGACAATATCTACCCCTGAAAATAAACACAGTTTCAGAGTCATTACCGGTGAGTGAGTGAGTGAGTGAGTGAGTATGGTTTTACGTCACTTTTAGCAATATTACAGCAATATTACAGCGGTGGACACCAGAAATGGGCTTCACATCTTGTACCCATGTTGGAAATCAAACCCAGGTCATCGGCGTGACAAGCAAACACTTTAACCACTGGGCTACCCAACCGCCCCTATTACCAGTCAGGAGTTGTGTTCTCAGATCCCTACTATATATTAGAATACAGTCAAACATCGTTGTGTCGAAGTTGAAGGGACCTCCGTAAATACTTTGAGTTATCTGAGCTTCGACACAACCCAAAGTGATAAATAAAGATGGAATATGCAGGAATCGAGCTTTTACTTCAAGACAACTTCATGTTTGACACAACTATGTTTGACTGTAGGTTGTAGGCATACAGAAAAATGAGGAAACAAACACCTTCAATAAGCTGCTTTTATGCCTGTGGCTAATTGAGTATTTCAAGAGCTCAGTTATACCAATGTGAAACCCACAAACACAACTTTTGTGATGACAAAACATGATTCCTTTAACAGAACAAATCGCAATAGAACCCATGATCAGTGGCTCCTTGCATGACCAAGGGATGCAACTCTGCACAGTGCACTCTGGTGTGCTTTCGAGGAAACAAATAGTGATCAGAAATTTGTAAAGTTTCATTGCATAAAATATTGTTTAACTTACCTTTCAAGAATTCAAAGATTCTTCCCCATTTCCCAGCATCAAAAGGGTGTAATTTTTCCAGCCCAAGGAAACTAATATTGTATTCCGCTGCATATACTATTGGCCATTGTTTGTCATCAGTTTGTATGTACAGCTGGGATTTCTGAATTTTTGCTCTTCTTTCCCTTTCTTTAGGTGAGAGTTTTTTTGTTATGGGTTTACTTTCAATTGATGGGCTGTCATTGCTTATCTGGATATCACAACTAGTTTCTGAATCATTTCCATTGTGTCCATTGTCATTATTTTCATCCTGTTTTTCAGTTCTGAAAAAAAGAAAACACTTTTATAGTATACAGTAAACTACATTTATAACAAACAACTTATAAAGAACTGACGGGTATAACAAATATATTGTTTGGTCCTGACCATTTGTTATATACCGTATTCAACATAATAAGCGCCCAGGGCGCTCTCAAAATTAGAAATAGGGGGCTCTTATTAGAATATTATTTTGGTGAAAAACAACAGAGTCGAAAGATCCTAAATTTTGTGGTTATGCTGACAGCCTGAAATGTTTATATACGACAGATATATTTTTCCAGAATTTAATTTCCCATAATAAAGAATGCATATAACACACGTATTATACAGAAATAAATAAGTCTTGTGTACATTGATCAATCGGAAGGGGTGCTAATTGGGATTGTTCACTTGCCAATATATTATAAAGGTAACGCTATTTTTCAGGGTATTATCATTTGCAGAAGCACGAGGTCTTCCATTAACTGCCCGACGAAGGAGGGCAGTTGAATAGACCAAGGGCTTCTGCAAATGATAATACCCTGAAAAATAGCGTTACCGTTATTATAGCTAAAATGGATGGAATTTATTATCAAATAAAAAGAAACAACAATATCGGTTTTGAAACATTTACTGCAATCAACATGAATGTCACTGACCCACTTTTACAAATATAGAAACGTCATAGAACAAACCAGATGACGTCACTATTGAACGTGACGTCATCTATCCCTATCTTATGACGTCACCTAACAACGGGCGTGATAATGGCCTATCGTCAAGCAATATGAGGGCATTATCAAGTTACAGTGGCTCGCTCATTTTTGATCACATGCGGGCGGTTTAATGCTAATTCTATCCATTTTAGCTATAATAACAAATATCGCTGTGGGCGCTTATTAGAGCGGGGCGCTTATTACTTCGAATACGGTATATGCTGTTCATATCCTTATAATGAACTACGATTATAACAAACTAAAATTAGTGGTCCCTTTGAGATCATTATAACCGTAGTTTACTGTATGTGACCATTTTCTTATAATTCTGTAAAAATATGCTAGATGACATAATCATGATAAAGTACAAGCTGGAGAAAGAAAATGGATTGAAAGCTGATACTATTGATTAGATCTCGACAATTAGTTATCAGACAATGACACACAAAAACATGGCTGTCATATTACGCCAGGATGCAAAACAACACATTTTTTGTGGCCTTTTTCTCAAATATTAATGCAAATGTATTTACCTTGTTAATATTTTAATCATATAATCATGATAACACAGATAACGAAAGTGTCCTAAGTAGTAGGGGTGGGACGGGTAACTCGGGTACTCTGGTCGGGTGGGTCCTTAGTAGGATCCGGGTACCCACAGGACTACCCGGACCCGTGGTTCAAAACTCACAAAACAAAAACACACAATAGCTCAATGGTTACACTACATGTCGCTAATGTTCCCATTTCTTACTGACGATGCACTCATTCTTTTTTACTTGTATATGTTTGAGTAACGATAAATCTTCAGTCAACTTCTGTGCACGCATGATCTGATCGTTTGATGCATGTATCTAAATAGTTTTGGCCAGGGCTGCGGTAAAACAATTAACAATCAGACATTTTATTCCCAGCTCTTGAGACTTGCAGTGGGTAGGGTAGGGTCGGGTTATTGGGGGCCGGGTACCCGGGTAGTAAATTTGGACTCGTCCCAGCCCTACGAAGAAGTGTCTCAAATGGATGGGGGCGGTTGGGTAGCCTAGTGGTTAAAGCGTTAGCTCGTCACGCCGAAGACCCGGGTTCAATTCCCGACATGGGTACAATGTGTGAATCCCATTTCTGGTGTTCCCCGCCTCGATATTGCTGGAATATTGCTAAAAGCGGTGTAAACCCATACTCACTCACTCACTCAAATGGATGATGAACTGTCCTGATAAGCATGACAAGGACTTACATACAATAGCTGAAACTAAAGAGGGTTAGTAAGTTGAGTTTTACACCACTTTTAGCAATATCCCTGCAATGTCAGGGTTGTGGACACCTGAAACGAGCTCCACACATTGTACCCATGTTGGAATCAAACCCAGAACTTTGGTGTGACGAGCATACTCTTTTACCACTAGCTAGGCTACTCCACCAAAGTGAAGACAGGTATTATAAGATTCCATGCTAACAAGAGTATGACCGAAAGGAAACGCGTCCTCATGGAATCTTGACTGTACATGGATCAGTGTGTGTAATCAGGTCTGGACGCAACATCAGATTTCATGGCGTACACAAATTTCAATGCTACACTCAGATTACTTGGTATTTAACAGGTTTATTTGACATGAGTGAAAACAACAGTAACTCTTCCTCAAAGGGACGTAATTCTTTATTTGTATCTTTGCCTTGAGATTTCAGGTATGCCTTCAAATTACAAGGTACACTCAAATCACCGACCACAATGTAATCACAAGGCAAGGGAGGTAACCATGGTGTATTTTCCAAATGAAGGCAATATTTCGAGTGTTAGAAAATTTTCAGACACATTTTCTCTGTCAAATGCAATAAGTTTTAAAAGTGCAAAAATGGAAAGTGTTCTATATTCATCTCTAATGTTATTTCTTGCATTGAAACTTCTCTAATTAAATATGGATTGTACTTCAAAGATTGAATACAGTAGCCGGTGACTGGATTCATGAGTGAGGTAATGATTTGATCGATTTATCTGGACTCTCTGATGTCATATTGCAATGAATTGTAAACTAAATGTGCTGTAAGTGGTAAAGAAAACTCTGTGGTATTTTGTAGATATACACAGTGTTAAATGATAATTGTGTTCAAAGCCTATAGCAAATTGTAATGATACAAGAGAGTAGTGGTCGGTATGACAAAGGCTCAGTAATTTGAGTGTGGCACTGAAATTTATGAACCATTCAACGCCTTGAAATCCGGTGACGCTTCCAGATCTGGTAATGCAACATATGCTTGCCGTAAAAGGTGACTATGCTTGTCATAAGAGATGACTAATGGGATCAGGTGGTCAGGCTCGCTGACTTGGTTGATGCATGTCATCGATCCCAATTGCGTGGATCTATGCTCATGATATATAATCACTGGATTGTCTGGTCCAGACTTGATTATTTACAGACCGCCGTCATACATATGGAATATTGCTGAGTGCAGCGTTTAACAACAAAACAACCAACCAATGGTCATGTAACAACAGTATAGAAACTGGACATAATGGTTTCATTAAGCATGATTCAACTGACATCCAAGAGAAAACATAGGACAATTTTTCTGACGTGCATGACAACTAGGGCTGGGACGAGTCCAAATTTACTACCCGGGAACCCACCCCGTTATTACCCGACCCTACCTAGGTACCCGATATAGGTCTCAAGAGATAGGTACAAACTGTCCGATTGGGAAAAGTTTGCCCTCGCAAAATGTATGTAGCTACACGTATAAATCGATCTGGTCATGCATACACTGAAGTTTACTGCATGAAGTTTTATATTTCTTCAAACATATACAAGTCAGAAGGAATGGGTGCATCGTCAGAAAGAAATGGGAACATTAGTGACTTGTAGTGTAACCATAGAGTTTTAGATAATTTTTGTCATTAAACAATACATTATGTGACTAACCACAGGTCTGGGTAGTCTTGTGGGTACATGGGTCCTACTCAGTACCCACCTTACCCGAGTATACAATTTACCCGTCCCGGCCCTAATGACAACGGTGTGGAAAATAACATTTTGATGATCCTGACAGGGTTAAAAATGTCACTTTTGGGTCAAGCATAAATCACCACTTTTATGGGAACAGTTGTGTTCTTAAAACATACTACTTTCGGTTTCAGATAAATGTCTATAACATTTGGTATAAACGTTGCTCATGTAATCATACATTTCTTATCCCGATCGTCATATTCTTTCAGTGGAAATGATTTGATGATGATTGGAAGCACCTACATACGTAAATTATATAACATGACCATGACGCATGTAGGTTCACCGCGACAAAACATGGACCCACAGAAGGAGTTGACTCATTGACAGTGACACTGCCACTCCATCTGAAATGAACGTCATTACCAACCGTCTTGTGAATGTGAACTTAAAACGGAATATCCTCCAGACAACCTGTTAAATACCAAACGAAATATTCCCTTGTATTTTTCGAATATAAATACATAACATGTTACCTGTCTGTGGTATCTTTTGACACCTCCATGTTGTTCCATTAGAAGCAAATAGTGATCACTAAATGCATTAATATGGAAGAGTTCCGCGTTTTCATCCAATCATTATGTGTCTATCTAACGGGAACCTGTTCTGTTATTTAACCAATCAGAAACGTTGTTAACGTGCACGGCAATGTCAATGGCGGCTTTTGCAAAATAAGGCCCAGGTGGAGTCTTGTGTTAAATAAGACGACCGATCCTTTCGTGCGTAGAATTTGATAACCATAGCTGTCGTTGATATTTCAAGAAGAAATACAAGAGATGTCAAGAAACAAACATGGTATGTAACTATTTGGATGTAGTTATTCACTTTTCTGTAAGCCTAGAATGGTCTGAAATGGACGTAATGTCCTCTGAAATTAATATGATCCGGATGACGCTTGACTGTTGGGGACTGTTGCAGCATCGTCAAAATCCCCAGAGGTCTTGAAATTTGGGGCTATTTAGTCACATCTCTCAATGTGTGTAGATTGCAGTTTACAAGGCACACTCTAATTGCTTTACTGATATCCCTTGCGTCTACAATTTCAGCACTTGATTCCTCGATTCCCCCATTGGAACTATTACTGTTTTATTCAAGGATGCAGTTTTTGCAGATTTCTTTTCTAACCTTACTGTTGGTTATATTTTGCGGGTTCAATATCAGTTAAGTGCAAACACAGCACAAACTATAATTGCTCCACCTTTTAATTTGTCCCCTTCAATATGTTCAAGCATGTATTTTCTTTGATGTACAATAGATCTACATATTTATAGCCATGTAGATATAATATCTTCAACAGGTTGTATTTTCTTCATCGTCAAAGACATTTTCAAATTGACTGTACCATCATGTCCATATTTTATAAAACATTTATTTGAAGTATTCTGACATCAATATCTGGAACGGAAACCTGCCTTTGTGCGACAGAAACAAACTCTTCAAAATCTCTCTTCAGGACATCGACACTATTTATGAGCAGCAAATGGTTAATAATGCAAATAAAATATCAAGCGATATCTCACATGTTTTACAATTGGAGTCTCAACTTCTTCCTTCTGGCCACCGACTATGATTGCCGATTTTGAGAATAAACAGGGCCCGGAATTCATTCATACTTGCTAGTATCAGGTTTTATGATAAGTTTAGTGATAAATAGTTGTTGAGCTCTTATTTACTGGTGCCACATTTAATGTTCATTACGTTAACATTCTTACTCTTTATCATGTTGATAAATGTTTTGTAGATTATCATGATTTATGAGTCTCAATTATTCTCAAGGAAAACTTTTTGTAATGTGTTCATCTTTTATAGCTGAGGTGGCATCCTTTAGATCCAAACTTGGAGCGACCCTGCAATATCTGGTTGACAAAAAGGATGAGAGGTAACATTGACAAATCAATTTCATTTAATTTCACTGTTAAATTTTACCTGGATATATGTGCTCAGTTACAATTTTTATATCTCACTTGCTTGATAACGGTGTTAGAATCTACACTGAAATGTTGCTGTTTGTAATAAAGATGTTTATTACCCCTGCTATGTCATTTTCAGATGGTTTTAAACTGTTTGATTCTTATGTTGTCTCTACTCATGGCACAGAGTCTAACAGTTCAATTCTAATCATAAATGTTTAGTTTTATGTAGCACTATAAGCATGTACCAGTGCATGGAATTGGCACATTAGAAATGTACATTTATGATCTATTATAAAGTTCTTATCGAAGATTCCACCAGGACATTGTCTTGAACTGGTTGTGTGTACTTTCAGCCCTTTGAGCGAAGGAGAAGGGTCAAGCAATCAGCCTGAGGTTCTGGTCCGGTATGTAAATAAGGGTAACTGTGCTAACTTAGGAAAGATTTTTATGTTTAATTTACTATCAATATCACGATTAAGAACCACTTGGATACCAACACTAACAGCCCTGTGAAGATCTGGGTTTGAATAGGTCTTCAGCATCCCATGCTTGCCGTAAAAGACGACTATGCTTGTCGTATGAGGCGACTAACGGGATCAAGTCAGGCTCACTGACTTGGTTGATGCATGTCATCGTATCCCAATTGCTTTGATTGATGCTAATGATGTTGATCACTGGATTGTTTGGTCCAGACTCGATTATTTACAGACTGGAATATTGCGGAGTGCCGTGTTAAACAACAAACAAACAAACAAATCAACACTAACACCTGAACTAGGCTGACATAGGACAGTATCACAGGATATTGGTGCAATTGTCTTTACTTGTGAAACTTAAATCTTACACGTGATGAAAATAGAGTGAATATTTAAGTTGTGTGTTTCGTCCCTTTGTTCAGCCCAGCCTCTCCAGTTGGATCCCCAAGGAAGCTTGGGGCTCGGGCACGGAAGAGAAAGAGGAAGGATGATGAAGACGGAGGGGATGGGGATCCATCACATCGTAAGTTATGCTAGATGATCACTGGTGATGTTCCCTATTCAGACTAAAAGGTTAGAGACTGTTGTACTGGGTCAGATGGCATTTGGCAGGAGGTGTTTAAGATGCTGACCGTACTGTCAGTTAGGGCTGGTACATCTTCCCGAGGCAATGGCGTTAACTGACTATAAAAGTCCTGTTTCAACCCTTGCCGAACTAGGCAGGGATTCCGGAGCTACACTTTGGCTGGACTAATGAAATAGTCCAATCGAAATCGCGTAACAAACGAACTAGACATCCGGTTCGTAAACAACATGGATTTCAACAAGCAGATTTTGATCGACTGCAGGATTTGCAAAGCATGGGTACCGTCAACTGGGTGTCGACAGATATTTTGCAAATCTTTTCATATTTTCAATCAATGTGCTCAAGCGATTTGATGCACTTCACAGGGTAAGACCCATTTTTTTACAATATAGATCTTGATTATCGATCAAATCGTTTTAACTGGCTGCCACCATTTTGTCACTCAATTTTTGTGAAGCAAATGCAAGTGATGTGAGTGATGGAATCTTATTAGTCATTAGAAGGACATAGAAGGGACACAACTCGTAATAGCCACTGTAGGCGCTACGACCGAGCCCAGAAATTCCAGCCTAGTTCGGCAAGGGTGGAAACTGGACTTTTATAGTCAGTTAACTCCCTTGCCTCGGGAAGATGGGACTGGGATGATATGCAAAGTCTTGATACAATATGTATCATGATACAGAAAGAGGGAAATATTTTCGGTCCAGCGTCTTTATTTCATATCAATCCATCAAAATATGATATGATAGTTGTATTAAAACTTGATATACCATGATGCATCAGTGAATTGCCCTTCCCTTAATATCAACTCCTGATATCCTACGATTTCAGACTCAACCAAATAACTAAGGGTGAAATGAAAAACACTGATGCACTTGGATACCTTTGGTATGATATGCGATACAAACAGACCTGTATCACGATACAAAGTATATTTATAAATTTCTTAAAGAAAGAATAACCCCAACTATGTAGTGATAAATGTCAGCTTGAAAGTCTGACCACAGTCAAATCAGCAGTTTGGGTAAATTTTGTTACTTTTGTGATGGAATCAGAAGAGTTAACAAGGAAAAGACATTTTGTTCACTCTTCTGAGATACACAAGTATTTCAGTTCATGGCCTTTATGTTGTATTGATGGAATATTTCAGAATTTGTATTTTTTTGAAAATGGAAATAAAAGCGAAACTGAGGCGGACTTTGTGATGATACGGCAGTGTCTGAGAACCAAGAATATTTTTTTAAAGCCTTTTTGTGATGGAATCAGAAGAGTTAACAAGGAAGAGACATTTTGTTCACTCTTCTGAAATACACAAGTATTTCAGTTCATGGACTTTATACAAAGGGAAGTGGTAAAGGTCGGGCTGGAAATATAAATGAAATGACGAACAGTGTTATCCGTACCTCAACAGAGAAAACAGGCATAGAGTTTGTGTACAACAAATTTGAAAATAAAAACAATTTGAGATTGTAAAAATTCCTTTACATCTGGGACCTGTTCCACAAAGTGATGTCAGCACTACGACTATCATAAGCCTATGTTCAAGTATGAGAGTTAGCGTATTAAGATAGTCGTAGTGCTAAGATCTCTTTGTGGAACGGGGCCCTAGATGAATATCTGTCTAGGCTCACTGTGGTATTATGTAGATTATGTGAGTCAGTTATCAGGTCCGAGGTGTCACTGTCTCCACATTCAAGAATGACAATACCTCTGTATTTCAGAGAGCTTCATCATGAAGCTGTTTGACCGGAGTGTGGACCTGGCCCAGTTTGAGGAGGCAACACCGCTGTATCCTGTGTGTCGAGCCTGGATGAAGAACCAGCCGAACAATCGGAACCTAGGTCCTCGACCGCGGACACCCACCCCAGAACCAGATGCAGACCAGCAGTCCCAGGACGATGATGTGAGCATTCCTTCTTATGAACTGAATGAACTCTGTAGGGTCACAATACATTGATTATACTACTCAAAAGAAGTTTAGAACCACCTGATTCTTTCATATTACTACAGTTAATGCCATGACAGATAAACTATAGTGATATGAAGGAAGCAGATGTTTTTTTTCCTCTTTTCAGTATGATAGTAGCTGTCTCATTTTTTCTTAAAAAAATATTGATTTTGTGATCAAGAACAGTTTTGAAAAGGTTGGTATATTTTGTAATTTATTAACTTATTCTGCCAAAGAATGGCTTGCTGGAATGGATGGCGGTTGCTTTAAGACTAAAAGACTGAGAATAAAATTGCTGATATGTTATGTTTGAAATTTAGTCAGATTAAACAGATTTTGATGTCTGCCGAAAGAAAATATGTAAATCCATGGATGTTGTAAAATAAAAACATTCTTCTCCATAACCCCACTCTGGCAAGATTTTTTTAGATCACTGTTGTTTAAAGTGAATATCAGTGGTAAAAACATATTAAAAGTGTTGAAACATATGGTGAAGCCAAGTTTTCATTTTCAATTTTTTACAATCTGAAAAAGCAGATATGAAAACGTTTGTCATGAATGTAAATCAAGAAAACCTATGAGGCATATATTGTCTGTCATGTACCTTGATATATGCTCTGATTCATGTGTGAATGGTGTTTAGTCATGAATACTATCAGGACATTGATGTATATTTTCCAGCCCGACAGATTCCCGGACATCTTCTTACTACCTGTTCCAGTTAAACAGGAAATCACTGATGAATTTAAAGATCCTAGAATTCCCCTTCAACTGATGGTGGAGGAAGCTCCACTGGACATACACGCAGTAAGTGTAGCAGACGGTTCAAACATCACACCCCTGGTCATTGAAACCTGAGGGGCCTGTCATCTAAGGCGGAGTGATTTGCTGTGCAGAGTTGCGTCCCATGGGCACGCCAGAAATCTCTGATTGTGGGTTTGAATCCCGGTATGCCCCAATTATGTTTCTAGTTTTGTCAGCACCACCTTGCTCATGGGTTTAACCAAAGTGGTAAATGTCTCAGACCTGCATCACTTCGGGATTTCCTCCCACATCAAGCTGACATGCCGAGATGTAACTGGAATACTGTTAAAAGCGGTGTTATTCTGAACGAACTCACTCATTGACTCCTGAAAACAGAAATTTCACTTTTCTGAGCAATAATAGTCCCTGCGTTATATTTCTAAAACCTGCCACATTATGTTCCCAGATTATATTCTCAGACTCAAGAGTTGTTAAAACATCATACCAGGGTGCCGTTGTACAAAACGATCTTAGCGCTAAGGTGATCGTAACTCCCATACCTTAACATGGACTTACGACAGTCGTAGCGCTAAGGTTGTTACAACGGCACCCAGACCAGAATGTAAAGAGGAATCATGTTATTGCTGTAAACAGTGCATTAAAGCAACAAACCTCACTGTCAAACTGTTCGCTCGTCACACTGAAGACCCGGGTTCGATCCCCAACATGGGTACAATGGGTGAAGCCCATTTTTGGTGTCCCCTGTCGTGATATTGCTGGAATATTGCTAAAAACGGAGTAGAAAACATACTCACTCCCTCACTCACTCACTGTCAAACTGTTTCAGGACCCTGACCAGGCTCCACCCCCTGAGCACTTGCTGCTGAATCACATGTCACGATGGAAGGGCATCAGGATGAGGTATGTTGGGGGATATTTTCCCAATAAGCATTATAAGCATTAGCATCCTTGTTGTTTGTTTGTTTGTTGTTTAATGCCGCACTCAGCAATATTCCAGCTATATGATGGCGGTCTGTAAATAATCGAGTCTGGACCAGACAATCCAGTGATTGACATCATGAGCATCAATCCATGCAATTGGGATCAATGACATGCATCAACCAAGTCAGCGAGCCTGACCACCCGATCCTGTTAGTCGCCTCTTACGACAAGCATTAAGCTGACAGGCCGAGATATAACTGGAATACTGTTAAAAGCGGCGTTAAACCCAACTCGCTCACTCTAACCATCAACCACTTATCTGGGCCTGATGGTGACTTCTATGACCTTATTTGTATCATGTAGTCAAAGGCAGTGCTGTGTAGCAATGTAGCTGTGCAGAGTTGCATCCCTTTGCCAGACCAGGATCTGCTGGTTGTAGGTTCAAACCCCATGATTATTATCCCCCGCCACTAAGTGGAAGGGGGATATAGGAATGGGTGCTGTCCGGCCGTCCATCACATTTCGTTTCCGGAGCAGATCTTGAAAACCGTACCATATTTCTTCACCAAACTCCGCACATAGATAGGTCTAGTTGTGAACTGGTGCCTTTTGATAGTTTGGGATTTTAAAAAAAAAAATGTTTTGAGTTTCCATGGCAACGACTTTGATTTAGACTGAAAGTGGCGGTAGTCCTCGTTTCCAGAGCAGATCTTGAAAACCGTATCATATTTCTTCACCATACTTGGCACATAGATAGGTCTAGTGGTGAACTGGTGCCTTTTGATAGTTTGGGATTTAAAAAAAATAATTTTTTCGAGTTTCAATGGCAACCAAACTTGGCACATAATGTCATCTCACAGTATTGAATACATTTCTTTTTCTTGTTGGTAAGTTCTGGATTGCTTGGGTGTATGTTCCTCCAAAAGTGTCATGGACACAGTTGTTGCATTCACTGACTAACTTCATGCAGAAACACAACTCATTACAAATACAACAGTGTAACTGATCTTAAACCTACTCAACTGTATAAACACTATATATTCTTGTCAACCCTACTCTGTACTTCACTTGCTTGATTACGGTGTTAGAACCTACACCGAAACCATCGCTCCTAATTGTAATAAAGAAGTTGTTCGTCCATATGTCTCATCCTTACTCAATACAAATACAGTTACATATTCTATCATAAACTGCAGATGGCAAAACAATACCAGTAATAACTTTTTTAGTGCTGCAATTAGGCCATTTACAAAAAGGTCCAGTGAACATAGTTCACAGGAGCTAATGCATTGCACACAACCGGACATATCATATTGGCGGGGGATGTGAGTATTTCATGCTTGTTTTGTCTTGGTCTATATTTTCCTTGGCACATACCCGTGTACGTCGTCAAATGTTTTTGACCTGGTCTTTCCCTCTACATTAAGTGAGTGAGTGAGTGAGTTGTGTTTAGCGCCACTTTTTAACAGTATTACAGTTATATCACGGCGTGTCAGCTTGATGTGGGAGGAAAGCCTGAAGTGATGCAGGTCTTTGACGTTTACCACTTCGGTGAAACCCATGAGCACGGGTATGGTGCTGACAAACCTAGAAACATAATCGGGGTGAACCTGGATTCAAACCCACAATCATAGGTTTCTGGCGTGCCCAAGGAACGCAACTCTGCACAGCAAATCGCTACGCCTTAGACAACTGGGCCACCCGTGCCCGCTGCCCCCCCCCCCCCCCCTACATGAAGCTGACTCTGTGATATAACCAGAATGATGTTTACGGGTTTGCCCAACTCTGTTATATTTCATCATATCAAATACTCCCAGTTGCTGATGATATTCATGTTAAGTATTTTTGATAATACATGTAATATTAATTATAATGATCATGAAATTGTTTTTTCAGGTGGAAGGAACAAGCATTCAAGAATGAATTGCGCTTCAACGACAGTCTGACAATTCTTAAGGAGATGTTTGAAAGACAGTGCAAAGAAGGATGAAATCGATATATGAAATTGCGATTAGTACATTAAGTTTTCACAATCTCATTAGAATCAGACCTCAGTTCTCGCTACCGCTAAACAAAGATCTGAGGACATCCCATTACGGGTCACGTCAGAACGACCTTTCATCCGACCAATCAGAGCATCGCTTACCAGATTATGAAAGTGACAGTCGGAATGTAATTTCTGATCATGCAGCCTCGAAAACTTTAACTCCGAACGATAGTTACGGGTTTAACGACTGTATCCATACAATCTAGACCATCTATTAGCCATTCCAGAATGTTCTTTTTGTTCAGGTTTCAAATTTGTAGTCGAGAATTTGTCGAAATACGTTTCGAAGCATAGTCGCTAATTTGAAATTAGTGCCGTAAAGCACGAGAAAGCTGACTTCTGATTGGTCATTCCATTGGTCGGTCAAAGTTCGCACAAGGTTGGTCTGACGTGACCCGTAATGGGATGTCCTCAGATCGTTGTTTAGCGGTAGCGAGAACTAAGATCTGATTTTAATGAGATTGAAGTTTTCAAAACTCAGATGTCATACAACTTACTTTATTCTGTCTGAATTTTGTCAGATGTTTTTGTCATAGATATCACATACAATTTGTGGAGAGATCTGTCTGAAGATTTTAATGTTATTGTCAAATATTGTACATTTACTTTGAGTGTCGATTAACAAGATACATTATGATATTGCTGTACATTATCATGTTTATGTAACAACCCTGTTCAGAGAGATATCCTCTCAAAATATCAAGATGTTGGTTGCTTTCATTCAATATTCAGAACTTCCTGAGCAGGCCTGGCAGTGCTGAAATGTTATTTGTTTAAGAATGCTGTTTGTAAATATTGCTTCAGAAAAACACTTGTTTGTTTTCCTTCTTTATTTACTCTGCCCGAAAGACCTGAAGGGAATCGTCGTCACACGTTGTTTTGTCCGGCAACTGTGATGGCATACTCAGTTTCTTTTCAAGACCTGTTTGGTGAATTGAGCTGGTGTCAATGTTGCTGTATTGAGTGAGTGAGTGAGTGAGTGAGTATGGTTTAAGCAGCTTTCAGCAATATTCGAGAATATCACGGTGGGGGACACCAGAAATAGGCTTCACACATTGCACACATTGTGGGAATCGAACCTGGGTCTTCGGCATGACAAGCGAAAGCTTTAACCACTTGGCTACCCTACCGCCCCCCCCCCCGTATTGAGGGCAGTCTTTGACAACAACACCAAAGGTCAAGAATTGGATTTGGTTGTCGGCCCAACAATACACTTGAGCTTACCATCTTTTGAGTTTATCACACTGATGTTTAAGTCACAGTTATGCACGAGTGTCATGTTCATTTAAGAATTGACCTTCACTTTGTGTGAGTTCATTGGAGTATGAACCTTCATAGAGTGAGGGCCAAACTGTATGAACGTCGGAGCTAGCGACAATGTTTGGCCCTAATCTTTTTATCACAATTTCTTACTTCGTAGGCCAAGATCTAAACACAATTTTATTTAGTACATGTGACCTCATGTTTACACTGACAGCCATACAACAACCAGCTTTATCGCGGAGTAAAATAGTTCCTCAAAAAGATGAGCACATGTGTTCAAATCATATCCTCAATAGATGAGAAAGGTCTGTAAAGAACTACCTCAGTAAGTCGGTCACAATGAGAGCGCATCGTAATACATTTACATCAAGTACAAGACGTCAAGACGATAAACGTGACAGGAGAGATTTCCGAAGTTGTTAATGAACCTGTGGTGGTTACATGTGTCAGTCATCACTGATCAACTGGCCGATCATTGAAAGGTTAATAAAGATGCGCCAAACAGGCACTTAGGTAAATTCATAGATTGCTGGAGACGGTCAGTGTCAGCCTAGACACGAATCGAGTCGATACTACGACAGTTTATATGACATTGTGCATTTTCCTCGTTTGTTCTTTAGGATAGGCCGTAGCGAGGATATTCGTGAACAATCATGCAGTCAGGCTCTCTGACATTTCTCAATGTATACTGAAACGCTGAGATCAAGAATATAGGTTCTAAATGATGAGAAAGAACGCTTATGTATGTTTTTGTGCTAGGGAATTCCCAGGGGTTTCCTCAGGAATGTGGAAGTAGTCTCTCAGCGTCATTTCAAGAACACGGTCTCGTGAAAAACGTATGAACGTCAAATTGTGTTGTTAATACACTTATGAACGTCAATTTTGTGGTCATGTGACCAACCTCTCGTCCAATGGAAAAGCCGTATATCGTGTAAAATTCAAATTGAAAAATTATATACCATTGTAACTATTTCCCGCCCCACAGCAGGGTTTCAGATCGGTTTATTTTTTGGACATTGATTGTCATCCAAAAGATCTTTTCAAGCATGGTATTGATATGGAGGAATGTACTATCACAAGTTGCTAAAATCATGGAAATGTCCAAATGCCATTTGTCGCCAAAAAATCACATCGCAGGGGTCCCCTATACAATCTGATGGCAGTCTTCTTCACCAGTGTCTTGTGATTTAACTGCAGAAAATATCCCAAATTCACAAAGCTTCTTAGAAGTGGTAGCAGTTGGGATTTGGTAATCAAAATCAGCAACTTGTAAGTATGGTTTTAAGCCTCTTTTAGCAATATCACAGTGGGGCACACCTGACATTGGGGGCACAGGTGGCCCAGTCATCTGAGGCGCCGCGATTCGCTGTGCAGAGTTGCGTACCTATGATTATGGGTTCGAATCCCGGTTCGTCTTGATTATGTTTCTAGGTTTGTCAGCAACATACCTGTGCTCGTGGGTACCACCGAAGTGGTAAACGTCCAAAACTTGCATCACTTCAGGCTTTCCTCCCACATCAAGCTGACACGCCGTGATATAATGTCAATACTGTTAAAAGCGGGGTTAAACAACACATTCACTCACTCACCCCTGAAATGGAGCAACTTGTGTTGTTTTACTGAGTGAATGTTGTTTCATTATTCCAACGTCAGGGGGAAGCGGTTTCACTGAAACATTTAACGCAACAATCCCAAGAATCGGGTACTAGGACACACAGCCAAGGTTTGCTATTGCCTGTTGGTAGACCACCATTCATACTCAGAAGCCATTTTGACCATCTTATCTCCATTCCTCACGTTTACACTTCTTTCGGTTACATTTCTGTGGGTCATCTGTAGTAAGAAAGTCCAAAGTGACACAGATCGAATACATTTACCATGGTGAAACCCACAAGCACGGTTCTGCTGGACTGAGGATCATAGCTTGTATCTAGGATTTGAACCCATGACCATCTGATCCTGATGAGCTGCAGACCACTGTGTCTGATAATGATGGGTGTCCCACAAGGTGAGGTGAGGTGAAATGGGGTTTAACATAGCATCCAAGATTATTGCACTTATATAGCGACGTGCATGTACGTGTGTGTGTTTGTGTGGCTGCTTTGACTAGTCAGGACTGGTGCCGATTTATAGTGCTAGCTCACTGAGATACCATGCTGCAGTTTAACATGAATACCCCACTCAGACGCAGTATACTGTCTCCGAGCCGACCAGCCCTTGTTTTAGCCCCTTAATGCCGAGCGCCAGACAGGGTAACAACAAGTACCATATTTTAACGTCTTTTGGTATGGCGCAGCTGGGGATCGAATCCCGGACCTTCCCCTCTCCGGGCGGACGTTCTACCACTAGACCATGGAGGCGGTCTTGTCCCCCAAGGAGTGCCAGTTGTTGGGTAATGACAGTCTGTGGCAAGAACCCATTCAAAACACTCACCCTGAATAGGAGACACTGAACAACATACAAAATAAGAAAGTTTTATTTAGTATTCACATTCTGTACAATTTCAGTTATGTACACAACAAATACTTATAAATAACCATGATACATCCCACATCACTGACGCAAACGTTTCACGCCAGCTGAAGAAAACGGGTTCCTGTCTGTTGTAATTGTTGACATAATTACACTTGTTTCCTAAGTGATAGGATGAAAACTAGTTATTTCCTACTGTAACACAGAAGTGTACAAATGTAAGCCAATACTAATGCAGTTTATGATGCATTAAACACTGAAATAATCTGTTGGCAGGTAAGATCTTAGATGGACATTCTCTGCACTTCTGTTATTATCCTTTGACGGGTACATCAATTATGGAGGCCTCATAAATTAAAGAGGCTGTCATTTTTCCCTGCCTTGACTTAAACATTGTTAAAGTGAATGAGTGAGTGAGTTGGGTTTAACGCCGCTTTTAACAGTATTCCAGTTATAAGCGGGGTGTCAACTTAATGTGGGAGGAAAGCCCGAAGTGATGCAGGTCTCAGACGTTAACCACTTCGGTGAAACCAAAGAGCACGAGTATGGTGCTGACAAACCTAGAAACATAATTGGGGCGAACCGGGATTCGAACCCACAATCATAGGTTTCTGGCGTGCCCAAGGGACGCAACTCTAAACAGCGAATCGTGGCGCCTAAGACGACTGGGCCACCCGTTCACCCACATTGTTATAGAGTGTTTGTGGGAAGTATTTTAGATACAATGTCTTTAATTAATAGACAGTTTGTGGTTCAGAAAACAAAAACAGCATCAAATTCAGAATATTTCAAAATGACACCCAATGACCATACCAGGGGTCCGGAAACGGTCATATGCGCCGGACATGTCCTAATGGGAATCTCAAATGTCCGGTTCATCATATTATGTATATGTAACAACTTGTAATGTGTGTGAAAAGTCGTTCTAAAATACGCTATTTGAAAGGGGCGTGGCCTAAATGCAAATGTCCGATTGGGATTTTAAATTTTCCAGACCCCTGGACCATACCTCATCTTTTTTTCTGAAATCTACAAGATGGCTTGTCCAAATATAACAAAATAAAATTCCCGGTCCTGCTGGAAAATGTAACAAGAACTCCATAGTGATTTTCTAGTCCGTGATTCACAAAGTCGTGTGAAAACAAAGATTGTCATATGTCTACCCCGGTAGTTTCGATCGTCTTCACAGAAGGATTGGTTTGTGATACAGGGCCCTGAATAATGGTCACGAAGCAATGGTCACGAAGCAATGGTCACGGAGCAATGGTCACGGAGCAATGGTCACGCAGCAATGGTCACGCAGCAATGGTCAGGGAGGACAATAGTGAGAGGAGAGCCACATCACTCAAACATCTGGTAAGCTGCTCCTTCCCCCGCCTTGTCATCACTCTCCATGTCACCAGCGCCATATTCCTTCACCACCACGGGCATCGTCACGTGGGGGTTGTACGTCCACTTTGGGTACATGCGCTTGTACAAGTTCATGAGAATTGTGTCCTGAGACTTCATCTTGCCATCAAACACACACTTCATATGACCATGGGTGCCTGCAAGTATAGTATGGTAAAGTATATTACAGTACAGTACAGTACAGTATAAGATAGTACAGTATAAGATAGTACAGTACAGTATAAGATAGTATAGTAGAAGATAGTAGAAGAAGAAGAAGTCTTTATTTGTACTAAGGCCACTGGCCCATATACAATACATACATTTGAAATAGTGTGGTACATGAAAAAAAGGTAATGTCAGGTACAAATTTACATATTCACAGGCTTTTCATAATTACGTCTTCTTTCATAGCTGTAATACAGGTATTTACATTGTTTTCCATGTAATTGTTTACATGAAGATGACAGCAGCGTTTTAAATTTATGCATATTTGGATTATGGCAAAAAGTTGTTGGTAAATACAGTTGTCTAATATTGTTGTAATATTCACATTCTAAAGTAAAATGATATTTGTTCTCTATACTTGTTTCACATACGGGGCAGAGCTGTAAACGTAAATCAATATCAGCCCATCTACCTTTGTTTACCTTAAGTCTTAGTAGCCCGGCTCTAAGCCTTATCATAACATTTCGATAGTACAGTACAGTATAAGATAGTACAGTACAGTTTAAAGATAGTATAGTACAGTATAAGATAGTACAGTACAGTATAAGATATTACAGTACAGTATAAGATAGTACAGTACAGTATAAGATATTACAGTACAGTATAAGATAGTACAGTACAGAATAAGATATTACAGTACAGTATAAGATAGTACAGTACAGTATAAGATATTACAGTACAGTATAAGATATTACAGTACAGTATAAGATAGTACAGTACAGTATAAGATATTACATTACAGTATAAGATAGTACAGTACAGAATAAGATAGTATAGTACAGTACAGTATAGGATAGTATAGTATAAGATAGTACAGTACAGAATAAGATAGTACAGTACAGTATAAGATAGTATAGTATAAGATAGTACAGTACAGTATAAGATAGTATAGTATAAGATAGTAGAGTACAGTATAAGATAGTACAGTACAGAATAAGATAGTATAGTACAGTACAGTATAGGATAGTATAGTATAAGATAGTACAGTACAGAATAAGATAGTACAGTACAGTATAAGATAGTATAGTATAAGATAGTACAGTACAGTATAAGATAGTATAGTATAAGATAGTACAGTACAGTATAAGATAGTACAGTACAGTATAATATAGTATAGTACAGTATAAGATAAGATAGTACAGTACAGTATAAGATAGTACAGTACAGTATAAGATAGTACAGTACAGTATAATATAGTATAGTACAGTACAGTATAAGATACAGCATACGATAGAGGAGTATTGCATTGCATAAGATAGCTACGTGATAAATCGCAAAGAACAATGAACGAAGCGTGGTTTATTTCACGATAAAACATTGTTCTATCATGACATCATTTTTGGAGATTCGGATATGCACTCGCAAATTGATGACGTCATATTCGTTATTTTTGAGCGGGAAGTGTCTAGTAAGTTGGTGCCCATGGATGTAGCTGGGCTACGCAGATAACACCATGGCCGAACGATCACACCCAAAAGTGGGTGAGAGATGACATTCTGTACTAGGGGGAACCGTACAGATCACTGATGTGAGGATTGTAAGAATATGCAGGAAATACCAAACTTAACCCACCTGTTCGTAAAATGGACTTGTCTGACATTTCCAAGGTTGTATTCTATTCAGGGAGTCATTGTTCTTTAAATTTGGGTAAATATTGTTAAAGCTTGCACATTTTATCAACATCCTGTACATGACATTGATATCCCATATAAGAAATACACGATGAGTGGGAGTTGTTTATCATACAATAAAACACAGCAGGGAGAATAAACCATGGCATGGTAGCAGACAAGAGAGGACAGTTGAGTCGAAAGCTTGGCGAAAGAGAATGGTCTTAATTGATGTTCTAAAAACAGTGTAGGTAAGACATTCATGGCGATCAGGGGGTAGTTTGTTCAATTCAATAGCAACAGCAAAGGAGAAAGTTCTGTCCATAACTGGAGAGTTTTACTCTAGGCACGTAGAACAGATGATATAGGGATCCTGTAAGTATTCTCCTTATTAAGTGAATGAGTTGGGACTTTATTGAACTTTGAACCGTATTCCAGTCACATCAAATGATCGGATACCTTTCACCTTTAAATCACCATCAGACAAGCCAACACCATCTGAACATCTGTTCAGCAATGAAGTGAACGACGACTCACCCAATGGCTCCTTTATGTGGCCCCTCCGTCCCCACTTGGTTCTCAGCTCTACGGGTTTAAACCACATAATGTCCTCTAAAATAGAAACCACAGTTTTATGTGAGTTAAAATGTAACAATATATCAGCCATATGGCAATTAATTTTGTTATATGTTCCGTTATTCAAGTATTAGCATTTCACTGACTGCCTATGTTCTCTCCTCTTACTTAAACTCTCCCCTAATTAAATACGGCTTAACCTTCTAATTAAAGTGAAGTGACAGAAATCTTAATCACATAACAATGTTGGACAAACCCCAAACAGGAAAACAATATTTTAAAGTAGGAACAATGGTCCAAGCTATCTGGGTAGAAATGCTGTGAAGATCCAGGGTAGAATAGGTCTTCAGCAAACCATGCTTGACATAGTTGGCAACTATGCTTGTAAGGGGCGACTAACAAAATCGATTGATCAGACTCGCTGACTTGATGCATGTCATCGTATCCCAATTGTGTGGATCGATGCTCATGATGTCAATCACTGGATTATTTACAGACCACCATAAAATGGCTGGAATATTGATGAGTGCAGCGTTAAACAACAAACAAAGAAATGCGCACCAGTGCAGACAGCCCATGCAAGTGCAATCAAGATATCAAGGTTTAACCATGAGGAAGTGAAATTTTCTTTAGCACTGCTCTCAACAGTAATCACGCTATATCGCGGTACGGTGCTGACAGACGTAGAACCATAATCGGGCCGAACTGGGATTGGAACCCAAAATCTTAAGTGCCCCTGGGATGCAACTCTGTACAGCAATTTGTGGTGCCTTGGACGACTGGGCCACCCATGCCCCCTGAATAAGATGACTTGAAAGAAGCAACAAGTCTATTATGTGCAAAAGCTTCTACTCTCTTCACAAAAGATTTCAGCAAACAGCGATAAACAGAGTCCCAAGACCAATCTTTCCATAATAAATGACCAGTCCCTAGCATAACAAGCTGTACCCTATTTTGAAAATTCAAAATCAATTCACGCTTTTACACCCCTAATGAAAACCAAGCAATGGTCCTGCATGGACTCACCTCTGTTGAAGAACATGTATCTGATGACCGCTGACCGCTTGTTGATCTTGAATGGGTAACCACTGAGTACGGCCCTCTTTGCTATGATCCGGTCGGGGTTGACGGACAGCAGGGTGCCTGTGGCCACGAGGCTCTGCTCTCCTGTAGGACATGGACGTATGCTATGTTAAACAGTGTGTGTACCCATTTCAATACATCATACAAGCTTTCACAAAAGCTTGGTTATATACTCAAAGAAAAAAGTAACTGATCATATAAATTTAAAAACTGAAAATCAATAGGAAGTATGATGATACAGACAAAACCAGTTGTCGGTCAGATCAGGGTAGCTTGATGCAGTTTATGTGTTTATTGCTGTGTAAAAAGAGAAGGTTACACCTCAAGTTAGCTTCTTTAAAACTATTGTACATGGGTAATGTTTGTTTGTTTGTTGTTTTGTGTCACACGCAGCAATATTCCAGCTATATGACGGTGGTCTGTAAATAATCGAGTCTGGACCAGACAATCCAGTGATGACATGCATCAACCAAGTAAGCAAGCCTGACCACCCGATCCCGTTAGTCGCCTTTTACGACAAGCATAGTCGCCTTTTACGTCAAGCATTGGTTGCTGAAGATCTATTCTACCCACTGTAAATGAGCTGTTTTTATATCACTTTACTTTACTTTACGGCACCCACTGCTTTTTCCTCTTTCTTTCACATTCAAATTTTTTAGAGTCACCGGTTTTGTAAACTTAGTTTAAAAAAGGCTGGCCAAACAGACTATCTTCTATGGCTGATTTCTATACCCAGCGTTGCTACCCAGTGACTCAGCCTGAACACCTTGACTACAGAGCACACTCAGCTTACCATAGGCCACTTCCTGAAACACCAGTACAGGAGACGGCGGGAACAGGATCGGGGCATACACTGTAGCCACCACTGCCGTGCCCGTCGGCATGAACCTCTCAAACTGAAACACAAACAACAACCAACCTTGGTTACTCCGGCTGTTCATCTCAACATTGAATACATGAGCTACCAAAAGCCCAGCACTGTCAGTACATCACAGGTAGGGAACATACCTGATCACTTTGAGGTATGGTAGCAATCTCATCGTTCGGAATACCCCATGATAAAGTTTTCGAGATTGCATGATTAGAAATCACATTCCGACAGTTACTTTCATAATCTGGTAAGCGTCGCACTGATTGGTCGGATGAAAGGTCATTCTGACGTGACCCCTAATGGGATGTCTTCAGATCTTTGTTTAGCAGTAGCGAAAACTAGGATCTGATTTTAATGAGATTGGGTATGGTAGCTATGTGTGGCTATTTCCATCTGAGAAATGAGGCTGTTTGTTACTAATGGTACCAATGTCCAATAAGCTGCTCCATGCATGAACAATGTTTAAACCCTACCATTGAGAGATACTGAAGCAATGTGTGGCACTGATGGCGGCAAGGTTATGACATACAGTGCACAAGAAATATTGGAGTATTTGTGATGTTTCGGTTTGGTTTGTTGTTTAACGCCGCACTCAGCAATATTCCAGCTATATGACTCTGGTCTGTAAATAATCGAGTCTGGACCAGACAATCCAGTGATTAATATCATGTGCATCAATCCACGCAATTGGGATCAATGACATGCATCAACCAAGTCAGCTAGCCTGGCCACCCGATCCCTTTAGTCACCTCTTACAACAAGCATAGTCACCTTTTACGGCAAGCATGGGTTGCTGAAGACCTATTCTACCCCGGATCTTTACGGGTCTATTTGTGATGTGATTTGAGTGTTCATTAGTGGTTTGGCTCTTGCGCCAGGCCCTGTCTGATTTGTAGGTTAAAAATAGCGACTACATAAAAAATCAGAATGTCTTCAAAGGTGTTTTATGAACCTAGTATACACAAAACCTGTGAAGTATTGATTTAGAATGTCCCATGAATGCCTCGGACCTGTGTCACTCTGGCTTTCTTCCCAGACTAAGCTGACATATTAATACAATTGTATATTGAAAAAGAATAGATTCCATCCCCCTCCAACAGTGGACTTTCATACATGTTCACAGTATTGTTTGTTTGTTGCTTAATGCCCCACTCAGCAATATTCCAGCTATGACGACGGCCAGGAAATAATTGCACCTAGACCAGTTAATCCAGAGACTGATATTGTGAGCTGTTGGGGTATGATCACCGAGCCTGATCACCATCCACTTGGTTGCCTCTTACAACCAGCATAGGTTGCTGGGGATCTATTCTAACCCGGAATCCCCACTACACAGGGTGGACCAGTATAGGTTGCTGGGGATCTATTCTAACCCGGAATCCCCAGAGGGTTGACCAGCACAGGTTGCTGGGGACCTATTCTAACCCGGAATCCCCACTACACAGGGTGGACCAGTATAGGTTGCTGGGGATCTATTCTAACCCGGAATCCCCAGAGGGTTGACCAGCACAGGTCGCTGGGGATCTATTCTAACCCGGAATCCCCACAGGGTGGACCAGCACTGGTCGCTGGGGACCTATTCTTACCCGGAATCCCCAGAGGGTGGACCAGCACTGGTTGCTGGGGATCTATTCTAACCCGGAATCCCCACAGGGTGGACCAGTATAGGTCGCTGGGGATCTATTCTAACCCGGAATCCCCACAGGGTGGACCAGCACAGGTTGCTGGGGACCTATTCTAACCCGGAATCCCCACAGGGTGGACCAGCACAGGTCGCTGGGGACCTATTCTAACCCGGAATCCCCACAGGGTGGACCAGTATAGGTCGCTGGGGATCTATTCTAACCCGGAATCCCCACAGGGTGGACCAGCACAGGTCGCTGGGGACCTATTCTAACCCGGAATCCCCACAGGGTGGACCAGCACAGGTCGCTGGGGACCTATTCTAACCCGGAATCCCCACAGGGTGGACCAGCACAGGTCGCTGGGGACCTATTCTAACCCAGAATCCCCACAGGGTGGACCAGCACAGGTCACTGGGGATCTATTCTAACCCGGAATCCCCACAGGGTGGACCAGCACAGGTCGCTGGGGATCTATTCTAACCCGGAATCCCCACAGGGTGGACCAGTATAGGTTGCTGGGGACCTATTCTTACCCGGAATCCCCACAGGGTGGACCAGTATAGGTTGCTGGGGATCTATTCTAACCCGGAATCCCCTCAGGATTACACATTAGACTAAATGCCTAACACTAGGACGTTCATGATCAGCAGTCATCTTTATGACAATCACCGGGTGACAGCTTCTGACGGACCCTAATCTCAGTGTTTATGCTTCTCCTGAATCTTATCTGACGGTCTTCACCATTTATCACTATTTTCCGTCTACCACTATCAGGATGCATTTTAATATCACTGATAAACCCTTTTTCTTTTTCAACATGTACAAGATAGAAGTCATGAAATTAAAAGTGAAAAAAGTTTGTTTAATATACCACTTTACATTGGATGGGAATGTACCGGGTATCCTGGTGGTAACCTGAATATGACTGATTTCTATGAGATTTGTCATACACATAGTAATTGTTATTTCGTGGAAGTGAGTTAGTTAAAATTTAACATCACATCAGCATTATTTCAGCAATATAGCGATCATGGAACAAGAAGTCTCCATAAGTTGTTGTCTCAGCTTTTAATGACAGTATGTCGCAGCTCTGTATCCCTAGAAAAGATTGAGTAGTATTTGTTACCTTGTGTTTTGAGCCAAGTGTGTGCTGAGAGAAGATGGGATTAGCTGAGAACCTTCGGTATCCCACGTGAAAGATGAGCCTGTCCTTCGACCTGATTGGCTGGTCCACTTCAGCACACTTCTTCACAACAAAATGGACGACAGATACTTTATGTTCATGTGGCAGCAGCCCAAACAGCACAACAGGCGACCCTGGCTGATACCCCTCTGAAACAACACAACCTTTGTTGATACCCTGCTGAAACAACACAACAGGCAACCCTGGCTCATACCCCTCTGAAACAACACAACCCTGGCTGATACCCCTCTGAAACAACACAACTCTGGTTGATACCCCTCTGAAACAACACAACCCTGGCTGATACCCCGCTGAAACAACACAACAGGCAACCCTGGCTCATACCCCTCTGAAACAACACAACCCTGGCTGATACCCCTCTGAAACAGCACAACTCTGGTTGATACCTCTCTAAAACAACACAACCCTGGTTGATACCCCTCTGAAACAACACAACCCTGGCTGATACCCCTCTGAAACAACACAACCCTGGCTGATACCCCTCTGAAACAACACAACCCTGGCTGATACCCCTCTGAAACAACACAACCCTGGCTGATACTCCTCTGAAACAACACAACCCTGGCTGATACCCCTCTGAAACAACACAACCCTGGTTGATACCCCTCTGAAACAACACAACCCTGGCTGATACCCCTCTGAAACAACACAACCCTGGTTGATACCCCTCTGAAACAACACAACCCTGGTTGATACCCCTCTGAAACATGGTTCACAGTGCTATAGGTGTAGAGTCAGGTAAGGTAAAACATAAGCATTTCTGATTTATAATGTCAATAACAACACGACAACATATAAAAGAACAACATTTATTAAATTTTTGGCATATGGGGATTCTCGGTATATACATATATACATGACACATAAACATAGTACATGGAAGACTAACTTCAGCCAAGTCTCTAATATCGGAGTAGCGCACTCCATACTGTTTGAGCGTACTGAGACTTGGCTGAGTATACGAACAATGGACGGTGAAGAAATATACCCGATCGGCGGGCTGTACCTCTGCCAAGTAATACAAGTAGGAGTCGCGCACCCCAAGACTTGCTCCCGAGCGCCAGGAGTACCTGGCAGAGTAGACGAATGATGAAAAAACAAAAAAGAGATGAATGTTAAATTACTTGCAGGGGGAATAGTATCCGCCTGAATTGCCCTCTGATAGAGCGGATAGGGTGGTGAGGGAGGTGGTGGGTTCAGTCAAGATCCGACCATTAGGAAACGCGCTTGATTGAACCATGTGTTGTGAGCTGAACAAAGGAATTGCTGACAGCTGACTGCGCATGCGCTAGGCATGATTAAGTTGGGCGTGTGAGAGAAACGGAATATGATTGTGAATTGCTCGGGTTCCCAAGCCGACTTAACTACAAATAAACACCCATTGGAGTATATTACCTGATGACTAACAGTCACATCTGTATAGCACAGGTTAGCTTATTGAATTAAACTTTCGTAATGGGCAATAAAAATTATAGAAAAATATCATATGGTATGGTGCATGTAATGCATAACATTCGATGACGTAACCCTTGCTATTGCCATTATAAACTCAACTCAATATCTAAGTAATAATTTATAATGTCAATAACAACACGACAACATATAAAAGAACAACATTTATTAAATTTTTGGCATATGGGGATTCTCGGTATATACATATATACATGACACATAAACATAGTACATGGAAGACTAACTTCAGCCAAGTCTCTAATATCGGAGTAGCGCACTCCATACTGTTTGAGCGTACTGAGACTTGGCTGTGTATACGAACAATGGACGGTGAAGAAATATACCCGATCGGCGGGCTGTACCTCTGCCAAGTAATACAAGTAGGAGTCGCGCACCCCAAGACTTGCTCCCGAGCGCCAGGAGTACCTGGCAGAGTAGACGAATGATGAAAAAACAAAAAAGAGATGAATGTTAAATTACTTGCAGGGGGAATAGTATCCGCCTGAATTGCCCTCTGATAGAGCGGATAGATTGCCCATATTATTATTAATGATAATTGTGAAATTGAGTTGATGAGAATCCCCAAAAGTAATTAGGCCGTAAGACATAAACAAGAGAACATGATAAAAAGTTACAGAGTTCCAGTTTTGTTTAATCCTATTGAAGCTGGTCACTTCTGTGCCATCGCTATCTGAGCTTCACGTATGGAGACTTGGGACGTCCTGATATAACGAGTGTAACACGTTGAGGTCCATCTACCCAATGTCTGAATCATGTGATCGGGCACGCCTTTACTTGCAGCTGATGTTGCTGCTCCTATTCTGAATGAATGTCCGTTGTAGGCTTTGTCATCGTATCCAGCCATACTTAATAAGGTTTTGAGGCACTGAATAAAGAACTTCCTGGATAAGGCACTACCACTGGGTGACACAAACAAAGGGTCATGAGGGGAAGTTCCAGATTGTTTCCTGTGATACATGTAGGTCAGCATATTGTGTACTGGACAGATGGCAGTATTCATCCGATGCAGCACAATGTTCACACCTTTGCGAAATGGATCAGTTTTCGAAGATTGTAAGGTGAGTATAAGGGATGACAAATCGCTGGCAAACACCACTGAATTGAAACACAAATTGACATGCGGGCTGAATCTATCACACGTAAATTCCCCGCATCTGAGGAATGCGAAAAAGGCCAGGCAACACACTGCTTTCAGCATAATATTGAGTGAGGAGGTGAAGACACCTTGGTCTAAAAGGTGACACAACTTGGTAAGTATAGAGCTTGTTATGGGCAACCGAACATATACTGCACAGCCTTGCTGTCTCTTCACAGCACCTACTATGGTATGCAGCCTTGTCAGGTTGCCCAGAGTCCAAGGGTTCGGCACTCCCGCTTTGAGATACATAAACCTCACACCGCATAGGTATGTCTTTATTGTTGCATACCTGAGGTTTTGATGTTTATGACAGTGTGCCACGAATCTGAGTAGCAATTCTTCCGATATGGGAGGAAGTGATGAACTCCATATACTGCTACATGTTGCGATGAAGAGGGCATAGGCCTTGAACCCTGCTTGGTAGACTTCATATGTACGATGGGAGACTGCTGATGCCCACAGGTTGTCTAACTCGTTGTCTGCCATGCTGTAGTTGGTAGTGTTCTCGGAAACATCAATTCTTCCATAGGAGGACACGCAGTTGGGTGGCGACAGGCTTGAGGAGCTAGGCGTCTGAATCTGGCTATCTGTAATCGAGACAAAGCATCACTGATATGGTTGTGTTTCCCTGGGACATGCCTCGCGCTGCACATGAAATTGAATTTAGCTGAGGTGAGCGTTAACTTCCTCAGGAACCTCATGATACCCGGAGATTTGGATCTGCCCTTATTGATGATGTCCACTGTGGCTTTGTTATCACAATAAAATCTAACTGATTTCTTAGCCCATTCTTTTCCCCAGACCTCTGCTGCCATAACAATCGGGTATAACTCCATCAGGGCTATAGACATGTCGTCTGCTACCAGTGTGAACAGACGCCCAGGCCACTTAGAGGCAAACCACTTTCGCTGATAATATGCGCCATAACCTATGGCTCCTGCTGCGTCTGTGTATAGCAGGAAGTCTGGAGCATCGATCCTGTCAGCTGTGAAAAGGGACACTCCATTCCATTGTTCGAGGAAACAAATCCACATGGTGAAGTCGAGTCGACATTCTTGATTTAACTGTACCCTGTTCTTTAGGTCTGGAACTGAATGTGCCAATTGCAGAAGGTAGCCGATAAAGGTACGTCCTGGTTTCACCACTTGCATTGCGAAGTTCATGTGTCCCAGTACTACCAGCAAGTCTCGTTTGGTGACTTCACTCTGTTGTAGTAAGGAGTGGATGATGGTCGTCAATCTGTCTATCTTCTCCATGGGCAGTCTAGCTTCCATCTTGATGGAGTCTAGGGTGATACCGAGGTACACCAAGCAAGTCGTGGGGCCAACTGTTTTTGGTTGAGAGAGAGGGATGCCTAGGTCACCAAACATTTTCAAAAGAGACGACATGGTTCTCTGTCCTTGTTCCAAAGTCTTATTGAAGCAGATAAAGTCATCTAGCAGGTGTAATATATAGTCGATATGATAACACTGTTTGGCTATCCAACACACTGCTGCAGCGAGGGTATCAAAGATTTTTGGACTGGATCTGCAGCCAAACACCAATCGTGTGTAGTAAAAATATTCTCCTTGCCATTTGATACCGTGCAGATGCCACAATGAGGGGTGAATTGGGATAAGTTTGAAGGCATCTGTAACATCCGTTTTGCACATGAATGTTCCTCTACCTAGCTGTCTAATGCATGATATGGCATCATCGACTTTAACGTACTTCAAGGAATATTCTTCTTTATCAATCAAAGAGTTGAGACTTGGATTATCTTGGTCTTCATGTGGAGCTGACATATCTACTATAAGTCGTAATTTTTTTGAATATTTGCCCTCAACCAATCCTATGGGACTAACTCGCTGCAGAGGAAAGGGACTTGTGTGGAATGGACCCATAAGGTAACCTTTGTCCTTCTCTTCATGTATCAGTTTCGTCACCATATTTACGTTGAGGGGTCCTCGGGTTGATAGCAAGTTTCGACATACTCGTGTGACGGTTGGTGGGTTCTTAATTCCTGTGTAGAAACCTTCTTGGAAGCCGAGGATGAGATATGCTGTCATGTTTTGGTCTGGATGCTTGGCTAAAGTAGCTCTAAGTGTTTCAATATTAACAGGAGATGGTCTGGCTTCAAGTCATTTGTCCGACTTCTTGGACGTCTTGTCTGTGCGACATTGAAATTTCGGATGAGTCCTCTTGCATATTAGGCACACGTGCATGAACCTGCAATGTTGATGGCTGCATCCTCTGTCATTGTAATTATTGCAGATGGATTGTCCCTGATGGAAGATGATGGCTCGTCCATGGGCGTCTGTACCGTCGAAATTGTTCGTCCGTATCTGCTGCGGCTTCCTGGGTACCAGGGATGATTTCATTTGGTCATTAAGTGACAACGGGCAGAATTCTGATGTGTGACTTAATTCGCCGCACCACTGGCATGCATTGGCTTTCCTGGACGTAAAAATCTTTATATAGAGTTCTCGGTCCAGTCTGCCCCAGTATACTGGTCGATTTAATAGTTCAATGGCAGCTGCCGCTTGTGCAGAGAACATCTTGTGATAAGTGTAGAACGCATTGTCGTCCGTCTCGTTACTTAGTCCAATAATAATGCCTTGATATTCGTCCAACTCTGCTGACCTGTTGGGGAATTTCTCCATCATTATCTTTTTGAACCTTTCAAATGCTTTGAGGAAGTCTCTGATACCCAACACTTTCTGAAGTCTCTTGTCATTGGGAGTTTTGAGATGTAATTGACCATCGCCTATCTGAATGCTACGTGGGCCACAATGAACATCATCCGGAATTAGTAACAGAGCCAAATTAATGTCCCTACCCTCGTGAATCTGTTGCCTGAGATGTGCAGACGCTGTCTCCAGTCTTGGCAGTGTGTTGGGGTCCAGTGGTTGCGTAGCGGTGGCGGCATGGTTGGCAATTGCAGTTGACAGGGTGAATTTCCCGTTTATTCTAATTTCTTCTCTGGCGGTTGATTGCTGCGGCAGAATGGAGGGACTTGTCGTTGTGTCGGTGGCGGAAGGTGACGACTGAGTATGGTGAGGCAGCAAAACTCTTGTGATAGTTTCCACTGACTGTTGAAGCGCTTGAACAGTCGCGACTAAACTCTGCAAGTCAGGCTGTGTGGGCGCAGCCATGACACTTGGTGACGTCATAGGCGGAGTCGTTCTCGGTGCTTCGTTTGGAATTTCGTTAGGTTCTCCGACATCGCGAATATCCACTGAATTAGGAATGTTTCGAAACTCTTGTCTGACTTGGCTTGTAGCTGAAGTCCGGGAGGCAGGTAGTGGCCGTATGTTCGCTGGCACATTCTTTGAGTAGAACTGAATGAGTTGACCTCGTGACATAGAATTTGGCAGGTGTAAAATACCGATGTCCCTGGCGATGCGCTCTCGGAGTTCTGCAACGTACCAGTTGGAAGGGTCGTGAGAATGTTCGGTAGCCGCCGAGTCTGGATTAATTGACTGGTATCTCCTGCGGACGTTAGAAGAATTAGACCGAAGTCGTGTTGATACGGCCGGTCGGCCATCTTGGTTGTTTACATCGATGGCAGCTTCGCAAGTCGAAATACGTTTTCGACGAGGGGCCATAGTACTGTTACGAGACGTTACTGTATGTGACGGTTACTTCGTTACTACGTAGGTACTTCGTTGAGAAACCGGAAATATGGCATAAAGTTCAGTCAAGATCCGACCATTAGGAAACGCGCTTGATTGAACCATGTGTTGTGAGCTGAACAAAGGAATTGCTGACAGCTGACTGCGCATGCGCTAGGCATGATTAAGTTGGGCGTGTGAGAGAAACGGAATATGATTGTGAATTGCTCGGGTTCCCAAGCCGACTTAACTACAAATAAACACCCATTGGAGTATATTACCTGATGACTAACAGTCACATCTGTATAGCACAGGTTAGCTTATTGAATTAAACTTTCGTAATGGGCAATAAAAATTATAGAAAAATATCATATGGTATGGTGCATGTAATGCATAACATTCGATGACGTAACCCTTGCTATTGCCATTATAAACTCAACTCAATATCTAAGTAATAATTAAATGCAATGTTTTTATACCTACCTGACGCTACACCTATAGCACTGTGTAGCGTCAGGTAAGGTAAAACCTCCCATTCACTCTTACAATGACGTGTAACACACAGCAGAATATTCTGTTTTCATCCACAGATGTAGGAAGGAGACTGAACTTACCTATGAAGGCCTTCGGTACATTAGCAACATGGACCGTGATGTACCACCCAGGCTGAAACAAATAGCATTGTATGTACACAAACTAGTTGAAGTGTTCAGGCATAATCAGCAAACAAATGAAACATTTGATTTCTGTTTACAGAAGAATATACTTCTGACATCCAGGTAACACGAATCAAGCCATGGCTTGGTCCCAGCAAGAGTGAGTGAGTATGGTTTTACGCCGCTTTTAGCAATATTCCAGCAATATCACGGCGGGGGACACCAGAAATGGGCTTCACACATTGTACCCATGTCGGGAATGGAACCCGGGTCTTCGGCGTGACGAGCGAGCGCTTTAACCACAAGGCTACCCGACCGCCCCAGTTCCAGCAAGAGGTGAAATGGGTTTAACGTTGCGTTCAAGATTGTTCCACTTACATATCAATGTGTGTGTGACATCTTGTACAAGTCCAGACATACACCGGTTTTATAATGCTAGCCCCTCAGATACCATGCTGCAGTTTAACATAAATACCCCACTCCACACAGTATACTATTGTTTGTTGCTATATTCCGCAATATTCCAGCCATTTCACGCCGACCTGTGTGAGTGAGTGAGTTGGGTTTAACGCCGCTTTTAACAGTATTCCAGTTATATCGCGGCGTGTCACCTTAATGTGGGAGGAAAGCCCGAAGTGATGCAGGTCTCTGACGTTTACCACTTCGGTGAAACCAACGAGCACGGGTATGGTGCTGACAAACCTAGAAACATAATCGGGGCGAACCGGGATTCGAACCCACAATCATAGGTTTCTGGCGTGCCAAAGGGACGCAATTCTGCACAGCAAATCGCGGCGCCTTAGACGACTGGGCCACCCGTGCCCCCCGCCGACCTGTGAAGAATTAAACCTGGCCCAGACAGTAAGACATGTAGTCCTGGCACAATAACATGGTATCAACAAAGTCCACTGAGATACACCAAGCCTCCATCTTACCATGGCTCCTTCATCCAAGTCCTCCTCAATACACCGCTTCTTGGTCCTCTTGAAGTTCTCAAACTGGAATATTCGAGCGAAGTCCGATGGCAAGTTTTCTTTAGGATCCCAGGGAGAAGTTCTAAAGCTCTTCAATCCCCGGAACCTGAGACAGTAATTGATCACTACAGCAATAAGCTTACAATGCCTCGTCAGCCTTATAACTGCCTGAAATAATCACATTTTACAGACTTGTTCCTTGCAAAAAATAATCCTAATGTCATGGCAAACTCAAATCAGAAGTACAGACAGTACTACTTCCAAATACGCAATAGCCATAATACTCTAGCACTGGTGAACGACCAATCACAACCATGAGGTTTAGACTGGAGATACGCAATGCATTGTTAAGTGATAGAGTACTGGTAATTGGATCCGTATGTCAAAATCAGCAATACTTATGGCAACATTTAGTATTATGTACCAGTTCTCATCAGACAAATCCGTATCTGGCAATACGCTGATCTGTCACCGAGTGAGTGAGTGAGTGAGTGAGTGAGTGAGTGAGTGAGTGAGTGAGCGAGTGAGCGAGTGAGTGAGTGAGTGAGGTTTTACGCCCCTTTTTAGCAATATTCCATCAATATCACGGCGGGGGAGATCAGAAATGGGCTCACACATTGTACCCATGTCGGGAATCGAACCTGGGTCTTCAGCGTGACGAGTGATTGCTTTAAGCAATAGGCTACCCCACCACCCCAATTTCTACACAGAGTGAGTGAGTGAGTGAGTGAGTGAGTGAGTGAGTGAGTGAGTGAGTGAGTGAGTGAGTGAGTGAGTGAGTGTTTTTACCCCACTTTTAGCAATATTCCAGCCATATCATGGCACCACCCAGACATGGGCTTCACACATTGGTAACGTGGCTGCCATCAGTGTGGGAGCAACCATTATCAATCCTGAAATTTGCCCTCTAACCCCAAATGTACTAACATTTATACTTTTGTTTATGTCTTTGGGAATGTCATCCTAGTGAATTTTGAAAAAGTTTACAACTGACCAGATTTCCCAGATGAATTTACCTTTTTTTGTTTGTTTGATCAGATTGGTTTGAGATTGCAGATGAACGGAAAATCAACCAACTTCCCCCTTACATCCTTACTATACCAATTACATGACAGTTGTAATAAAACAGAAATTCAAAAGGACACAAAAAGAAAATATTTTATCTGGGGTAAGAGAATTCGGCGTCACAACTGTTATCACTTGTTTGTAAACATAATGGTCAGTCGGTTGCGACTTAAACTCCAAGCATGGTTGTAGCCACCTATCACAGTGGGGATCTTTGACTGGTGGCAGCGATAGTACAGAGAGCTCTGTGAATGGGCTATCGCTGTTAGGACCTTGATTGTATCATCCAACACTAAATCTGAACTTATTTAAAAGTGGCGCATCATAAGTTTATATATAGCAAAACTTTAAATGGTTAAGGATTATGCCACACACCATATGACTTATGAATGATATTTTTACTATCATGTGCTATCCACAATCATTAATATAACCAGTTCCGGCCTTACTTGACCTACCCCTTTCATCATGTACAGTTGGGAGTGATTAGAAGCAAAGTACTCACAAGTACACACAAATTTCTAACCATCCTCAGGCTAAATATGTTAAGAAAACATGTTCTAATCAAACAACTATGTACAACTATATTGTTTGTAGTTCTCACCTTGCAAATCTTGTTCTGGCTGTGACGTTAGCTGGTGTGTCGACTTCGTCAGGGAACATCACATGCTGTTTCTCTTCCTTCAACTTCGCTAGCCTGAAAAAACCCATCAGATTGTCATACATCAGAGCTCCAGATAAGCTTTTGGTGTTGTGGGTATTTTACCCATGCATTTTAAAATCATTGGGTATCAGTAATTCTATCTGGGTATTCAAATTTCTGTTACCCACTAGTTTTTACACATGTGGGTATTTAAGTTAAATAGTTAAAAACACTATTCATCTAGTCCCTGCAAACTGGTGTCGTGTGGGTTCGAGAGCTTTATAGGACTCAAAAATACCAAGATACTTCCACAAGAAAGTGTGATGGCAAATGATCATGATGTAACTGTCATCGTGGAGTTTGGCAAGGTTGACGGAATGCCCGTTTATAATTTCAAAATAAGTTGCTGATTTGCTAATCAAATACGCAGGGTTACTTCACAATATTTTGATGTTACACACAAGTTTTATTTTTGTAGCGTATCTGTAATGTTCGTTGCATATTTGATACGCTTGGGGTTTTTTTTACTGCAAATTTCTGCATTTCTGATTCGTATTTTACGCAGATAAGCAGCTTATCTGGAGCTCTGTACATACAACTCAAAAGACAACTTAATCTTTCATGCCAAATGAAAGAATTGGGTGTACTTTAACTTTGTTGGTTGTATGGTTTTTCGATGTATAAAGAACATACCCTGTAACTTAAATTCTGTAATTATTATTTCTGTTATCACTGCTTAACTTTACCAAACTAATAGCATGACCTAGTTCAGCTGAGAAATAAATTTGTTTCATTACAAGACAGGAAAGACACAGCCACTAGTCCGTAAGTTCATACATATGATCAGATCAAGAAGTATTGTTACATTTGCATGTCTTCGTCTAGGTCCATAGCGGCATCATACTTTGAGGCGTCGTCTTCTGCTATAGTCACCTGGGGAGAAAACAGTCACATAGTTATGTATTTTATGCCTCAGTAGAATTTGGGTAGGGCAGGTAACTCAGATATCTGAAAACTTGTTTATCCAGACAAAACTTGAGAAAACATAAGTGTCCAGATAAGTGAGGTTCAGCTGTAATTACTTTTTTTAACATATTTCCCTTTTTACACACTTCTTTGATGTTGATTGCCAAATACAGCAATATACTGGATATTTCACACTGGCCTGTAAATAATAAAGTCTGGACCAGACAAACCAGAAATGGATATTACGTCCCACACAGTCAGGATCAGTGAGTGAGTGAGTTGGGTTAAACGCAGCTTTTAACATTATTCAAGTTATATCACGGCGTGTCAGCTTAATGTGGGAGGAAAGCCCCAAGTGATGCAGGTCTCAGACGTTTACCGCTTTGGTGAAACCCATGAGCACGGGTATGGTGCTGACAAACCTAGAAACATAATCGGGGCGAACCGGGATTCCAACCCACAATCATAGGTTTCTGGCGTGCCCAAGGGACGTAACTCTGCACAGTGAATCGCGGCGCCTTAGACGACTGGGTCACCCGTGCCCCCTAGGATACAATGAGCTCGGTAGGCATTAACCAAGACACTGAGACCGACCACCTAGTCTCTTATGACAAGCGAGGTAACCTATTCCACCCCGCAATCCTGCACGTGTAAACATTTCCAAAACTTACTGTCTCATATTCACTTTTGTCGTCATCATCATTCACGTCTTCTTCCTCACTAGAATCATTTTCCTCCTGAGCCTCCATGTCAGCATCCATTTCTTCATCCGATTCTTCCTCACTGTCGTCACCTTCCTGAACATAAAATTACATTCAAAACACAATGTCAGGATATTGTAAAACATCAACTATTATGTAAAAAAACATTGCCCCATTTCACAAAGTGATCTTAGTTTGATGGAGATCATAACCCCCATACCTTAACATAAGATGGTTCCAGGAAGGTGACCTCATTTGCATATTTATCGAATGGTGTTACCAAATTTGAGGGATTGGTTTCTGGCAACGTTATTCACTATATGATAAAGTAAAGCATCAGATGTTCCCATGAAAGCTTTTAATGAAATACACTTCTCTTAAAAATATTTCATGCATTTCACTTTTTAAAGTTTGCCTTGTGTTTGCTTGTTAAATTTTAGAACTCATTCACACTCAGTGAGTGTGCTGGGATTAACAGTGTTTTTAGATCCTGGCTGGCCTAAGGGAAGCAACTGTACAGAGCCAACTGCTGCACCTAAGTTGACTTGGCCACATGTGCCCTCATTCACACACAAGGGGAGATAACCCACCTCTTCATCACTATCTATGATCCAGGCAGCTTGGTAGTCCGATGTCCCTTTTGGTACTCTCTTCACTATTTTTCTCTTTGACTCAGATTCAGCTGTTACAAAATACAGGATTAAAACTGACATTTCAAAGCAATCATAGAAACCCAATAAGTATGCAAGTGGTCAATGTGTAAAAGATCTCTGTAGCAAACCATGAACTTGGTCAACTCTCAGTCTAACAAAGAACAAACAAGAGGGATCTTAGTTTTTGTAGGAACAGTCCAGCCATGTCACAGCAGGGTCACTAAGAATGGGCTCACACACTGTATCCCATGATAAGGGACAGACCATTTGATATTTAGGGGTTGGGGCTGGGATATTATCCCCCCAAGAATAATTGTCCACCAAAATTCTTGAAAAAAAAATTGTGCTTCAGAGCGTTGAAAAAAAGAAAGAAAATGCCTGCCATAAAAAAAACATTAGTGCATCTGGATTCATAGCTGTAGCTCAAAAAATATCTAATCTCGACACCCCAACACCCCCATCCCGCCCCTGAATATCAAATGGTCTGTCACTAACTACCATTGTTAAGGGATGAAAACTGATGCATGAAAGGTGTTCCTTTCATGCAAACTTTGTATTATCAATACATTACTTACTTCTTAACATAATATCGCTGAAATATGTCAATAATCACGATAACTATAACTTTGAAAATTTCATGACCTGGAAGCATCGATAAAGTGAAAGATCAAACCCACTTATCAGGACTATTCTGCAGCTGTCCAAGTAAAACAAACAATTATCATTTGATATACTGGTATATGATTTGTACTTGTTACCATATGCTCAAGCAGGAGACAATAAAGAAACAATACAGTTTGTGTTGTATATCATCACCACGTTCTACGCCTGACAAAACACATTGCTCAAACTGCCAGAATTGGTTGTCTGACTGCGGTTGTGATAAAGCGGTTCCTGCATACATCTCAAAACCTACCACCAGTTCCTCTGACCATTTTTGTCATTATCACGACATTGTGAGTGAGTGAGTATGGTTTTACGCCGCTTTTAGCAATATTCCAGCAACATCACGGCGGGGGACACCAGAAATGGGCTTCACACATTGTGCCCATGTCGGGAATCGAACCCGGGTCTTCAGCGTGACGAGCGAACGCTTTAACCACTAGGCTACCCGACCGCCCCTCACGACATTGTGGGCTACACTGCTGCACAAACAGTCGACCATGTGTTTCCTTGAACCAGTGTTCATTACCCCTGTAAAGTTTCAACAACCCATTCTCGTTATAAGAGGCGAATAATGGGATCAGGTGGTCAGGTTCACTGACTTGGTTGATAGATATCACCGTATACCAATTACGTAGATCGATGCTCATGACATCAATCACTTGATTGTCTGGTCTAGACTTGATTATTTACAGGCCACAATCATATAGCTGAACTGCTGAATGTGGCGTAAGACAACAAACAAAGAGAGTTGATGATGTATAGGCGGCAGAGATACAGCTGACTGCAGCAACAAGCAACATTCACACACATCCTCATACCTTCTGCCAGCTCCTCCTCCGTGGGCCATGTTTGTTCCCCCATCATGGGGTCGGGCAGCACCTCACTGTCCAGACTCTCCTGCTTGCCCGGCTCGCACCGCTCCAGCACATTCACCTCAGACCGGGGGTCTTCCGACTCCATCTCCACATCCTGCAGCATCGCAACATTAATAGAAACTCAAGTTGTCATGCAGAGGGTGCCCTTGCAGCACTGCATTAATCCAACGAGTATAAAACTAACAGGGACGAGCCCGCACTAGCCCGCACTAGCCTGCATGCTTGAGTCATGCCCAAGTCAGTTTATCTAATGTTTCAGTATCCTCATGGGAAACAGGATTTCAGGATGTCATAACTTTTCAGGCTAGTCAATGTTTGAGATAAAGTTGGATCTCTGAACTAATATTGTATCTTCCTGCTACTCTTAGTGATAACAGAGTGATGTCCGTGTCTATTAACCAATGCTACTCAACTTTTGAGAGGGGAAAAGTTCTGCTATTACTTGACATACAGAAATGTCCCTATCAAAAGTTGAGTAGTATACTTTAACTTCCCAAACATTCCTACCATCTAATCTGCCTTGGAATTACATCTACCTAAAGTAAAGGAATGAATGGGGTTTTACACAGGAACAAGTAAATAGGCAACATATCGTTTCAGGTGTCCACAGTTAACGGCCATGTTGGCCCACTGATCGCCTTTTACCATTGGGGATTCATGGGACAAGTGAGAGGTCACTCACTCAAATCTGATCTTAGTTCTCGCTATCACTAAACAAAGATCTGAGGACATCCCATTAAGGGTCATGTCAGAACGACCTTTCATCCAACCAATCAGAGCGTCGCTTACCAGATCATGATAGTGACAGTCGGAATGAGTTTTCTAATCATGCAACCACGAAATATTTAACACGGGGTATTCCGAACGACAGTTACGGGTTTTATGATTATATCCATACAATCAAGGCCATCTAAAAGCCATTCCAGAATGTTCTTCTTATCAGTTTTAATTTTCTTAATCGAGAATACGTCAAAATATGTTTCAAAGCGTAGTCGCCAGTTTGAAAATAGTGTCGTAAATCTCGAGAAAGCTGCCTTCTGATTGGCTAATGACGATTTTTTGTCACTCATTTCATTGGTCGGTCAAAATTCGCGAAAGGTCATTCTGGCATGACCCGTAATGGGATGTCCCCAGATCTTTGTTTAGCGGTAGCGAAAACTAAGATCTGATTTTAAAGAGATTGTCACAGCCCCTTGATTGGGGTCATTGTGCCAACTAGCCTGTGTGTTCCAGGCTACAACTAAATGCCTGTGACACTGCGGACTGCAGATTAACACCATTCTCCCACCCACTCCACACCCAGGCACGTATGACAAGCCTCATGTTGACTGCAGCTTAAACCATGACTCATTCTTCCACCACAACCTTTACAGTCGACCCGTGAAGATCTGGGGTAGAATAGGTCTTCAGCAACCCATGCTGGTCGCAAAAGGCGACTATGCTTGTCATATGAGGCTACTAACGAGATTGGGTGGTCAGGCTCAATGACTTGGTTTATGCATGTCATCGTATCCCAATGACCCATGAAGATCCACGGTAGAATAGGTCTTCAGCAACCCATGCTGGTCGCAAAAGGCGGCTATGCTTGCCGTAAGAGGCGACTAACTTGAAAGGGTGGTCAGACTCGCTGACTTGGTTGATGCATGTCATCGATCCCAGTTGCATTGATTGATACTCATGATGTCAATCACTGGATTGTCTGGTCCAGACTCAATTATTTACAGATCGACGTCACAATAGCTGGAATATTGTTGAGAGCGGCGTTAAACAACAAACAAACAAAACCCTTTGTGGTCACCAACAAGAAGTTTGTCTCACACACTGCCCATCTTCCGAGACAAGAGAGTTAACTGACTATAGAAGTCCAGTTTCCACCCTTGCCGAACTAGGCTGGTATTATGGAGTTACATTTTGGCTGGACTAACGAGTCCAATCAAAATCGCGCACCAAAATCGAAATCCGGTTTGTAAAGTGTCATGCAGATTTTGGTCGACTGCAGGATTTGCAAAGCAAGTGCACTGCTAACTCGTTGTCAACAGATATTTTCCACATCTTTTCCTGTTTTTAATCAAGGTGATCACGTGATTTGATGCACTGTGCGATGTAAGACTCGTTTTATCACAATATAGATCTTGATTATCGATCAGAATGTCTTGACTGGGTGCCACCGTTTTGTTTGAAGCAAATGCAAGTGATACGAGAGGTTGAATCTGATTGGTCAATAGGAGAGGCATAGAAAGGACATAACTCGTAATATCCACTGGTGGCGCTACGATCGAGCCCAGGAATTCCAGCCTAGTTCGGCAAGGGTGGAAACTGGACTTTTATAGTCAGTTAACTCACTTGCCTCGGGAAGATGACACAGCCAAACTAATCTTAGCACTATATGTGTATGGTCCTTCAAGTGAAAACATGAGGCACTTGACCGAACCAATCTGTACAGTGTTAAAATCACCTGAGACAAACGCAGAGACAGAACACACCCACCTGAGTCTTCCTGTTCTGTTTCCCAGGGTGCAGATTGAGGGGGTAGGGGTCATCCGGTGCGTCTATCTGCAGCATCTGAAAGTCCCCCCATCCCGGGATGTGCACCAGTCTGTTCACGGTGAGCGTCTTCCCCCGCAGGTACCCTGTCACCTTCAGCGTCCCGGTGTCGCTCTGACAACATCAACAACCAACAGGTTACCTAGGTAACCAGCATTTTCATCTACCTTCTCAATACACGTACCAAAATATTTTTTGCTTGGAAATTTCTCGTCATGAACATAAGGCTAAAAAAATAATGGTCTTGGTAAGGGTTTTACCTTGACTTACAAAACTGGTCAAGAGGACCCTCATAATTAATGCTAAGGGTCTTTTCAGACAATATGAGGGTCCTGTAAAGTAATAAAATGGTGTAGTGTACTGTACGTTTGGATAATAACTTAAGGTCCTGGGCCCCGTTCCACAAAGCGATCTTAGGGCTAAGTTGATTGTAACTCACTAAGTATGAGATCTTAAATTTTTGTTACGATCAGCCGCCCGTTCCACAAAGCAATCTTAACTAAGAGAGTTGTAAGTTAAGATCAAAATGCTAAGTTGCTCCGGACCAACTTAGGATTGCTAAAATCGATCTTAAATATTGTACCATAACAACAAAGTTGGCGACTTTTATTATGATGTGCAAGGAAATGCGTCGTCTGCTAAACATGACCAAGGGAGGCCACTCCAAGGGAAAATTTCGTATCTTTATGGCTGAAGATTCCGATCTTTGTTAAGATCGGCTACTTAAGAACTTGTAAAGTTACAATCACCCTAAGATCGCTTTGTGGAACGGTTGTAAACTTTAGCTAAGACAATTTTAGAATCGATGTAAGTCTCTAAGATTGATTGTAGTTACGATCGCTTTGTGGAACGGGGCCCTGGAATGAATGAATTATCATGTGGACAGTGGTCATGATTGATGGATGAAATGACACTCATAACTTCTCTTGATGCACTGTAGGTACAATGAATATTATTGTGCGTCCCATGGGACGAAGTATATTCTTTCTGCATCCAATCTCAACATTTGTGCGTACTGGACACACATTGATGTGTCTCGTAAAACACTGCTTGGTTCTCAGGCACTGCCGCTTCATCACAAACAGAACTAAAATCTTTAAATATTCCATGTCTTGAACACACAGCTTTGTGTGCTTGAAATTTACGGTAAAACATCACTGGACCTGGTGATTTATAAATTCAATGGTTTGTGTACTGTATGCGGGAGAATGTTTCAGAGGTAAAGATTACATGTATATTTGTCTCATAACATAAGCCAGAAATATTAATCAGTTGTTCACACATTTTCTCCCCATCTATGGGTGATTTAGTTTAAAAAATACCTTATATGGCCAATATAATAACTGAAAAGAAATTTCAATAGGAAGACCGAAGACATTGTATCTCTAACCACTAATGTTTCCTTCAAGGCAAGTTCATAGTGAGTTGATCAGTTCATATACAATTTTGCCGAAATTAATGTAAACAAAATTGAATGAAATCATGGATAAAAAGGCTGCCCACCCGTGCGAATGATTTCTTCAAAAGTCACTGCCTGAGAACCATTTCTCATTTATTCCAAGAGAAAAAAAATTACTATAAAGCAAATCAACAGAACTTTGCCTACATTTAGCAGGTACATGTCTTTCTCACCTCAGTATTATCAAGTTCAAAACTGATCTCTTCTCCAATGAGATGTGGCCTGACATCCCTATATTGGATGTTACGCAACTTTTGATTGGTTATTTGCCTGACCACCAGCAGAGCATCCTGACTTGTGTCCAAAGAATGAAACTTCTCTGCTGGAAATCTAGAGAATGAAATTATCAACATCATTATGCCCAGAAACAGCAATAACATAATAATTCTGGTGAGGTGAAATGGGGCTTACTTTGCATCCAAGATTGTTGCACTTCTGTGTGGACGTGCATGCACCTGTGTGTGTGTGTGGCTGCTTGTACTAGTCTGGACTGATGCTGATTTATAGTGCTAGCACACTGAGATACCATGCCACAGTTTAACATGAATACCCCACTCAGACACAGTATACTGCCGCTGAGCCGACCAGTCCTTGTTTTAGCCCCTTAATGCCAACCGCCAGACAGGGTAACAACAAGTACCATCTTTTAACATCTTTTGGTATGACACGGTCAAGGATTTAACCCCGACCTTCCGCTCTCCAGGTGGCACGTTCCCACTAGACCATAACATTCTGAATATTGTGATTTTGGTCTAGGGGAAATAAGTCTTAAGGGTGTATTTCTTCCAATTATTATAAACTCTGTCAGGAATATTGCTTAACTGCACTGAAGTACATGGTGCTAGATATTGTAGATCAATACAGTCAGTGTGAATATGTTTTGAGAGTTTGGAATCTGGAATATATCTTTTGTTCATTCCTACTTTTATTTTGTGAGTATGCAGTGTTCCTGTTTACGGGTAATTACCAGTTTTTTACCGGTAAAATTAAGCTTGGACTGGTAATTCATGAGACTGCCAGTCTCTGTGGACCGGCAAATAAAGAACTTATAAATCTTTGTTGTTGAACAAAACATCGGTGATATTCATTAAAGTACATTTTTCAAACAAAGTCAGCTTGTCTGTTACCATCAGGGTTTCCCCTTGTCTATTTCTAGGTTAAATATCCGGTTGTAGCGACTTCGTCTCGAAATATTAAAAAAGAAGAGAAAATTGTGACTGAGTTTGTGTGAATGATGTATAGATCTAACTAAGTTACTTCAGAGATGACATCTTTGCACTGAACATGAAGTTGAAAGAATTAAAACCAAATAATTTTCATACGGTTTTTTATTTGTTGAAAGTTGGGACTAGCAAAAATAAGGGGGGGACTGGTAAGTTTAAGTTTCAAAATTTTTAGTTTCAAAAGCCAGCGAGAACACTGGTATGTTTTTACAGTAGTTTTCATTAGGCTTAATATATTGTGCCCACGTGCGGAATCGAACGTAGATCTTCGACATAACAAGCGGATTCTTTCACCACTGGGCCACCTCAATGTACTGACATTCACAAACACGACAGAGATAACATGGCATCCTGTACCACAAGAACAGTCAGATTGTTTACAATAAACTGTAAAAATCTATATCATTCTACACTAATCATAAGCAAAAGGTCATAAAATTAACAGAAATCAAGAGATAAAAGTTGTTTTGTACATAATTCATCTGTCATGTCATTAACTCACCTTTTCTCAATTTTCCGTTGCATCAATTTTCTTGTTTCAGCTTGTTTCTTCATGGGCAGACTTTTAAAACCCTGTCACACAAAACACCAGTGAAAGAATATGACATAATAGCTGATATATTTGTTTGTTGTCTAACGCCACACTCAGAAATATACCAGCTGTAAGATAACGGTCTGTAATAAATCGAGTCCATCCATCCATCCATCCATCCATCCATCATCTAGGCAAACCTTGCTCGCTATACACATTAAAACTTATCAGTGGAACTGGATTCAAAACGAAGCTCTAGTTGTGAATGGGGCCAGGGTATTTATTGTAATGGAGGTACCATGGGTAATTGGGTAATTGAGTGAGTGAGTGAGTGAGTTTGGTTTTACGCCGCTTTTAGCAATATTCCAGCGGGGGACACCAGAAATGGGCTTCACACATTGTACCCATGTCGGGAATCAAACCCAGGTCTTCGGCGTGACGAGCAAACACTTTAACCACTAGGCTACCCGACCGCCCCATGGGTAATTGAGGACTGAAACACATTACTACTTACATTACAGACAAAGACAGCTGCCGGCATGCCCTGACCATAGAGGCAGCTAAGGCAGTGTTCTCCATATTTGTCGATGACGTTGTCAGTAGACACTGCACATAACAAGGTATCTGCTATCTTTGCTGCATCCAACAGTGCATACAAGTTTCCATACTCGGGTGTGAAGATTGACACTCTCTGCTTGAAGCGAGGGATGCTGGAACAGAAGTTCTATATACTTAACAATCCTGTTTAAGGGGGCACGGGTGGCCCAGTCGTCTAAGGCGCCGCAATTCGCTGTGCAGAGTTGCATCCCTTGGGCACGCCAGAAACCTATGATTGTGGGTTCGAATACCAGTTCGCCCCGATTATGTTTCTAGGTTTGTCAGCACCATACCCGTGCTCGTAGGTTTCACCGAAGTGGTAAGGTCTGTGACCTGGATCACTTCAGGCTTTCCTCCCACATTAAGCTGACGCGCTGTGATATAACTGGAATAATGTTAAAAGTGGCGTGAAACCCAACTCACTCACTCACTCACTCACTATACTGTGTAAGTTATAGTGAGAGAATTGGGTTCGATGCTGCTTTGAATTTTATTTCATGGCATGTCAGCTTGATGTGCAGATCTTTACTGGTAATCAGAACTAACGCAGGTTTTAGACGATAGCACCTTGTTGAAACACACAAGCAAAGGTATGGTGGTAACAAACACACAAACATAATCAGGTTAATCTGCGGTACGAACCCACAATCATGGGTTTCTGGCACACCTAGAGGACGCAACTCTGAACAGCAAATTGTGGCACCTTAGATGACTTGGCCACCTGTGGCCCCCATGTTCTGTTTACAAGTCTAGCTGGACAGACTCAGGTGCCTTTCTCTCTCCAAAGCCACCTGGTTCCAAGCGTTACTTTCCTGGTAGCCAAAGCAATTGCTTGGGAACCAACACAAATTAACAGGGAGTCAAGATCAGGTTTCAGATCAGGTCTCACTCATCTGCATACGACTGAGGCATGTTATTGTATACAAAATAATCTCCAAAGTGTAGAAACTTTGATCTCAAATGATTGTAGCCATCAAGGGCTTTTAACATCATGTTGTTTCTAGGCACTGTGATAGTTCATGGAGCCAAATGTAGAATTTGGTCGCATTTGTGGAGAAATAGACATTGTATGAGGTGAGATCAAAGTATCTTTTAATTTATTACACAATAGATTGTGTCAATCATCCCATTTGCTTAGAGTACGAGACACTGTTTTAAATATCACAGTTGTGGAATGTAAACTAGTTGAATGAATGCAAAAATACTGATATGTACTGTTTCATCACGAACGGTGACAGAGTTCTACTCATTTCAAGACTGAGTAATATGCCACTTTACACTCCATGTTTACCTCTCTGGACTCACTAAAGGTACGGGGGCACGGGTGGCCCAGTTGTCTAAGGCGCCGAGGTTCACTGTGCAGAGTTACGTCCCTTGGGCACGCCAGAAATCTTTGTTTACCTCTCTGGACACACTAAAGGTGCAGTTATTCCCATGTTCACCTACCTCAGATGCAATATTCCTTGTTCATTCTGCTTGACTACTGCAGAATCATCAGCAATCTTCAGCAGATCCAGAAGTACCTTGGTGTCTATATTCCGATCCAGAGATACAACAACCTAATTTAGAAAATGGATATTAGAGCTGTATTTAGTCTAAAATCATATGAGGACCAACCACGTCTACTCAAACATTTTCTGGATGCAATGCCAATCCATCTTAACATGTTCACAGAAAAAATCTAAACTCTAAAAGTCTAAAGATTTTTCTTGGCAAACTGACTTAAGGGGGGCACAGGTGGCCCAGTCATCTAAGGCGCTGTGATTCGCTGTGCAGAGTTGCATCCCTTGGGCACGCCAGAAACCTATGATTGTGGGTTCGAATCCCGGTTTGCCCCAAATATGTTTCTAGGTTTGTCAGCTTCATAGCCGTGCTCGTGGGTTTCACCGAAATGGTAAACGTCTGAGACCTGCATCACTTCTGGCTTTCCTCCCACATTAGGCTGACACGCCGGGATATAACTGGAATACTGTTAAAAGTGGCGTTAACCCCAATTCACTCATTTAAGAGTGAGTTACTATAGTGTGGTTTACACTTATTTTACCATTTTTCAATCCCTATGAAAGATAATAAGAATGGGCTTCACACGTACCCATGTGGGGATTGAACCCAGAACATGTCTACCCCTACTCTCCTTGTTTTCAATAAGTGCCTCTCTATATCTCATAACGTAGACCATTTCAAGTGCTCTTGTAACATAGGTGTATCATAAAGTGCCATTGTTTCTGAACAAATCTTTCAAGGATTGGTTCAAAAGAGAAACTCAATTATCTGTTTTTAGCTGTTTTGACAGAACTGTCAGTCAGGACAAGGGATGTCATTTCCACACAACCCAACTTGCTGTTGATCTTTTGTACATAAAAAAGTGGTCGATAATGTGAACATTGATCCACCTTCTTATGGTACACCTTGATGTAAAACTGGTACATTTGTCATTTCTCAGCTCAGGTCGACCCTCTCTTAATGACCTCATCACCACTGTGCTGCAACATTCCATTACCCATGGAAAAACACACATATGCCCATCCTGAACTGATTATCAATATGATCTTACCACAAAGTGTGGCGGCGTATTTGTTCCACCTCTGTTTCTCTTCTTTTCCAAAACTTCATCCCTCTTCTGTTTTCTCATTTGCAGTGCCTTCAAGCAGAAACAAGCATTAAAAGATACTTAACACTCCTTGAAAGGATTCACAACAGCTCAGATTGTATAGCTGCTTAAATGCTCATGTGTAATTACAGATTTCAGAAAATAGATTGTATGTAGCATGTAGTATTATTCACATGTGATCCACTGAACCCAGTTTTGCTATTTTAATGTACAGCTTTACAAATTGGCACTAGTCCTGTAGTCCTTGCCAAACTGCCCAATAGTAAAGGTATCAGAAGGACCAGTAGAAATGTGCAATGTTTAAGGGTTTTGCTTTATGTTATCATTATAAGGACTAGTGGACTAAATATGTTAGTTTCTACCCCTGACGTATATATTATGATGCCTATTTTTTTATTATATATTTTATTATTGCTCAATTAGTTTGTCATGTTGATACAAACAATGGTGGGTGTGGCTTCAAGTAAAGATTAATGGGAGGGCGGAGCGTGACGTCACACGCATTTGCAATTTATTGTTTACTTAATTACGCATGTACTTTAAGGGGGTGCTAATGACGGCATTATGACCCATTAAACAAGCACTGATAACATGTGATAGCGCTCGTGGTCCAGTGGTGGAGCGTCACATAATTCACGCATTAATTAGCTAAGCAAGCTAAGTGCATTCGAGCACCGACAGCTCTAATTGGATCTGAAAAAGTGTACCCGGTAAAGTGCACTACTCCCAAAAAGTTACCACAAACATGACAAATAATGTACCTGATTTCTTCTTTCTGCTTTCTTCATTGACTGACGGCTCCGTTTAGAAAGAACTTTGACATTTACTCGACCTAAAACGTAGAATATGTCATAATTAATTAGATGTCATTTCTCTAATCATTACTTGTATCCAAACAATCAAGACATCATTAATAAAATTACATCATCTAATTACAAAAGCATACCATTAGTGTGACGATAACACTTGTCGAACATACAACAATATTGGTACATCAACACTGATACGTGAAATCTCGGGTAGAACAAAGTTTTTCAATGAATCTTGATTCAAATATTATTAAGAACAACGTAGGGTATAACCTTTAGTTTCTCTTTCCAGCTGCCCTTTGCTTTTATGTTTTCCATGTTTGTGTGCTTTGTTTTGCTGTTTTAAAGGCCCAGGCCTGTGTGACTTCTGTGGTTCGACCGCCATGTTGCAATACCACGTGCAATGGCCGAGAAACCGGTTTTAGAATACAATGCTGAAACAGGACGAAACTCATTCGAGAATGTACTATAAAAACATGTCTTTTTTCACAGGAGAATAATCAAGAACGGTAACTCCCAGTTACAAAAGCTACGTCGTTGATTAGCCGTTCTTGTGTTCTTGTGCTCTTCCCAGCAAAGCATTCACTAAATGTTGTAAGATTGTAGTTCATAATTTATTCTATGGCTGTAGATGCAAAGGTTTTCTATGAAATATTATTCATTCTTATTAATGTCATTTTATATTATCCTATATTATTATAATAAGGACACAGGTGAAACACAGGTGAAACTGTTATGAGTCGACCCTCCATTTGACACACGCCGTAATTATGCACAACTCCAACATGTCACAATTTTGCATGTATTATTTCTTTCTCTACTTTGTATTTTACCACAAACATCTTAGTCATGGGACCCGTGAAGATCTAGGGTAGAATAGGTCTTCAGCAACCCATGCTTGCCGTAAAAGGCGACTAACGGGATCAGGTGGTCAGGCTCGCTGACTTGGTTGATGCATGTCATCAATCCCAATTGTGTGGATCGATGCTCATGATGTCAATCACTGGATTGTCTGGTCCAGACTCGATTATTTACAGACCGCCGTCATATAGCTGGAATATTGCCAAGTGCGGCGTAAAACAACGAACAAACAAACAAAATAAACTTAGTCATGGCTTAACGTTCTTTTTAAGTGTTGTAGATTAATGGCAGGGCCCCATTCTACTGAGAGGAGAGTCAAGTTCTTCCCCACAGTCATCTTGTGCACACCATCAGCTGCTGCGAGTTACTGATCATTAGGGGTGTCACGATAAATCGAAATATCGATACATATTGCTATTGGTAAGCACTTAAAATCAATAAATCAATTGTTAAATCAGTTTCCGATCAATAGTACTGTAAATTTTGAAAGTAACGCGAGTGTGAAATAAGTGCGAAAAATGTGAGTGGTCTTTGCTCGCATTTTTAAACATTGCATTTATATCAACAATAAGACATTTTGGATAGCAAACATTCCAACATAGACATATGCTGAAAACCAACAACTACATATTTCACATCACTTTTTATTGAGCAGCACTTGTAACAAGTACTGTAAAACGGGAAATTAAGGATATAGCCAGTGAATTCATGTAGGACCAGAGACATGTGAACTTTTGTGAATGGTGGTGCCATATTTTACCCTTGTGCAGTGACATTTTGCACTCAGCAATATTCCAGCTATATGGCGGCGGTCTGTAAATAATCAAATTTGGACCAGACAATCCAGTGATTGACATCATGAGCATCGATCCACGCAATTGGGATACGATGACATGCATCAACCAAGTTTGCACCCGATTTTGTTAGTCGCCCCTTACAAGCATAGTTGCCATCTATGTCAAGCATGTGTTGCTGAAGACCTATTCTACCCCGGATCTTCAGGGGTCTGTTGCGCTATGATCGCTGTGCGAACGGGGGCTCAGGTGTCTGTGTTTCAAGGTTATAAGCAGATTCACCATTTAAAAAGAATAGTGGTGTATGTAATTTCTTTTCAAGCTATATGTTATTTTTTTATAATTAAAACAAGAACACAATTATATAGAATACACTTTATTATTTAGTATCCGTTGCCTGGACACTATAGTACCGGACGTTTTACACTCAGTGAACCATCTGGGGCCATGCATGAACGTCTGTTTTTCAATATTACTTATGAAATATACTCAACAACAAAAGTTCCTGTGACATCAATATTTTAGTGTATTTTTCAAACAAGTAAAGTTTGGTTTTCAATATTGTAAAAAACCCACAAAAACGCAACTGCTACATAAAAGCATGCATTCCATGCAAGCCCCATGCATTTCACTACCCAAGAATGGGTATAAAAACATGTGCGTTAACAGGATTCCATATGCATTGTTTAGCATCATGCTGACAACAACCACTCAGAAAAACAACAAAACTACGCAATTATTCAACATTACGCCTGTCCGAAAATGAGAGTCTGCGAGCCATTGGTATGCTTGAAGCAGGATCGAGTCAACGTGATGTTGCAAGACAATTTAACGTCCACAGAAACACCATTTGGTGTTTATGGCAACGTTGGCAACAGACGAACGCAGTCAGAGACCAATAATTGACAAGACAACTGGATTCGAACAACACACCTACGAAATCGATTCCAGCCAGCAACAGTGACTGCAAGAAGCATCCCTGGCCTTCGACGAATATCTTCACAAACCGTGCGTCGTCGCCTCAGATGTGCAGGGATTGTCGCCAGAAGACCCGCCAGACGTCCCATTTTGACAGGAAACCACCGTCAAGCATGTCCACAGTGGTGCAGACAGCGTCTACGCTGGACGGCCATGCAGTGGGGACAAGTTCTATTCACTGACGAGTCTCGTTTTCACCTCAGCCACAGCGATGGACGGATTCGAGTGTACCGACGTCGAGGTGAACGTTACATCATTGTGTCATGGAAGAAGATCGGTTCGGGGGCGGCAGAGTTATGGTATGGGGTGGGATTACAGCAAGACAGAGGATCCATTTGATAGTGGTAGAGGGAAATCTCAATGGACAGCGGTACCGCGACGAGATCATCGGCCCTGTTGTTCTACCGTTTGTGCGTCGTCAGGCAATACCTTTCAACATGACAACGCCCGGCCTCATATTGCTCGATTTGTTCAGGATTCTCTTCAACAAAAACAATGTGAATGTCATGCCATGGTCGGCTCGCTCCCCTGATCTCTCACCAATCGAGCACATGTGGGATGAGATGGATCGGCGCCTTCGACGTCAACCACGTGTTCCACAGACACTCCAGGAACTTTGAAACATGCTCCAGCAGATATGGACAGATATCCCACAGGACTTTGTGCGACGCCTGGTCAATTCCATGAGATGAAGATGTGTTGCTTGCATCACACACACGCTATTGATTTGTAAATAGACATTTTGGCAAGTTCATGTTGTTGTTTTTTATGAAATCACGCATTTTCTGAAGTCAGTATGGCAAATTAAACCATTTGAACACTTACAGGAGTCTTTTATCTGTTGCAAACCGAAATTGTTTCAGATTTGGGAAAAAAAATAACTGCATTAAATCTTATTCAATGTCAAAGGAACTTTTGTTGTTCAGTATAGTATACAGAATATGCCACTATAAATGTACATTATTTTTGTTCCATAAGCAAATTTACATTGTATCCTTCAAAGACTAAGCTTCCCTTTGGCACGCCAGAAACCTATGATTGTGGGTTCGAATCCCGGTTCGCCCCAATTATGTTTCTAGGTTTGTCACCACTATACCCGTTCTCATGGGTTTCACCGAAGTGGTAAACGTCTGAGACCTGCATCATTTCGGGCTTTCCTCCCAGATTAAGCTGAGACGCCGCGATATAAATGGAATACTGTTAAAAGCGGCGTTAAAAACGCCAGAAAATGGAAGTACCAGTACCCGGAAATCTCTGGCCGCTGCACGTGGCAAACACGTAGGCCAGTTGATATTCTCACGATCTTACCAAACTGCGAAAGACATGTTTTATTGACTGCACTGTATTTTTAAACTCCCGGAGGTCTGATGAAACCTCCCGGACGTTTCCAGACGTCTGATGAAACCTCCCGGACGCTCCCACCAGATGCTCCCCGACGTTGCCCGGACGCTATAGTACCGGACGTTTTACACTCAGTGAACCATTCTGGGGACACGCACGAACTTTTGAAAACGTCTGTGTTTCAGTATTAGTTATGGAATAGTATAAAGAATATGACACTATAAAAGAACATTATTTTTGTTCCATAAGCAAATTTACATTGTATCCTTCAAAGCCTACGTTACAAATATCTCGCCAGTTCGAATAAAATCAAATCGTATTTGCTTCGCAGATTCACCATTTAAGAAGAATAGGGGTGTATGTAATTTTTTCCCAGCTATATGTTATTTTGTATAATTAATACAAGAACACAAATATATAGAATACACTTTATTATTTAGTATGAGTCTCCCGGACGCTCCCTGGCATTGTCTGGACGCTCCCGGACCCACTTGCACAAAGCGATCTTAGCGCTAAGATGATCTTAACCCCCATACTTTAACATGGGCTTACGATAGTCTTAGTGATAAGATCGCTTTGTGCAAGTGGGCCCAGGACGCCAACTCACTCGCTCAAAGACTAAGTTACGACCACCACGTCATTTCGAATAACATGAAATCGTATTTGCTTCGCAGATTCACCATTTAAAATAGTGCTGTATATATATTTTTTCTAGCTTTATGTTATTGTTTATAATTAATACAAGAACACAATTATATAGAATACACTTTATTATTTAGTATCATGCTCCCGGACGCTCCCGGACGCTCCCCGGCGTTATTTAGTGGGACCGATCAGCTGGTGCCACTCAAGCCTGACCCGCTGACAAAAAATAAAATGGCCAATGTCTTATCATTTGTCAAATAAATCTGTCTTCACGTGAATTATTATAAATTTGTTCTTTGTCAAGTTTGATAACAGGATCCCTAAAAATAGTTTCAGAGACTGTGCATAGAAAGACTGATCACGGAATATGTGCCATATCTGAAAATGTTAGCGAGTTTTGTTTATTCCCCAATCGAATAGACATTACATATAATCCCAGAAACGTTCAGAGATGATACATATTCTCTGTATAGCATATCTACGGAATAGCTGTCTCCAATGTGACCCGTGAAGCCATGATCCGAGTTAGAATAGGTCTTCAGCAAACCATGCTTGCCGTAAGAGGCGCACTTACGGGATCGGGTGGTCAGGCTTGCTGACTTGGTTGATGCCTGCCATCGATCCCAATTGCGTAGATCTTTGCTCAATCACTGTATTGTTTGGTCTACACTCGATTCCTTACAGACCGCAGACATATAGCTGGAATACAGCTGAGTGCGGCGTTAAACAACAAACAAACACACATCGAGATTATGTTAATTTTGTATGGAAATGACTTCACGGGGGCAACATATTGTACCGTTATTGTATAAGTTACTGATCTCAGCGCTACGACTTTCAAAGTCTACGTTAGAGTATAGGATTTACGATCTAGTTTTTATATTTTTTGTGATTTTCATGAGATTGGAACAGCTTATTTGTTAAGCACCGGAAATGAACGTATGAACGTGTTGCCATGGAAACGCAAACAATACCACCCTTGGAAATGAGGCAGGTTCAGCACATGCATAATGGTATACAAAGATTCACAATAAATATTAAACAGCTTGTGAGTTATTCTTAGAAAATGAATCCCGTCAGACTTGTTGCCTTGGAAACGGAAATAAAAATGAAAAAAACAACACTTTTAGCACTTTACTTGTATGTATACAAAGTAACACATTATGTGCCAAAGGCGAACCCTGCCTTATTTAAACCTACCGTAAATCTCACAATAAAAGCCGGTTCAACCGACGCAACGCAAAATTGTTATTAAAACGTTGCATGTTAAACTTCCAAGAGTGCAGTTCAGTTGCATCTGGAATGAACCATTTTATACTAAATTGGATGTCACTTTTCATGTATTGCACGTGAAATGAGTTAAACCACTGGTTGCGGTCAGGTGTGTGTTTTGGGTAACTTTTTCCATTACCTTCAATTTTGTACTTTTCATTGTTTATAATAGTCGTTGTCCCTTTTTGCAAACATCCGATCAGTGTGACACAGGCATAAACAACATGTTCTTCAACTGTTAATCACATTGTCACCATACTCAGACCTGTTGACGCTTGTTGGCATGTGTTCATGTTTGACACCCTACATGCCTAGTTTCATAGAAGCAACCAATCAGTGGGACATAGACATAAACAACATGTTCCTCAACTGTAAATCACATTGTCACCATACTCAGACCTGTTGACGCTTGTTGGCATGTGTTCATGTTTGACAAGGGCGGTCGGGTAGCCTGACGGTTAAAGCGTTCGCTCGTCACGCCGAAGACCCGGGTTCGATTCCCAACATGGGTACAATGTGTGAAGCCCATGTCTGGTGTCCCCCGCCGTGATATTGCTGGAATATTGCTAAAAGCGGCGAAAAACCATACTCACTCACTCACTCACTCATGTTTGACTCCCTACATCCCGAGGTGACCCTTCAGCTACCCATCCTTGTCGTAGAGAGTGAGTGAGTATGTTTTTACGGTGCTTTTAGCAATATTCCAGCACTATCACGAGCGAACGCTTTAACCACTAGGCGACCCCAACGCCCCTGCTTGTCGTAAGAATCGACTAACGGGATAGGGTTGTCAGGCTCGCTGACTTGGTTGATGCATGTTGTCGCACATCATCCCGAGGCAAGAGAGTTAACTGACTTTAAAAGTCCAGTTTCCACCCTTGCCGAACTAAGCTAGGATTACTGGGCTCGATCGTTGCGCCACCAGTGGCTATTACCAGCTATGTCCCTTCTATGCCTCTCCTATGGACCAATCAGATTCCACCACTCGTATCATTTGCATTTGCTTCACACAAAATGGTGGCGCCCAGTCAGGACGATCTGATCGATAATCAAGATCCATATTGTGTTAAAACGGGTCTTACATCGCGAAATGCATCAAATCACGCGAGCACATTGATTAAAAACATGAAAAGATTTGGAAAATATCTGCTGACAACGAGTTGGTGGTGCACATGCTTTGCAAATCCTGCAATCGACAGAAATCTGCACAACGGTTTACGAACCGGATTTCGATTTCGGTGCGCGATTTTGATTGGACTATGCATAGACTCGTTAGTCCAACCAAAATGTAACTCCATATATGACCAGCCTAGTTCGGCAAGGGTGGAAACTGGACTTTTATAGTCAGTTAACTCTCTTGCCTCGGGAAGATGGTTATCGCATCCAAATTGCGTGGATCGATGCTCATGATAGCATATATTCAAACTGCTAAAAGTGATGTCCTGGCATAGGTCTACTGTACACGTTTAACTCATTAACAATAAATGTCAGCATTAGAAAATAAAATATATAATGAAATTGCAGAAATATACATAAATATATTGACCGTAGCGGGTGACCTCACCAAGGTGAACACTACCAAGCTGACTGTCATTCATTTCCCGATAAACGTCAGTATATCACGTGATTACGTGAATCGAGCGGAGACATTCATTTTATGACAGTCACACGCTGGTTGCACATCACCCCATCGTGGATTCTGTGGATCATGTTTTGGCGTGTCGTGGCAGGCCTTCTAAAACCGTACTCGTCTTCAAGGCTCTCCCTGCTACGCTTACACTCTTCTGGCCACCTCATTATGGTGGCATAGGAGTGAGTGAATATGGTTTTACGCCGTTTGTAGCAATATTCCAGCAATATCACGACGGGGGACACCAGTAATGGGCTTCACACATTGTACACGTCGGGAATCGAACCCGGGTCTTCGGCATGACGAGCGAATGCTTTGACCACTAGGCCACCGACTGTGGTGGCAGAGGATGGGGCATACGTTCCTTGTATTCATATGCTCAATAATTCATGGATATGCAGACCCATGATTATCTTACTGACTTAATTGTCACAGTGAAACAATGTGTTCAACCGATTTAAAACATTTCACTATTACGCAATTAATTCTGCCTGGAGCTCTGAACTTTTAAATCAACCCTCACATGTTTCTCATTCAATTTATCCATAAGCATCAATGCATGCATTCTCCAGCAACCAAGAGTGCATCCTTCAACATACCAAGAGTGAGTGAGTTGGGTTTAACGCCACTTTGAACAGTATTCCAGTTATATCACGGTGTGTCAGCTTAATGTGGGAGGAAAGCCCGAAGTGATGCAGGTCTCAGACCTTCACTTCGGTGAAACCCACGAGCAGGGGTATGGTGCTGACAAACCTAGAAACATAATTGGGGCGAATCGGGATTCGAACCCACAAATATAGGTTTCTGGCGTGCCATAGGGACGCAACTCTGCACAGCGAGTTGCAGCGCCTAAGATGACTGGGTCACCCGTGCCCCCCCATACCAAGAGACCCCGAGAAGATGGGGAGTAGAATAAGGTGACTATGCTTGTCATAAGAGGGGACTAAGATCGGGTGGTCAGGTTCCCTTACTTGGTTGATGCATGTCATTGTATCCCAATTGTGTGGTTCTGTGCTCATGATATCAATCACTGGGTTATCTGGTCCAGACTTGATTATTTACAAACCGCCGTCATATAGCTGGAATATTGCTGTGAGTGGCACAAACAACCCAAACCTTCAGCTAAAATGTGTGAATTCTCCTGCAACATGTGCATCCTTCAGCAACCAAGAGAACATTCTTCAGCAACCAAAGGTGCATCCTTCAGTTACCAAGAGTGCATTTCTTCAGCAACCAAAGGTGCATTCTTCAGCAACCAAGACTGCATCCTTCAGCAACCAAGAGAACATTCTTCAGCAACCAAGGGTGCATCTTCAGCAACCAAGACTGCATCATTCAGCAACCAAGGGTGCATCTTCAGCAACCAAGACTGCATAATTCAGCAACCAAGAGAACATTCTTCAGCAACCAAGGGTGCATCCTGTAGTAACCAAGAGTGCATTCTTAAGCAACCAAGGGTGCATTATTCAGGAACCAAGAGTGCATTCTTCAGTTACCAAGGGTGCATCCAGTAGTAACCAAGAGTGCATTCTTTAGCAACCAAGGGTGCATTCTTCAGCAACCAAGGGTGCATTCTTCAGTTACCAAGGGTGCATTCTTCAGTAACCAAGAGTGCATTCTTCAGCAACCAGGGGTGCATCCTGCAGCAACCAAGGGTGCATTCTTCAGTTACCAAGGGTGCATTCTTCAGTAACCAAGAGTGCATTCTTCAGCAACCAGGGGTGCATCCTGCAGCAACCAAGGGTGCATTCTCCAGGAACCAAGAGTGCATTCTTCAGTAAACAATTTTACCATGTGTGTCCCTGAAAAATACTCAAAGAAAAGTAACATCATCCAAAAACTAAGGTCTGCATACTTTATTCTTGACATTCTTTTATCCAATACACCCTCAGCAACAACGATAATTCTGATCAGGACAAGATATACTAAAATCATGAATTTATAATTCACAATGCATTTTCTTCACATGACAGTTCAAGGAGGCTTGTTGCACACACTTAAATTCACAGCGTGGACACTTTAACGGTTTCTCCCCTGTATGCAAGCAGTAATGACACTTCAGATTATAGTTGTCTCGGAATGATTTTTCACATCCTTTCCAACTGCAGGCAAACAGAGTTTTTTTCTTGTGGTTACTCTCCGACTTGGATGGTGATACCTGCTGCTCTGGATCGAGGGTCAGGTTGTTGCTCTTACACTTCTTGTGGACTTTAGAAATGTGAGACCTCAGCAAGTCCTTATACCTAAACATCTGACAACAGTTTTCGAAGGGACAGTTATGCTGTCTGTCGGTTGCATGGATCAATGCATGTCGTTTCAGGGTCGACATGGCAAAAAAAGATTTTTGACAGAAATCACATTTAAACGGCTTTTCATTTTTGTGCATTCTTTGGTGGATGATAAAAGTGCGTTTCTGTTTGCATGAGTATTCACAAACATGACAGTTATAAATCTCCCGTGATGGATCATGAATATTTGCAAAGTGCATCTTTAGTTGTTTTTGTGTTATTCCCCTGTATGCACACTCAGAACACATGAAATCAAACCGCTGCTCTTTACTGTCTTCTTCATCATGGGATGTTTTTAACTTTGTTACATTCAAACCAGTTCCGCTTTCAAGTTCATTTGAATGTTCTGTGTCAAATGCAGACTTTTCATCATTTTCAGAACTCTGTGATTGAAGGTTTGTATTCCCAGTGGAATCAGCATTTGTAGCAGTAAAACACAATTTGTCACTCCCTAACTGATCTGAAGAAGATGGACATTTTCTTGATTCACGAAACTTCTCCTCGCTTTTTGTGACATGCTTCCTGACAAAATGGCGTCTCAACAGTCTTGTGGACGTTGTTGCAAAAGAACAAACTGTACACTGAAAATTCTTTTCTATCTCATGGACTTGAAGCAAATGCTTAGCCAGCTTACTGTGTTTGCTGTAAGTTTGGTCACACTGCGAACAACTGAACACCAATACAGCTTTTTCAGTTTGTTTTGGGACTGGGAATGTCACACTGAGATTTACGTTCTGACCGATCACTGAATGAGAAAGGACATTGTTGCTGTCGGCAACTGCTGGAAGACAGAAGTTGCCATCATCGTCACATTCAAGATGGAGGTCAATGTCCTGTATCATCGTTGACGGCAGGTCTGATGGATCAAGCCCAGGTGAAAAGGGCTGGAGAAAGTTGGGAGATTGTGATGCCTCCATATCAGGACCCACTGGTGGGAAGTAGTTCACAGTCGTTCTTCCCTCACTTCCAACATGTCACAAACACATCTGATACCTGTGAAAAAGAGAATCCAAAATTAACACCAGACAACTGTTCTTCAAGCTTTAACTTCTGGAGGTATGTCATCTAAAGCAGTACAGTTTGAGTTGTGTCCCTTTGGCATGCCAGGAACCTATGATCATTAGTTTGAATCCAAGATTTGCCCTGATTGTGTTTCTAGGTTTCTTTGTTTAACAACAAACCAACCAATCAAGGTATTTTTTCCTTAATAGTAAAAATGTATCTGAAAGTCAAATTTAATATTTTTCTCCTGCCACCTACAGATAATTTCGACTGTATACATTGCAAACCAACTGACAAAAAAGCCCCTAGCGATGCAAGTCTGAGACATTTATCAACTCAGGTGTAGTGCTGACAAACCTAGCATCATAATTAGGGTGATTTTTTAATTAGAACCATCCCAAGATTCTTGCATGCCCAGGGATGCAGAATTTGTTTCACCTCAGATGACGATATCACACCTCCCAGTATATAATAAAGTAACATTACAAGAATACATGTTCATCTTGTGTGAAACAGTGTGTTTGTTCTTAGCTTCAGATAAGCCGTGTATTTGTGTAAAACATGCAAGATAAATCATTTAAACCCACATCATTTTAAGTTGTTTGTGTACGAATATGCTTGAAAATTGAAAAAAACAACTAACATCATAAGGGTGTCCCTACTATTTTTTTGTATCACATCTCCAAGGTTTTCCCAGAGAGGGTTGGTCGAAAGAAAAAACCAACAGAAGAAAAAAAGGTTCCTTTTTGCAGAATACCTATTCAAGATGATAAAAACTTACAATGTGAAACCAAAGGTCTAACGTACACTCTCAAGGCTTTGACAAGACCAAATATTTCACATGCGAGGTCAACTATTAAGAGCAAGTTGAACCCCAAAACTGAAGTTAAAACCCATTGAGTAAAGGTTCTAAAAGAAAAACACATGTAGATGAAAAAGCAACCATCACTATAGAGTCATATTGTATAAAAACATTTTTACCCTTGACCTTTTCAAGTCATAAATGCAGCATAAAACAGCTTTGAATCAATTCTAAAATAATTTAAACAAATATGTATCCTCATACATGCAGGCTCACACAAAACTATACTGTAAATGTTGGAACAAGGAGATACATTCTACACAGGTATAGACCACATAGTTAATTAAACATGTTTTTTTATTAATTACATGACAGATGGACCTGATTTCCCCGATTCAGTAAAGTAAAAATGCAAAATATGCTTTCACAAGCGATGCAGATTCCATATTTTAAGAGCATTCATACAATAAATTCCCACAATATTTACAGGAATATTAATATCAATCATTTTTAGATTTTCACTGCTGAACAACAAATGACAACTACATTCAGCTTAGTAACATTTTTTACATCTCACAGATGTCATGCAAATTCCACGACTATTTTATACTGTAGTGAGTGAGTGAGTGAGTGAGTGAGTGAGAGTGAGAGTGAGTGAGTGAGTGAGTGAGTGAGTGAGTGAGTGAGTGAGTGAGTGACTGAGTGAGTGAGTGAGTGAGTGAGTGAGTGAGTGAGTTGGGTTTAACGCCGCTTTTAACAGTATTCCAGTTATATCGCGGCGTGTCAGCTTAATGTGGGAGGAAAGCCCCAAGTGATGCAGGTCTCAGACGTTGACCACTTCGAGTGAAACCCACGAGCAAAGGTATGGTGCTAACAAACCTAGAAACATTATCGGGGCGAACCCGGATTCGAACCCACAATCATAGGTTTCTGGCGTGCCCAAGGGACGCAACTCTGCACAGCAAATCGCGGAGCCTTAGACGACTGGGCCATCCGTGCCCCCCATTTTTATATTGTAAGCATTGAATACACTGAGGTTTCTGCAAAAGAAAATATAAATCAGAATGTCTTGAATCTTCATGAAATAAGACAGTAGATCATAGTACGCACTTATGCTTATTTTCAATAGTGCCGACAGCCCTGTACGTTTTGGGAACCTATCAATTTCATTTACAGTTTGTACAACAAGATATAGGTACTAATTGATGGTTGGTTGGTTTGTTTGTTGTTTAACGTCGCACTCAGCAATATTCCAGCTATATGACGGCAGTCTGTAAATAATCAAGTCTGGACCAGACAATCCAGTGATTAATATCATGAGCATCGATCCACGCAATTGGGATCAATGACATGCATCAACCAAGTCAGCGAGCCTGACCACCTGATCCCGTTAGTCGCCTTTTACGACAAGCATAGTCACCTTTTACGGCAAGCATGGGTTTCTGAAGACCTATTCTACCCCGGAATCACTAATTGATGGAATATTACAGATTCGCTCATTGCCATTGAACTAGGTGGATAAAGGGAAGCTTGAACTTGCTGTGTTGGTCGGAGTCAAGCTGTTTGTGGTACAAAGTCACTTTAACTCTATTATCAGTGAGAGAATCACAGAAGGTCGTAGTCAGGAGGTTCTCAAAAGTGATAGTTATGTCTGCTTTAACGAACAAGGTTGCACCAACTCTAAACTTCACAAATAAAAGAGAGACCTGCTTTTGTGATTGCCATTGTTGCAGGTTTTTATGCCATGTGCTCACTCAAACGTTTGTATTTTCTTTAATTCAGATGTGTTTTAACATTGTATTTTAACAATGCATTCAATGCAATAATGCCACACTTTTTAAATTTTATGTTTCACAGATTTATTCCAGCTTTTCCACACAAGGTCGGTCAAAATAGAAATAAATTGATATGTTAATCATTTATTGTAATCATTTAGAAGTCCCTAAAAACATTTAAAGCAGAATTAGTTTTAAGAAAGGTCTATCCAATGGTTTAAAAATACCCAATAGACAGGACCAAAAGGAGCAAACATATATCGACAACCCAAAGAAAACTATCACTACACAGTCTGAAAGAGTGAATACTCATGTCTCAAAATAAATCTGGAATTCAATTGAATAGCTGTATTTCACACTTAGTGCCTACAGCTTACATGCTAACTGTGTGAAATGTGGAAATGTTTCTATGGTAACACAAAACTGTAAAAAACTTTGAAACACTGAAACAAGGTACATATAGAATCTCTACGATAATTAGAAAGGATTTGCTTCTTCTGGAAAGAGGGCTCATAGGTAATTTTCTAAAATATTATGAGTTCTCTAGTATCACTTCATATGTTCACTGTTTTGATTTTTGCCATTTGTCTTAGAGCTCCAGATGACTTTTTGAGCAATTGAGTTTTTACTCGAAGGTTTCTAACTTAATTGGGTTATTACATTTTTCATTGGTTAACCAATATTTTTTTCACTTATCTATTCATCACTCTATTGGGTTTTTCCAAAATGAGTAAACATTTTGAGATTTAAGAAAGAAACGGTTTAAATGTATATAACGGTTCTAAATATAGGCTTGATGTGGAAAGTAAATTGGAAATTAGGTACTTAGTGGTCATGTTTTTATTCTTTTGAGTTTTTCATTTAATGCATGCGTTTCTAAATACAAGTTAATTGAAAGTAATTGGGTTTTGAATATTTTGAGGGGTTATTTTACGCAAATACGCAGTTTATCTGTAGCTCTGTGTCTACTGCTGGAATTGCTTCAGAGCTCCTTGTTGCTGTTATTCTATTACCTGGACATACCTGGAACATATCATCACCACTTGCAGGTAAACATGCTTATTGTCTTAAATTAATGAGCTAATTGCTTTTTGTTAACTACGTTTGAAAGAAATGCCACATGAAATCAACTAGAGTGTCTTATTTTCAATTATAAGAGTCTGGTAAGTTTTGATTTTGAGTTGCAAAGAATTAACAAGATTACTTCTTCATCTTTACTTGAACACAATGATTCAACTTTAACTGTAAATCAGAACTGATGTATTTTGTTCTGCGCGAGTCCATCTCCAAATAGATCAAATGAGAATCAAACCCGTACAAGGAGATTGTTGTGTTTGATTATCTCATGCCTAAATACGCAGATCAGCTTAATTTGATTTTTGTGGCCATTTTGCCAAAAATGAAAAACAAATTGAATATGCAAATAGGTGTCTCAGTACATGTAGGTAACTGTTGGATATTGGGTGCTCAAAGAAATAACTTCCCTTCTCACTTTAAAATGCAAGGGAGACATCAGTTAGAGAAAATATCTAGAAATACACAGAACATGTGACAATAGGCAGGCGGGGATTCAATCAGTGTTACTGTGAGAATATACAGAAACCAATTTTCACAATTCTTGACGAAATATCAAAATGTTTTGGTTCACGTACACATATTTGCTGTAAAATGGTGCCGGCCAGACAACTGAGAGTTTGCGTGTTCTTTCCCTTTGAATCAAAAACAATATTCAAATACATTAATGCAAGAGGTTTTTTGAAAATTGACATGACGTCACAACTTGGGGTTTGCAAATAGGAAATCGGAGAAGGTTTTTTTATCCATTTCCAATCTAGACATTGTAATTAGTACCAAGTGTGGAAGGAAAACGAACATTGTCTATGTGTAGTTTACTCGTGGGGATTCTGGCAAGAATATAAGTCCCAAGCAACTTATGCTTGTGACAGGTGACAAAAATGTTAGTCAGGCTCGGGTACCTACAGGACTACCTGGACCCGTTAGTCACGTGATATATTGTTTAATGACAAAAAATATCTGGAACTCTATGGTTACACTACAAGTCACACATGTTCGCATTTCTTTCTGATCATGCACCCATTTCTTCTGACTTTTCATATCTTTGAATAAAGATATAACTTGAGTCAACTTCAGTGTATGCATGACCAGATTGTTTGATACATGTATCTAAATACGTTTTGCCAGTGCGATGTTAAAAAATGCCCAATCGGACATTTTGTACCTATCTCTTGAGACCTACAGTGGGTACCCGGGTCGGGTCGGGTAATAGGGGGGTGGGTACCCGGGTAGAATCCCCACGAGTAAACTACACATAGACAATGTTCGTTTTCCTTCCACACATTGTAATTAGTACCATGTGTGGAAGGAAAACGAACATTGTCTATGTGTAGTTTACTCATGGGGATTCTGGCAAGAATATAAGTCCCAAGCAACTTATGCTTGTGACAGATGACAAAAATGTTAGTCAGGCTCTGTGACTTGGCCAATACGCTAATAGTGTGGATCGATGCTCAAGTCAATCACTAAATTGTGTGGTCCACAGTCGATTATTAAAGAAGCTGTCATATAGCTGGAATATTGCTGAGTACAGCGTTTAACACTTCACAAACAAAATGTATGTGTTATTAGGACAATCATTAACCCCTAGACTGATGCTATACTGGATTTGCCAGTGGGTTTTGATTCGAAAGACCACATGGGAATTAGGGCTGGGACAAGTCCGAATTATCCACCCGGGTACCCACCCCCCTATTACCCGACCCGACCCGGGTACCCACTGTAGGTCTCAAGAGATAGGTACAAAATGTCCGATTGGGCATTTTTTAACATCGCACTGGCAAAATGTATTTAGATACATGTATCAAACAATCTGGTCATGCATACACTGAAGTTGACTCAAGTTATATCTTTATTCAAAGATATGAAAAGTCAGAAGAAATGGGTGCATGATCAGAAAGAAATGCGAACATGTGTGACTTGTAGTGTAACCATAGAGTTCCAGATATTTTTTGTCATTAAACAATATATCACGTGACTAACGGGTCCAGGTAGTCCTGTAGGTACCCGGGTCCTACTCAGTAGTCAGTACCCAGCCGACCCGGGGACCCGAGTTACCCGTCCCAGCCCTAATGGGAATGGCAATTACTCCCAAGCTGTCGCTTTAACCGCAGGGGCATGAGATAACCATGTCCAATGATAGACGTCCGTTAATTAGGACGCGTGTCCAAGCAAAAATAAACCAATTGCTCAATCAATTAAGATTCACATGATAGGCATACACGCTTATAGCTAAATTCTAACGAATGTGCGAAAACTGAAACGATAGCTGACGATGCCATTTTGGGCGTGTCATAGGCTACGTTCAGATAAAGCCTGGGTTGAAAATGAAACCGTAGGAGGGAATCTTTTACACTTACATTTAACCGCATAAATCTTGCTATCAAATTATCGCCAACTAGCTGCGAATAATGCAAATTAACTCCTACCATGTCAGGCGCTTCTTTGGCCACTTACATCACTTTCAACAAATTATTCATTTGGGGTTGATGTAAGCGACGTCCGCAAAATTTTCATCCGGGCAACTAGCTACAAAACATGGCTGCCGTCTGACTGCAGGTTCGTAATAGAAACTACCAGATGTTCATCGGCCTCAAACCTTCTAACGCTAACGAATTCACGATTACAATTCGATCATTTGTTATCTTGTAATATATTTGCAACAATGTACACGAATTTGAGTCATTTTGTGTTTGACGAAAATGTCGCATTCGATGGCATTTTTCCGCCATAATTTTACGCTCAGTCACCGTTGATTTGGTTTTTCCTTTCCATTATGACAACGAATTTATCATATCAGATAGAATTTGTGCCGGTCCGTTTGATTTGCGCTTTTGTAATTTATTTTCTCTTTTACTTCCTGCAACTTCCACGTGTGGCTATTTTTAGAAGATTTGCTATGCGGATCACTATCCTAACGCTGAACTGACCACGTGCACAAATTTGCTATCTCATCTAACACGCGTATTTGTAGTTTCTTGAAGCGTTTAAACAAGTTTTATGTTTGTTATCAATAAAAAAAATATATCTTGAAAGTGTTATGGATCACATAGCATTTCAGGTTAGAATTCTTCAAACCGGGAGGTGGTAACAGTGTGATTGAAATTGCTCATTGCCATGATTACGGTTTAGATACAGGAACAAGAAAACGTGTGTAAAGATAGAGAGATGTCCAACCGGTTATAAACTACTGAATGGCAAATCAAATTTTAAGCTGTCCATGGTCAAGTAAAGGTCTCCTTGTTTAAATCTTCATATTAAGGATTACAGACCCTAGAATCCTTACAATTACATATTATCTACTGTAAACAAAACCAGAGAGTATCAATGACTTCTTATTTTCAATGTTGCTGTCATGTGTTGCCTGTTGGCTGGTGTTTTTTATATCATGATCAATGATTGGAAGGACCAGTAGAGATTTGTGAAGCGACTAACGGGATTGGGTGGTCAGGCTCGCTGACTTGGTTGATGAATGTCATCGTATCCCAATTGCGTGGATTGATGCTTATGATGTCAATCACTGGATTGTCTGGTCCAGAGTTAGTTATTTACAGACCACTGTCATATAGCTGGAATATTAATTGCTGAGTGTTGCGTTAAACAACGAACAAACAAACAAATTAGGCATTTATGTGCGTTGAATGAATCAATGATTAGAACTAAACTGAAAAGCTTTACAAGCCCAGGTAGGATGCACTTGTAATGTTAGAACAATGGGGGGATTTGTACTAGCTCCAGGCTAGTGTTAACTTCCAACTCTTAATCAACGTGTTATGTTAATAACACATGTGATTCTATGACAGCCTGTGGAAGGAATGACACTTTAAGCGGTGTTAAATCTATCAGACTCATTGTAAGAAAGAATTTGATGGCATATTTTCTTTGAAAATTAATTCCACAATACAGTGAATATTTGTTAATCAGCATGCTAGCTAGTGATGTTCCAATGCACATTTATTTCCATTTTCATCGTTGATGGATCAGTAACTCTGTATTGATGCTGTTATGGGAAAAAAGTATGCTTTATCAAATTTGTAATAAAACTGTTCATTCATGTCTTTGATCTGTAATTAGTTACACTATAAATCATATTCATTATCATTGATTTACATGCATTTAATGAAGTATTTTCATTGATTGAACAAAACAAAGTCAACATGATAACAGAAATTATATTTTGTCATTCTACTTGTCTGGCGTTATAAACCTTTTTTTAAGATTTTAACACCCCAGAGAAATATTGTCTTACCAAACTTTGATGTTAGTAGCAGATTTAAAGGTATTAGTGTACAACAGAAACCACATTGGCTTCATTTTCTTCATTATAAACTGTCTCTGTGGTCTAGGGGATAGAGCATCTGCTCGGTGAGTAGAAGGTTGGTTGTTCGAAGACAATCCCCTGGCAGCATTATGCGAAATCACTTTAATAGATGATACTTATTGTTACCCTGCCTGGTGTTCGTGTTAACATGATTAAGGGCCTACAACAAAGACTGGTTGGCTCAGAGTCAGTATGGTGTGTCTGAGTGAGGTATTCTTATTATACTGGGTCATGTTATCTTGGTAGGCTAGCACCATAAAACTGACATTAGTCTAGACCTGCAGACACCCACACACATTGCTACATAAGTGTGAAAGCCTTGAACCATTTTAACTTATCTCATTCATTAAAGAATTCTAAATGCTATGGTAAAAAATTTCATTGACTGTCAGATTGTCATCCAATTTGTCCTAAATGTTCCTAAATTGGTCCTAAACTGGTACAGGTTTAGAAGGATGTTCTATGAAAAGGTTATGTAATTATGAAAATGTCCTTTTGCCATTTGTCCATAGCAAATTCACTGCCCCATGGTCCGAATAGATCACTTGCATCGCATCCTTGTCTAAATAGACAACTAAAGTGAAGATAAATGGGTCACAATGCATAACCTGGCTGATGGTGTCTCATCTTACCCCAGCTGCATGGATCATTACTGATGCAGTCAGCCGATGGTTTACCCAGATTTCTATCATTTACAAAGAACATTGAGAGCTCAAATATTTCTGGCCTGTATAAGATCAAGCCAGGCAAAGTGCTGGCTACCAAAATGATTGGGCAACAATGTTACACAATTGGCAAAATCACACATTGTAACCACCCAGTCCTCCTTTAAGACCCCCCTACCCCCCCCCCCCCCCCCCCCCCCAAAAACTTGGTGAAAAACTTTTGACGGTTTTGGTGGGAATTATCTTGCCATAGTTGATGCTATTGACGAAGAATTGTTTGCTGTTGTCATATGTATTTTGTGTATTGCCATGTTGAAAAGGAGGCGTCAGGGTAGGCAAAGGCATATTTGGTCCCGAGAATGGCTGCTCGTTGTTGAAACAAATTAATTAATTCTTCCAACACCTCGTCATTCCAAAATAGTTGATTCACTTTGACTTGACTATGCCCTTCAGGTTGAAAAGGGGTACATGTTACTTGCAGTCTGATTGGCTAAGTTAAAACAACGTCATCAAAGTTTGACGATAAATAGCATCGGTTTCTATTCCATCAAAGTACTGTCAAAAACTTTGTCAAATGGATTTTAACCAAGTTTTTGATCAAAGTTTTTGATGGTGTAACGGGTGCTTTGCCCTAGCCTCTTTAAACAGGGGATCATTTTGACTTCCTAGCTGTAATACAGGGAGTCATATGTCTTTCAAAGGGGCATTTTAACAAAATACTAATTGATGTCAGATTTCGTAAGGAATTTAATTTAAAACATATAGCTGATGTGATGTAACCTATTTCTGACAGTGACTGACATGAAATACAACCACCCCGTTAGGCAACTACTGAAACTTATTTCTGATGGCTGCAACCGAGAGCTTGCCAGTAGGGCTGTTTAATGTTCAGACATAAGGTTTTGGAACATTAGACAAAGTTGATATCAGTCATATTTTATTGTCAAGGGATATGTCCGTTCAAATTTTAATGTTCCGACAGTATGGTACAATTAATTGATTTTGACAATTTGAATGATCTGCGTCATGACTCACAATGGAGAAATGATATTGCATATTTTCTACTTAGATTGCGTCAAATATGCAGGTTTTATGCATCAGGGCAAACTATGGATGCGCATATTGGGGTATAGAGAGTACTGTACAGATCAGACTTACATTGTATTTTATGATGATCACTTTTCTTTGTTTTTGCAGTTATCCATGTTATTGATGTCAAGATGAAGATTGACAGGTCAAAGTTGAAGAAGTCTTCAACTGAAGTGGTAAGATAAGATTCAATATTTAATCAAACTAATGTGTTTAAAATATTTTTGCATCAACAATTGAAAGGACAATTGTCCCTGCTGTTGTATTTAAATCCAGTGACACCTCACAATTTTTCACCTTTAACTTCAGTCTAAGTAATGACTAGGACCCCTAGACGTTATGCTTAATTTTGAACAGATTCAATCATTAGGAGACAATTGGCCTCATAGTGAAGATTGGGACCGCCACTGTGGTCTAGTGGTAGAGCGTCCGCCCGGACAGCGGAAGGTCCGGGGTTCCATCCCCGACCGCGTCATACCAAAAGATGTTAAAAGATGGTACTTGTTGTTACCCTGTCTGGCGCTCGGCATTAAGGGGCTAAAAAAACAAGGACTGGTCGGCTCGGAGTCAGTATACTGTGTCTGAGTGGGGTATTCATGTTAAACTGCGGCATGGTATCTCAATGAGCTAGCACTATAAATCGTCATCAGTACGGACTAGTACAAGCAGTTACACAAACACACACACGTACAAGCACGTCGCTATATGAGTGCAATAATCTTGGACGGGACGTTAAATCCCATTTTACCTCACCTCACATAGTGATGATTGATTATAACTTGTGAAGTGTTTCCCACTCAAGGAATAGATTCTCATTATGTCATTCTTTGATGTAAACAAGTGAAGAGCTCAGCTGTGAAATCACATCTATGTACTGATCTGCTTTACATAGCTGTGCACTAGCATCCCTGAGCTCAGAGTATACATCAAGGAATATTATAGAAATTTGTGCTCTCATCCGTGGTGCATAATCCATCATTCTCATAGACAGGATGGCCAAATTCCTGGCACACTGACAATTTACAGTTGGTGCTGAATGAAAATATTTCTGTTTTCACTCCTAATTTTCACTACTAAATAATTAGTGTTTGGTGTAACAGTTATAAGAGCAATCATTTAAGGTTGGAATCAATATTTTTACTTGGTGTGTGACTGTGATCAATACTTGTATCTTAAAGTGAAAAAATTGCGATCCACTAATGCATCTGTGTGTTGTCCTAGCATTAGGACTCAATTCCCTTCTGCCAACATACAGGGTGTTTTCTGGATACAAATACAATTTTTAGGAGGGGTGTGAAATTTTGTTTTTGAGGCTTAAATGATTAAATGTATAGTTTAGTAAACATAAACAGGGTTAGAAACTAACAGTTTTCGTCCACTAGTCCTTATAATGATAACATATAGCAAAACCCTTAAAAAGGGCAAATTTCTACTAGTCCTAATGATACCTTTACCATTGGGCAGTTTGGCAAGGACTATAGGCATGATAGGACTAGTGCCAATTTCTAACGCTGATAAAACCAAACAGTCAAACTTCTGTTCATACAGTGTGTCTCGCTTTTTCTTTTCCAGTAAATTTAGGCAGTAATATATGGACTTGTATATGAGTCCTTATTCACTAGAGTGCCCACTTTGATACCTATGAATTTCAAACAGTTGTAAATTTAATTCCAAGGAGAGTATCTGCAAAATCTGAACTACATTGGATACATCATGAATTTTGGAGATAGTAAACATATTTTGAGCTTTTTAAACAATGTATATAAATTAAATAAAAGAATTTTTAAATTAAAACAAGTGTGTTTTCTGAGTTCTGTTTGTTACATGTCTGTGCATACCTCCAATCTGTAGGCTGTATTCCACATTCAGTTCAATATTAATGTACGATTTTAACAGAATGTAACAGGTACCTTTGTACTTTAACAGATTTCAATAAAAAAAAAATTGAAAAAAAAAAAAAAATTAATACAAATGTACAATTAATTTGACAAGTGTCGGACGTAACAATGTCTGTCCTCGATGGGTGGTGAACAAAAACATCATTTTGTAACGAATTGTGAAACCACAGAAAGTTACTTCGGAAGCAGAATGAAAGTTGGTGATCAATGTATGTTAAACCTAAACATGAAATCAAAACAGGTTTGCAACCACAGAAAATAAATGCAAATCATAAACGTCTATAGAAAACTCTGTCCCACTGTTACGGGCGAATTGTCGATCATAATTTAACTTTTCTGATCGCTACACGTCACCTGGTTTATATTCCGTCATCGGATTTGCCAAGTTCCGGTTGGTTTCCACATGATACGAATTACATGATTGCCGAAATTTGGTCAGCAGCAGAGATGGCGCCAAAGAAGAAGGATGCTTCCACGTCTGTCTCGGTAAGTGTAAATGTTACAGGCGACCCAATGTTACGGGCGAACATTGAATTAGTCGATTTATATACGATAGTTCAAGTTTTCACCAGTTCGGCCACAAGTACTTTAGAAAAGTAATTCAAACACACAATTAAACACGACTGCTAGAGTTTGCTTCGCACTATGAATAAGAACAAGCTTTGCGCAAAGCCTCGCATAGAAAAAGTTGGACAGACTTACTTCGTTCGGGCATAACATTGAGACAGACATTTTATTGTCGGTCGTAACAAGTGGACATATTATCTGACGGTCGGACAAACTGGTAGACAGACGACTTCGGTCGGGCAAAATAGTATATATTTTTATGGACCTACCTGTAATATCATTCATTTATTTAATCTATCACATTTGACAATGTCGGAAATACGTATTCCTTTTCAATTTATCATTTTACATCGATAAATTAAAAAAGTATTCACTATTTTCCGTGATGTTATTGAAAATAAAATTATCGCACAACGGGTCCACATCGAACATGTCAAAGAGCAAAATATAGACGTTTTAAACAAATCTTTAAATATATTATACAAAGTAATAAATAAAATCAACAAAAATATATATAAAAGTAATCAAACTTACATAGATGGGTTATTATTTCCATATGTTCGTGTATCGCGTGTAATGCAAGTCAAATGACATCTCGGCTTTCATCGCCTTGAATTCTCGGCTCGGACACAATGTTTAATGCCATAATATATGCATGAAAAATCTTTGTCACAGCTCATAACCTAGCACGATGCATTCACGAAGTTCCGTATTTTTAATATATATCATGATTTCCTGCTTAAAACGTTCAGAATAATACGATTTAACGAAAATCTTTCGTCAACTTCTGAAAATTACCAAACACGAACTTGTTATCACAGCTGTAATTTGATTGGCTGCCTTAGGTCACGTGCTCAAATTTGGCTAATCGCGAACCTTGTAGCAGATTTCGGCAAGAAAGCCTCATAAGAAACCAATTTTATTCCAATGACATCGATTGTTATAACTACGGAACAAAAACCAGACCATGTTACGAGCGTGTAGATGGAGGAATAAGCTTTCCAGCGATGTGTCATATGCCATTCTTCAACGAACGTGTTATTCATACGAAGTCTCGAAAACGGGGGTATTTCTTCATGTTACTGAGCGGACAGCCGCTGTTATCGGGAAATGGGTGATGACAGAAACTATTTATAATTCTTTTTAAAATGATTTTCCAATTACGTAAACAATGAAAATAAAACAGAAATGGGTAAGTGGATTTTATGAAATCTTATATTTGCCGAAAATCGTCAAGTTTTCGCTTCCTTGGTCCTTAATCTGGATGTTAACTACGTGTTAGCTTACATTTTATTTATTTACAACAAACTTATGCATTATTTTAAATAATGTGAAAAACATAACTTTCATATTTATAAAATATAGGATTATAGGATCAGACCTTTCAATTGATGTATAACATGTAGCAGCAAATATATTTTACAAGCAGATATCTTCTTTGATGAATGTTGGCTTCATCTATCACACAAGAGTCTCTGGGAACTTGTGAGTGAGTGAGTGAGTTGGGTTTAACGCCGCTTTTAACAGTATTCCAGTTATATCGTGTCCCAGCAGTAAACACTTCTGGTTGACTGGTGTTGAAAGAGTTAATTGACTCATTTATATCTTGGAGCTACTTTAATCTTCCATGGGGCTATGTAAAACATGTTAAACATTTACATACAAGGGTTAAAACAATAAATGACATGAAAAAATGTGAACATGAATTTAGGTTAGGATGGATGACTTTTTGTAAATTAAAACCTGAGAACTGTACTGTTTCAAAGAAAATTATACCTCCATATAAAAATTACTCATTCAAAACTATATTATAGTTTTTTTAATTTGAATGCTGACATTTTTCAAAGTAGGGCCGAACAAAATTAATTGTGCGTTTCCTAGATTAGGATTTTAAGTGTGTAGGTCTACATCAAGCTTTATAAAAGTGAGTTTAAATTAAAAAAATAATGATAAAAAAATTCCCTATTCCTTAATCCTGGGAACATTTCATAAAAAATCAAAATATCTCCCCCCTCCCCTTTTCAGTTTTTTTAGCTTGGCGTAACAGAATATAAGTGTTGTCCTAGTTTGTTTATGAATAAAATATAGATCTATATGTTTATTGACAGTGCATTTTGCTTTATTGTAAATTAATGAATGTACTTATTGGTCTCATTAGAATGGTGAGAGGTGTAGGCGATGGGAGGCAGCTGAAAAAAGGTGACCAAGACTACATCGAACAGGAACGAAAGCGAAAAGCTGATTATAGGGGTCGGATGAATCCTGAACAAGTTGACAGGTAACAAACTTCAGAATTAACTTTGTGTTTTCCAATATAAAAACAAGATGGAGTTACTCCAAGTCAACAAGGGAAATATATATAGTCCGATATGTAGTAGATTAATAGATGGGTCCATTTCTCTGTTTATCAGTATGATCACATTGGACTCAACAATATACTTTTGGTTTTTAACAAAATGGAAACTCACATCCTCCAAAGGGAAGTAATTATACACAATATCATTACAAAATCTCATTTATGCTTAATAAATTAATCTTAAAAATAAAATACCACCTGGATATTAAACAAAACTTCAAATTTATATTTACTATATGGATGTGCTTCACTTTGGTAAAAGCATGGTAAATTACAATTATTACTTGTCTTGATACTTCCTAGATCACAATTAAATTCAGTTATACAGTCTATATTTTGCTTATTAGAACCACTG